GAGTGCCCACATCGCAAGGTAAGGCTCCACTCTCGTTAGACAAGCGACCAAGGTGGTTATTAACTCCACATGTGGCCGTGGCAGCGGAATGAGCCATCAGGGCCCTGGCGCCGTCGAATTTAACAACAACGGTGCTGGTAAGGTAGGTGTTGACAGGAGTACGGAGAACATGGTGGAGGTATGTAACCAAGTAACTCAGCGGGATGATTCCCCTCTGTAGAAGAGCGAGGAACTGTTCACAATGTTTTTTTTTTTAATAATAACCCAACTTAATAAAAGATGGTTCATGGACAGTTTTCCATAGAGGCCTTGACTGCCTCTAAAGCTGCTATCTTTCAGTCTGCCGATATTTAGCGTGCTGGGTGTGCCGATTATGCCATGTGCGTTGGACACGATAGGTAGGACCTTCTACAAACCATACCAGGGAGCTGCTCACAAGAAGTGGACAGCCCAAGTTAACAACAAAAACAAAAAAAACAAAAAAAAGCATTTCTTATCCTTGTTAACTTTTTTTTGAATTTAGATAATTAAATTAGACTTTAATATTTTAAAATGCTGGCTCATAAAGTTACTTTAAATTTCCAATTTATTACACGTTCTAGGATTCGAGATTACACAAAAGCGATTTTTAAAAGGGTTTGCTATTTATTATTTAATATAGAAATTTTCTTATACTACTTGCATAGGGATACTAATGTAAATGTCCTCTAAGCTTTAAAGTTTTTTTTAACTATCTTTAACTAGCTGGTAATGCATAAGATTAATAATAATAAAGCAAAACAGTAGTTTTGGCTTAAAAAAGGTGTAGCAGTTTATCAAGCTATGCTCACGTAAACCAATGAAATATTCAGTAAAAAATAATAAAGTATATTTACGGTGGTCTATTTTAACAGACCAATACTATTTAGGAAATCTTCAGTTATATAAATTTGTCAAACCCCCACTACGCCAGAATAAGAGGACGCCTTCATAAGGGCAGGTCAGGGTATTATTAATTAAGGTGTCAGGTCCTAGCACTATTTAAATTTACATCATCCTGCTTTAAATTACTGGGGTTAACAATTTTTATCTTACAGAATCTTCAATTAAATTTATCTTAATTGAATATATATATAATATATTCAAACTTTATTAAATCACGGTCATCTGGGGGTTTTGAAATCTCTTTCCTTTTTTTTTTTTTTTTTTTTTTTTTCTAAATATATACCTTTCCATTTTAGATAAATTTTTGTTTATTTTGTTACTTTAAGCTTGTATTCATCATACTTATTCATTCTATTTTATTATTACTATTTATTTATCTACTTTATTTCTCTCTAATTTTAAAACCTGAGTACAGTTATTATATAAGATAATGCTTTGTGGTTTTGAAGAAAAAAGCTCTCTAAAAGTAGGGGGAGGGGGATTATTTGTCTCCTTCCTTGAAGAGTGATTGTAAACAAAACTAAATTAATTAAGACTAAACCTGAAAAAGAATACTGCTAAAAGTCGAAAAGGAGGAAATGAAAACCAACTAATAATTTATTGACTACAAAATTTTAAAAATATAACTTCTATGTCCAAAATGTAGGCCTTGAACTGAATATAGTAATTGATAAGCAGTCAGTATGAAATTAAAAATATTTATTATTTAATTTTTTTCAAGTTTTCGAAACTGTATTCAGGTTGAAATAAAACTATAACTTAAAAATAAAATTTACTAATTTTTAAAGTTTAAAAGTTTTTAAAAAGGCAATCAGTTTTGAATTAAGAAAATTGATTAACAAATAATATATATACATATATTTTTTGTGCATGTTAGTAGGACGCCCCGAGTATTCGCGATGACTCCGAGCATCTGCCTAAGAGCATAAGTAGCTGGGAAGGCTATGCGAGAAGCCTTTTCTTGTGTGCGTCTTGAAGCTGGCGCGAGGGTTGCATTTTTGCATTATAGTCGGTTAAGTGCGTGTTTTGCTTGTATATCGGGCGGTCAACATAATAATGCTGTGCATCTATAATTCTTGTTATTTTTCGCTACCTTTTATAGGTGCTACAGTTAAACACTATACGCGTGTTTTAAACAAAACAAAACAAAAAGTTGAAACGTTTATAAAAAAAAAAAAAAAAAAAAGGTAATTAGTATGACTCTACTAAAGGCATAAATAGTAAAACTATTAAAACGCGAAAAACAGAACATGCAGTTCCTAAATAATTAAAAAATTATTAGCTATTAGCTAACTGAAACTTAAAAATAGAAAACGAAAACGACTAACGACTTACCTGTTAAAATATATACTTGTTGGACAACAAAAAGTAATATATTTTATTAACAATTATGATATAACGAAGATAGATGTATATATCTTTCAAGTTAGAAAAATTGTCCACTTAGCCAATATCGACTAGCAGACAGGTGCAGACAGGCTAAAAGAAGAAAACTCTAGAAGACCAAAAAAAAATTAGTTATAATCACAAGGTGCAAAACTGGCTTGTACACTTCTATTTAGGAATGGTCATTTCGAGGAAATAGGATCGATTTCCGAGCAATAGTTCCAATTTCTAATTTGCATTGATCCATGATGCCAATTTTAAATTCCAGTCCCCATACATGGTAACCGTTATTCGGTACTAATAAAAATTACACATGAACCTAAAACAATCATAGACCCCCACACACAAAAACTATTAATTAAAAGGTAAACCAATTAAATGTATCATAAACTAATATTTATGAATAAACGCGTTATTAAACAGTTTCGCAGAGGCTACGATAAATGTGGTAAGTATTGTCTCTGAGGTTTCTTTAAAACCGGACCCATTAACCTGTTTTTTCTAAGAATCTTAAATTTAATTTAAACTATTGTTAAATAAAAATGCTTTTTTTTAACCCTTTGTAAAAGTCCCTTGATTGCCAAAAATAATGCAATTTCTCGTCTTTTTTTTGTTCTCGCCCTTCTTTGTTGTTAGTGCTATTAGTGTCGTGTAAATTAGTTACAATTAGGTTGTTATGGTCACCTTAACTGCCTCAAACACAACTTTCCAAAAAAAAAAAAAAAAAAATAGGCTTTATATAAATTAAATTAGAAATAATAAAGTTAATACTTTAGCGTTGCAGTTTAAATGTTTTAAAAAAAACAAAATTCACCTGAAAGCCTTTATATGATTAAAATGGAGGAGAACTTTAAAGCGATGCACCGTTTGTACACATGTTATCAGCTCGAGCATCCAATATTTTTACTGATCCCTCTATCATGACTCGAATAAAAGGCTTGCACCCATTGAGAATATGCTTTGCGTTGAAGCGCGACCTACATCTCTATACCTATAACCCCCGCTTGGGTTTTGACTCTTTTGGCTTCTTAGTATGGTTTTTTTAGTTTTTTAGAGCTTATTTTTTTTTATTTTTACGTTATTATTTTGTTATATAAATAAATTATTTTACTAGTTTTTTCTCCTATTATTCTCTTATTTTTTTTATGTTATAGCTTTGACGCGCTTTAATAATATCACGGAAACCCTTTTCTCCTCAAGGACTATAGCGGTCCTTAAATTTATTTTAATAAAGAATATAGTAAAATCTAAGAAGAAATAGAGAACTGAATATCTAAAAAGTTATATATAGGGTTACTAAACCATTAAAAGACCACTTAAAATATTCAAAACAAAGGCCAGCAGTCAGTTTCACAGCCTTATATACTTTCTCACTTTGTGTCTACGTGCAAATATATATTACTGCACCCTATTACCATCTTTGGATAAAATTTTAGTTTTCTTTGTTATTAATTTGCGTGTTTAGTTCCAAAGTTTTTCACTGTGCGAATCATTGAAGGTCTCTTTACTATTTGCTCATCGTACACTTTTGTTTACTTCTGAAAGTATGCTCAGGAGATATTCTTTTTATCAACGGCTTAGCAGTCATTTATATTCGAAAAGGTATCAAGTGCCGTAATAATTAACATTCCGTGCTTTTACAAACTATTTATTATGACAGATTTTTAAGTCTTCCGAAGAAACATACTTTTTCTGAGCTACATAAATACCTTACTGTTATTGGTGTTCCTTTTTCAGGTAGAAACTTGCTATTATTATTTTGTATTTTAAATAAAATAAACTTTTATAACTTACGTTTACCTCTTTTAAAATATTTTATTACACATAATATTTCTGTGCCATTTAGTAATTTTGAGTATAATAAAGACAATTATAAAGCATCTCAACTCATCTCTTGCAAAGTTTTCAGCTCTCCTTTAAGCAAGAGCGGCCTTTTAATACAAGCAGCGCAATAAATATTATTATTAGTCTTAGCTTTGAAGGCAGCTGAAGCATTATTTTTTATAAAATTAGTCTTGTCCCTTTAGTTTTTTTTTTTTTTGATGAATTTCCCCAGTTATTATCACCAAAACAAGTAAATTAATTCAACTTAATTTTTTTATACTAAAGTAGAAGTAGTGAATGTTACAAAGTTAAAGGTAAGCAACTTTAGTATCAACCACTTTTTATAAATTATATATATAAAGAAGATTTCCTTGTCGCCTTTCTTTGTAACTATAGTAAAAGTAGTTCTATTTTTAGGCGGACAATCGAAGCAAGGGGTAGACAAGGCTCCTGATCTTCTGAGAAAAAATAATCTAATAACTTCTCTACAAAGTTTGGGTGAACAAGAACTTTTATGTTTACTCTTTATTTTATGAAAACTTTGCGGTGAAAATAAATACTTAATACTTTTTAAAATTAAAAAAAAAAAGAGATATTTTTTATTGTAATTTTTTTTAAAAAGAAAAGTTGACAGCTGAAAGATGAATTTATTTAATTTTTGTTATTATTATCGGATTCTTAAATATTTTCGTAAACTTCTAAGGATGGCACGTGAACGATTTCGGAAACTTAGCAATCCCTGACGATAAGCATATTCGTAGTAGTGGTTGTAACTTGTTACGGAAACCAGAGTTAGTGGGAAAGGCAACTTTTCTCATTTAAATTTCGTTCACCATTAAAGTTATATTGAAACTTTTTTTTCTCTTTTGGCCTTTAGATTTTTTTATTTTTTTTTACTTATACTTTTTAATTTTTTTATACTTAAAATATTTAAGGTCACGCAAGAGTTATCAGAAGTGGTCTACAACACAGTTTCTCACTTATATAAATCTTACCTATTCGCTCTTAGTTTCTTTCAGTTTTGATAATTTATATAAATTTCCGAGTTGATAATTAAGTATATTTATGTATACTTATGCCTAATTTTTTCGTAATATTATTATTTATAAGTATAAAATACTTAAACCTACTTTTTTTTTTTTTTACAGTTTTTAGGAAATTATTATACTTATTTCAAGTAGAAACTTCACTTTTTTCTAATTCAGGCTTTGGAATGCAAATTTGTTCTGTGTCTTGGTGGAGATCATTCCGTTGCTATTGGAAGTGTTTACGGGTATTATTATTTGTATTTTAAAAAAATTAAATATAAAATTATATTCAGCATCCACTATGTTGCTAGTATTACTTATTTCAAATAACTTTTTAAAATTATTTAAGTGCATTCCAATCAGTTTTAGTATAAAAAAAAGAAGTCAACTCGTAAGTAAACAATAATTTTTTGTAGTGTATTTTTTCAGTTATTCCAAATTGATATAATTTATTGTCTTTAAAATGTTTAGAATTTCAAAAGTTTATCCGGATATTGGAGTTTTATGGGTGGACGCTCACGCCGATATTAATACTTCAGGTAAAACTTCTGCCGTCAGAGCTCCAAAAATATATATGAGTAGTTATTGGATCTGGTAGTACTATCCATAATACTGAAGTTTAGTAGCTTTTTTTTTTCTTTTACAGATTTCTACTTCTACAAATACGGTTAAGCATTTCTATATAAATCTAAACTTATAGAGAAAATAAATAATAGTATTATTTATCAATCACATGTGTTGTTCTTTGAGAAAAATTAATAAAAAGTATTTTTAGTTGTCGTGTTTACAAAAAAAAAGTGAATGTTTAATTCAGTCTTCATTTTTTTTTTTTAAATAATAGCTGTCGTTTATTTCATTTAATTGGTAGAGACTACGCGCTCGGGAAATTTGCATGGCATGCCTTTAAGCTTCTTACTTGGTGATTGGATTTAATGTTTCATTATTTTATGTACCTTTCTGTATGTTGGGGAACTACGCGATCGTTATTAATATTTCCGAGTACAACCTACCTGATGATTGGTGTAATAGGTTCATTGTTGCTAGAAATTTTTTGGTTCGTTGGGGATCTTTGGTATTATAATTTTTACTTCGGCTATGAAGCTGTATGGTGATTGGTTTTCAAGTTTATTGTACTTAGTAAGTTTTTGTTTGTTGGATATTTCTGAGTCGTTATTTATAACGATAGCCGTGAACCACTTCTTGGTTATTGGGTCTACAAGTTCATTATTTTTAGTAATTTCTGTTTGTTTGGAGTTTTCGCCATCCTTAGTAGCTTTTTTTTTTTTGGGGGATAGCTTCTTATTAATATGGACGAATGCTTTGAGTTTTATTATGTTTTGTTTATTGTGTCAAATTAGATTAAAGTTCTCTTTATGTTTCTTTATTTTTTTGGAAGCTCTTTACTTTCACTATATATAAGGACTTCCTAATCACTGCTCCAGCTTTGATTGGCTTCCCACCACCCCTCCAGTATTAGCCAGGAACCAACTTGTATATATTGGCCTGAGGTATTTCATTTTTTTTTCTTTCCTTTGTTTTATTTAGCCAGTTAATAAAATATATAGAAGTAAATATATATTTTGTGTATACCCTAAAATTTCATAATATATTTAAGTAAAAAAAAAAAAATTACTTATACTAATAAAATGTCCTAATAAATAATGAAAGAAATATAAAGAAAATATGAATCTACATAAGAAATAAGTAAAAAATAAATGGGTATTCCGATTAACTACTTCTTTTCTTCCCAAAATTTGTCGGGACTGGCACATATGCACTAAACTGTTTTAGTATAGTTTTCCTATAAATTGATTTAAACTACTAATGGGGGATATTTATATTTAAGTTATATCACCAACAATTTATTTATAACAATTCCAGCTTGTAAAGGGTTAACGCAATTACATACTCCTTATTTCTACAGTATATGAAAAGTTAGAATTAGCTCCGATAAACCATGTGCTCATACCCAGTGTCACAGTATTCCTTTTTTCCCGTCTCACAGTTTGACTATTTTTTTTTTTTAACTATTAGAAAATCACTTTAAGAAAAGTTATTTAACCTTATCAAAAAAAAGATGTTATTCATATTAAATAAAAATAGTCTTAGAAAAATTATGTTCGAATGAACCTCCTTTACTTTAATTTTTTCATTCGAAGGAGAGGGGGAGGTCATTCAGTCTCACTGATTGTACAGTTACCGGAGCCTAGATGTTTGGCCCTCCTTATAACGTAAGTAGAAAAAAAACACGGCGACCAAGAATAAAACACTTTAGAAAACAACGTAGTTATGGGCCCTTGCTGACTTTTCTATTAAGCTCCTCGGTAAAACCTCCTGAAGGATCCAATACCATAAGAGCACAGCGAAAAAAATCTTTACCTACGCAGTTTACTTATACTATAAACTTAAGCCTTTTGTGAAAAAAAAAAAGTTGTCTGAATATAATACTACTTTCCAGCGCTGCCTAATACAGATAAACTAACAAGACACTCCCAGCGGTACTCAGTAAATCCTACTTATTAATATGTTATACTTGCATTCCAAATCAAGTGCCTTTAGAATTGACTGCTACGACTGCCAATTATAAAACATAAATATTTTTTTATTTTGCTTTGAAAATTATGTATTTACGAGACTAATGACAAAGGCTACCATGGCGACCTACTAGTTGTATAAAAAAGTTTACTTATCCCGGGCTACCAACTTACAACCCTCCCGTAGGCTTGTAGAGGAGGAACAAGAAGAAGACACCAAAGTTCTTCGTTGCTCCTCTCTCTTCCCCGTAATGAAATATATTGCAACACGAGACGTCAAGCGCACATTTGTAGGTGCGTCTTATAAAGTTTATGATTAAAAGTGAGATAGCTATGAAATGATGAAACTTATTAATACAATACTTGACAATTCTTTTTACTGTTACCAAAAGGGACCGTACTGGGAAATTTATTTTTTTAGGTTAATAAACTACCTAAAATAATGCTGAGAGTCATCTTTACTTATTATATGTTTATAAAAATTAAGTAATTTTCCTTTATTACATATTTTTAAAAACATTGGTAAGTCGAAAAATAATTTTTTTTCTCTTCTCGAGTTCTTTAATGAATATTTAAAATGGGCCTTCTCTGACGGTGATATTAACCAATGAGATGATAGTTTCAAGCCTACTTATGAAGGGCTGATAGTGCTCTCTTGCCTTATTAAGTTCCAACCCATTTCCTACTGCCACTTTAAAGTTTCTAGTATAAGAGATTTGTATTATAATATTGGAATTTTTTAATAAACTTAAACTTTTAACTTTTAAAGTATTAAAGATAACTTATATTTGCCCTCTGCAATTTCTCAGCTAGAGAATTATTAGCTGATATTGTTAGTAACGTTATAACTTAATACTTCTTTGCCTTTAATTCATATGTAAGATAGTTTTAGACGTTGCTTATCTCATTAACTAATTAATTTTTTTTGTGTACGTCCTAATAACAATTTAATTTTGCGAACTATATGTATTGCTACTGGCCTAACAGTAACTATCCCTCTCCATATTTACCTTTTTAATAGTAATATATTGCTTACGAATTCATTTTTTAACATGAATAAAGCATGAAATTTCCTAACTCGTTAAAAAAAAAAAACCAAAAACTAATAGGTAATAAAGGTTATGCATACGTACTGCACGCATCACCAACGTTACGAGATAAGCCTTTGTAAAAAGGTAATTAAAGGCGTCATGGATATGACGCCAACATGAGATATGTTAGGGTGTGAGTTCTTCCTGACGGCCTTATTTTATGATATAACCTTTTCCTTAATTTGTTCTGCCTGCTTTTAGTTTAAAATTAAGCAATTTCCGAGTTGTACGTATGCATAACTTCCTCACCTCTTTCGCCGCATTCAACATGTCTTTAAAGCATAGTACTTTCCCTTAGTATAAAAAAACATGTTTCTCTATAATGAATGACATCTTCGTAAAACGTGAAGATATCCCACTTGTTCGTTTTAATTAATATATAGGTAAAAAAGCGCAGCCGAAGTTCGCTACTGGAGCAGTATCGCCGTATTAGACCGTCTCTGTTGCGTGGCATTATATAATTAGATCACTTGACAAAGATGATCTACTATGGCGGTACTTCTCTAATAGCGAACCTTCGTTAGCGCTAACTTACCTACATACATAAAATGAATTATTGGGATATCTTCACGTTTTACGAAGATGTCATTCATTATAGAGAAACATGTTTTTTTATACTAAGGGAAAGTACTATGCTTTAAAGACATGTTGAATGCGGCGAAAGAGGTGAGGAAGTTATGCATACGTACAACTCGGAAATTGCTTAATTTTAAACTAAAAGCAGGCAGAACAAATTAAGGAAAAGGTTATATCATAAAATAAGGCCGTCAGGAAGAACTCACACCCTAACATATCTCATGTTGGCGTCATATCCATGACGCCCTTAATTACCTTTTTACAAAGGCTTATCTCGTAACGTTGGTGATGCGTGCAGTACGTATGCATAACCTTTATTAACTATTAGTTTTTTGTTTTTTTTTTTAACGAGTTAGGAAATTTCATGCTTTATTCATGTTAAAAAATGAATTCGTAAGCAATATATTACTATTAAAAAGGTAAATATGGAGAGGGATAGTTACTGTTAGGCCAGTAGCAATACATATAGTTCGCAAAATTAAATTGTTATTAGGACGTACACAAAAAAAATTAATTAGTTAATGAGATAAGCAACGTCTAACATCTTACATATGAATTAAAGGTAAAGAAGTATTAAGTTATAACGTTACTAACAATATCAGCTAATAATTGTCTAGCTGAGAAATTGCAGAGGGCAAATATAAGTTATCTTAAATAGCTAAAATCTATGTCTCTAAAGAGTTTTACTGTCTTAATACTTATATCTATTATATAAGAGACTTGGAATTTGTAGTAGGTAATTTTTTTTTTTTTTAACTGTCTAAAATTTGCGTTTGCGTGCAAACCTTGATATGGTTTAACAGTTAACGAAAACAACGCGTCGCTTCTGCACGTGCTTATAAATTTAATAAAAATAAGTAACTGTATTAGGGCATCTTTAATGCTAAGGCTTCCGTCGTTGCATATATAAAAAGTTCCTTAAAAATTAGGTTTGGGATTGGTTGATTAGTATTAGGCCATACAGCATGGTGTTCATCTGGTATTCCCGTAGCGATATGTATCTAATGGAAAAAATTTTGAATTATATATATCAACAAGTAGTTTTAATAAAGTTTTTATTTATTTCTGTTGGGGTATTAAAAAGATAGAGCTCTTCGAAATAAATATTAACTGATATGTTTATTCAAAATTATAAAAAAATCTCCTAAATGGCAGCACTTAGTTAACATAAAATAAATAATATATTTATTGCCCAATCAAAATCTATAGAACTGGACCTTTAATATTGAAAATATGTTTTTTACAATACAGCCAATTAAGCTGAACGATAATTATATGTAACTATATATAAATAGTATTCACAAACAAAATATATAGTAAATATAACTTTTCTAGGTTTTATTTAATAAAATAATACAACGAATAGTATTCACATATATTATCTTTAATTTCTCTGTAATATTTAATTTATTAAAAAAATAAAATATTAAAAGCTCCTATTCACATTTATATATTTTGAGTTTTTTTTTTTTGATTTTGGTGTGCATAAAGATCCTTTATAAAGTTTTTTATGGTATTCTTTGTTTCTCAAAAATATTTTAAAAATTGTATCAAGTTGAGGGTACTACCACTTTTTTCGTTAAAATTTTTGAATGATCTTGCAGAGTTAGTAGTAAAATTTCTTATAACTGTTGAATTATTACTATAATTACTTTAACACCAACATAAGTATAGACGATTTATGAAATTTTGCATAGTTTATTATATGAAAACAGTTATGTTTATTGTTGCTATGTTTCATTCTATTCAATAATTTTTTTGTTTTATCCAATTGTTAGAGATGTTGAACCCGAAGAAAAGAGACTTCTTTGCCAGTTAAATATTACAGTTTTCGATATGGGCGATGTCAACCAGTATGGTTCATGTTCTACACTTTCTTAATACTAATGATTCGCAAAAGTTAATACAAAAACAGTGAAAAGGATTATTTATCATGTCATTTATATCTTTTTATATAGAAAATTTCGTTTTTAGATATCGTTTTATTATTATATATGTGTAATAATATTGTTAAATTTCATTGATACCCTGAGAAAACGGTTTTATTACTTAAAAGGTTTACTTTATAAAGAGGTGTGTTACTTGAAAAGTTATATTATAAATATTTTTATCGTACCAGAAAAGAAATCGTAATAATAATAAAATTCTTAATATATACTGTTCTTGTAATTAATAATATTAAAAAAAAAAAATTGAAAACTTTTAAACACAATATTTGACGAATCATTTGCTTCCGCACTTCTCTGCTAACTTAGTACAGTCAACCAATCCCTTTGCAGTTAATTTTTTTTAAAATTCCCATTTATTGGTCAAGATTGTAATAAGGGAAAAAATCCTTTTTGTTGTACATGCAACAACAATCATAATGCTTTGAATCACTAAATTAGCTTACACAATTAGCCAATCATGCGTAGTTAATTTTATTGTCCGGCTTAAAAGACTCGGCATTGGAAACATTATGCAAGTTATAAAAAAATTGATTGGAGAACGCCCGGTGCACGTGAGTTTCGACATTGACTCTCTTGACCCCACCGAAGCGCCTGCAACCGGCACGCCCGTCAGAGGTCTCTATGTAAAACACTCCATCAATGACAAGACCCAACTTTTTTGTAATGAAGGCGGGTTAACGTATCGCGAAGGAGTTTATATATGTAGAGCTCTTCAAGAGTTTAACACGGTTTCGATGGATCTCGTGGAAATAAATCCTCTTCTTGGTATTATTATTATTACTATAATTCTTATTATCACTATTATTGTTATTATTGATAACGTTGTTATTACAATTAAAAAATATATATATTTTAGGGAGTAGCGAGAATGCTGATCGAACTATTCAGGCCGGTAATAAAGAAATAATAAACTACTCCAGTAATAATAAATTATAACTTGATCACCCGTTCGCAGGCCTTCATATGATCTACAATGTGATGGGCCAATGCTAGCTAGGCCAAGCACCAATAGTATTATAATAAAGATGCTCATTTTCTAATTATTTTTTAATTTCTTTGTTATTATTACAAATATTTTTATTACGTTTTTATTATTATAAGTATAAAACTTGAATTAACGTTTATTATAATTTTAAAGTTAGGTAAGAACTATAAAACGTAACCACAACTTTTGTAATCTTTACAAAAAACTTTAGAACTAATTTTTTGGTTCCTTTAGTATTAGTGGGATCAAGTTAATTTAAAATACTAGACAACTTCAACTAATATATAAAAGTTTAATAAATATAAATATATGTTAAGGCTCTTCGTGCGCACGCCATTTACTTATTTGCGCTGGAAAGCTAAAAGAACATATATTATAATTTATTTAATGAATACTATTTTAGATTATAATTAAAATATTGATATTACAAAGTACGAGTCCTTCATTCCCTAGAGATTTTGTTAAACACAGTGAGAATGGCTTTATGAGTAAGACAGTAACAACTTTTAAAGTTAAAAAAAAACACACTTTTCTAACGAGGCGTTGATAATTGAGTTCTCATAGTAGTTCTAGCAGTATAAGTTTAAGGGCGTAGTTCATATTAATAAATGCAATAAAGGCTAGCAATGAAAGAACCCTCTTGAAAAGATAAAGGTCTAGTAATATTGTCGTAAAGGATACTCTTTGTTTAGATGGACCCGCTTGTAAAACATTTATACCGTAATTGAAAGGAGTGTCAAGAAAAAAAAAATTTATAATATAAAAATATCTTATAAACTTTTCGTTTTAATTTCCAGCGGTTGCCTACATAATAAACGGTTCATATAATAAGAAACACTCTTGTCCTACGGATATATAAGGCTGAGCGTTAACCAGGGTCGGCGGTTTAACGCACTTTATAAAACCTCTATATCGAGTCTTCCTGCTTGTTTGCTTTTAGTAACTGCCTTCCTCTGCATTATTTATAAACTAAAAGTTAACTTTGAATGTTTAATTCTTGACTTTTTTTAATCCCTTATTAAATAATAGTGCTTGACTTTACCTATAATAATGAATGACTTAAAATCAGTTGTTACTCAGTTACGATCTCTAGCGTCTGTCAAAGATAATAGAGCACTTATAATCAAAGATGAACATTGCATACCTAGTTTAATAACTTTTCTTAATAATGAAGAAGAAGACTTGGTTTTCACTGCTCTAGAGGTTTTATTTATTTTTTGGAGTTTAGAATTAGTTTTTATATAATAAAGATTGATACCTCTATTTATTGTAATTAAAACTTTTGTTATATAGACTTTTAGATATCTTAGTGAAGAGGTCGAAGTTAAAGAACTTCTTCTTAAAAATAAAAATTTTGTTTTTGGTATAATGCGTCTTTTAGAAAGTGTTCGCACTTCTCCACGTAACAAAGCTGTGGCAGCCTCTATTTTCCGTCAATTTTCTAATCAAAAGCTCTCGTCTAATACACAAAACTACAAAAGCCAGCCTTCACAGAATAATAACCCGCCGAAAAAAGTTGTAGTTGGGAATGGTAATTTACTAATTCCTAGTGAAGAAAATAATATTCAGAAAAGCGACATTAATAGCGATCTTAGTGAACAGTTTTCTAATTCTGAATGTCAAGTCTCTTGTAAATCTTTAATAAGAAAAAAAAAAGAAAGAACTGAAAGAACAATAAAGGGGTTTAAAGGAAATACTTTTTCTTTTGTTTTATTAGTGGATCATATAAACGACGTACAGAAAGATGTTGAGGTGTTATTTCACTTAAATTTATTATATTTTATAATTATTTGTTTATTTACTGCTACTATTTTTCGTATGATATAACTTTACTCTAAGAGTTCCTTTCTAATGTTTTAATTTATTCAGTTTATATAACTTATTTATCTTAATTTTAAAATTTTTATTACAACATAATTTATAATATTTCGCATTCTTTAAGTGTTTTATTATACATCTTTTTTTTGCATTTTACACATTGAAACAAATTAACAAACTTTACCAGATAGCCTAGTTCATTGGAATCGCCGCTGGGATATAGTGCTTGTTACTATAGAATATATAGTAATGAGACTGTATAAGAATAGTACCGTTACCTAGTATATATATTAGAAAGACGGCGGCGAATTCTGTTAATTAAATAACTTAATTTATAAATAAATTTTTACTTTTTTTTTATTGTGTGCAATATGTTAATATAGAAACTTAACCGTTTTGTACTTTATGTATAAATCTTTAACTTTTACTTTGCCTTTCAGATGCTTTTTTAAATTTATTTATGTTAACACTATTTAATTTTATAGATTAATTATTTATTTTAATTCGGTTTCTTTAATAATTGGGTTCTAGTTGTGTATATATAACTAAAGTTTTACTAGCTATATTTTATAATTTTTATAATTGGAATGATAAAAAGTAAATTATACTTTTATTAATAGTTAAATTAAATTTTTTAAAAGTTGAGTAAATATTCTATATAGTTTTCTTTGTAAAATAGTTTCTAGTTATTTATTAAAATTTTACTTTTTTTTTTTATATAAAAGAAATAAAGTCGGTTTATATATTAAATCCTCTAACTTCTTTAAAGATGGGATTACTACGTTGCAAGGGAGTTGTGAGTTTTACTATTGATAAGAGCACTTCTACTGTGACCGTCTGGGCTTTAAAGGATATAAATCCACGTGACGTATACAAAAGCATCTTCAACGTCAATAGTTCGGTGAATGTATAACTTTTTACTTCATTTTTGTTTTCCTTAGACAGTAAAATTTATGATGCTTTTTATCGGTTCAAGTTTACTTGCTTTTTATAATTGAATAAAAGGGTTTTTAAATTATTTATATCTTTTCAATTTAGCAAATTATTTTATTTTTTTAATACAAGTAACTTAATAACATATGTTTTTTAAAAAATTATAAAAAAATTAAATTCCAAAACAAAAAACATTTAAATGAAAAATTACCTATTAAAAATTTTTAAAAACGTATTCTCCTTTCTTTTTTTTAAAAATTATAAAACAATAATAAGGAATAAATGTAATAAAAACATAAAAGTAATATTTTTTACTTCTTTTAAGCTAATTCCAGATATTAAACTTTAGTTTTTTTTACTTTTATTTAATTTATTAAATTTTTAAACTAAGTTTTTTTTAGATCAACTTCTATTAGTTTTTAATCGTAAATATTAGTAATTTACATTGTTTTTTTTTGAACTCTTCCATATGTTATTATAAATATTATCAGGTATTTTTAATAAATAAAGTTTAATATTTTTAGAGTATGAAATATTAATAATATTCACGTTATACTCTTTGCTTTCCTATCGTTCATAACAATTTATTAGGAAACAATTAATTATAATTAATTTTTTTTAATATAGTGATGATTTTATGAAATATTAATAATATTTTGATTTTAACTTCATTTTTATAAATAATAAAATTAGCAACTACTCTTTTCTTTTTGTTTTTAAACAGTATTCAAGTTATTATTAAAAAATTAAACTTTTCAGTTTATAACAATTTTTTTCAATGGTACATTCGTTGCACTCATTTTTATTAATAATTAATATTAACTTGATTGGAAGTTTATTAAATTCTTTTTTGAATCTTAATTTTAATATTATTTTATTTTCGTAATAAAATTGAGATTTACATTTTTTTCTCTATTTTTATATGACAATTTTTTTGCAGTATAATAAATTAATATCCGTAGTATAATACTAACTTAAATTAGAAGTTTTTTATCTTTTGCTATAATTTTAGGTCGACATTTTATTATTTTCATAATAACTTAAAAATCTTAATTTTAATTTAAATTTTTTTTTAAATTCAATAATTTTATATACTTTAGTATTTTATTAAAACTTTAACTTTTTTTATAACACTTCTATTTTCATATAAGCCCCGTCAATTAATTTCGGACGCCAACGGAACTCGCGCTGTAATTAATCTTTCTAGTGAATCCGATGTGCTTGGTTATTTACTAATTTTACTTTGTTTTAGTTTAAATTAATTTTTTTTATAAAGAAATTTCACTTTATTTTTTAAAATTTTATTATATAGTAATTTATTATTTAATGTGTTAATTTATTTCATCTTTACCTAAATTTGTTCCTGTTGTGTAGCTTTAATTCTTTTTTGCTATAATAATGTGCTCCCTTTTTTAATGCAGATCTTTTTTGTAAGAAAGATTGCTATTGCTATTAAAAAATTTAAATTCTTTGTAGTAAATTTAAGACTTTATTCTAGTATAAAACTTTTTAAACACCAGCATAAACTAATATAGAAATTTTTGTTGAATTTTCTAGTAATTTAAGTTATATTTAAAAGACATCTATAATTATAAAAAAAATATGATAAACTGCAAAGACAAAAAATCTACATTTATCAATTCTGTGTGTGCGCTTTCATATATCTAATAATTTTTTTTTTGCTACTATAAATTAATTTTTTTTCATTTGGTAATTTAGTAAATTTGCAATAGATATAAAATTAAAAAAAATATATATTAAATAAAAATTGCAGCTTTTTTATATTTAATTTTGAAAAAATTTAATTTTATAACAATATTTAATTTTTTTTTTAAAAATTTTGATTTTTTTTACTTTCTTTTCTTATTAGTTTATTTTATTATTTAAAGATAATTTTACTTTTTAAAAAAAAATATCTCTATATCTCTAATATATAATAATTTTTAAATTACTTTTAAATGCTTTATAATAACTTTTGGCTATTATTTATTATTCTAGTAATAATTTCTTTTTTTTTAATTAAATTTTCTTTATGAGATTAGTTTAAAACTTCTACAGTAATTATTAAAAACATTGGCGGAGTTTGTTTTTATTTTTATAAAATAATTAATTTTTCTGTTTAAAGTGTTTCAATTATTATAATCCTAAGTTCTGAAAATTTTTAAAAACACAAGATTATTTGTTTAATTAAATATTTAATATATTTTTTCATGCTTTCAACTTTTATTTATTATTTTTTTAATTTAACTTCTATTTCACAATATAAAAAGTAATTTAAATTTTAATAATTATGAACCTTTTATAACTTTTCTACATCAAACTTAAACATCACATCTCTAGTAGTTTACTTTGAATTAAATTATTTTTCAACGCGTATAAATTATTAAAAAAAGTAAGTGACAACATTTGCATTTTTATTTTTTTATAATTGACTTTATTTTAGATTTTAATATAACTTTACTATATTAACATTAACTTTTAAAAAAAGTTTATTACAAACAATTTAAATCTTTTAATAAAATTATATTTAGCAGTTGCCTTTTATACCAAGTTGAAAGTTGTTATTTTTAAATAAAATTTATCGATTAAATTTAATTTAACTGATATTTATATACATTCAAAAAAATTTTAGTTTAGATTAAAATAATTTTTATTAATTAGAATTTATTATTAATAGTTGAGTATTGCTAAAAGCTTTTATATTAAAATTTCATTATTATTTATGATTAATTAATTTTATAGCTAAATTTTTTCTTTATGAAAAGTAACTCCAATAGATTAATTATTTAAAATTTTGTAACTAAAAAAGAAATTTTAATAAAGTTTAACTTCTATAGACCACGAAGGTTACCTTATTGAACCCGCTCAAGAAGCTGAAAAACCTTTTAAATTTGGAATTTTAAGTAAATTTGGAGATAACAAAGAAACCACTAATTCTTCTTGGCTGGGAAGTATCGGAAAGTACATATCAAAAAGTTTATATTGGTGATCTAATTAATAAAAGAAAAATAACTTTTTTTAAATTGGAATAGTTCTAGAAATTGTACAATTCTAATTTTTTTTTCCTCTTAAAAATTTTCTAAAACTGTTTGTAAAATGGAAAGCATTTTTCACTTACGAACTTTCACCGTTAATTATGGAATGTTCGCAAAGTTACGCAATAAGTATCTGAGTGAAAAAAAAAAAAGAGTATATTTATAATGTACTTAGTAGACGAAGAGGTGCTTATTTGTGTATATCAGGCGAGCAAAGCGTTGAAAATTTATAAACTGTTCCTATTATTCAACTTCGCGAAAAGTAAGAAAAATAATTATGACGCTAAGAAATTAAAAATCTATTAAAAAATATTTAAGCTACACTCGATTTTTATACTTTTTTTAAAATTTTTAAAAGAACTTATTTGAAGGCGCGAGTCGTCTATATTACCAAAAAAGGTCAACATCAGCGTTCGTCCAATATAATTGTAAAATCTAGTTTAAAATTAAAAAATTTTAATAAAGTAATTATTTAGTTGAGTTTCTTTTATAATAAAAAATTGATTCTTATAAAAGTTGTATTTGTAAAGTATATTACTGTAGAAGAACTACTATTATTAACGAAATTTCAAAATCGGATATGCAGAGTATTATTAATGTCGGACATAGCTAAAAAGCTGGTGATTAACTTCGCCACTAACTTCGATAAGGAGATGATGACACTTTTGTAAAGTGTGTAAGGCTGCCAAAGTTTTTATTTAAGAAATAGTTTTCCACTTATGCAAGCGCGAGCGCACAACATCAGTAAGAATAATAAATATCACTGGAGAGTCTTATTCGTTAGTATTTTTTTCTGTTATAGAGGCTTTCATGTTTATTTTTGTTTATTGTTACAGAAGAGCATCTTCCCTAGAGCTATTCTGCATAACAATATAGTCTTGCTACCCAAACTTTACAACATATGCCGAAATACCAAACAATTAAATAATTTTTTATTGCTTTCCCTGAAACAACAAAGCACGATTGCAATTCAAACAATCCATCAACTGAAGAATCCAGAATTATTGACTCTGATTTTTTATAAATAACCGAAGAAAAACTATATAGAAAGCATGGAACCGCCGTATAGATGGGCGTTGTCTTAAACTGCTTCCAATTTAATAAAGTTTAACTTAGTGTCTTGTTCAGAATTTATTATGTTGAATCTACTTCACTCGTTAAAAGGGAAATATATAAAAGTAATTAAAAAAGAAGGGAGAGTTGTTGGCGCTTAGAAAATATATTCATGCCGCACTCTATCAAGCTTTTAAAAATTAAGTAGACGACAGCTGAATGTTATTTGAGGTAAGGTTCTCTATAAGTATCCCCCGCGAGCCTAGGCAACTCTAGCGCTGGGGAGTAAACTTACGGAGGCGAAGGGAAAGTTCAAGGTCATCATATATTGTATTTGAAGATTTTTAATCAGATGAGAGTTCCTGCTTCCAATTTCGTAGGTTAAAGAAATCCTACATTGCGCTTGAGCACATTTAAATTATGAGTTATAGAAGAGTAGTTCTTTTAAAGAACTCAGTGTTAATCTCATAAAGGAGTATTAACAAAGTAATGGAAGAAAACCACGACTACCTTTACTAGAACCGCCATTAATTAAAGAAAATGACTCTTGCACGCCGGAGAGGCTTTGGGCTACATATATAGTATTTTGGCGGCTCATTTTGAAAGATTTACTCTAACTGATTAAATTTTTTCTGGCGTTTGTAGTCAGCTAGTAATTATTAGTATTAAACTCCAAGTTAGGCCCAATCACATCAATGCTTTGAGTACATATTTTTGATATTCTTAAATTTTTTTTTAAGGCATCTGTGTTTAAGCACAAAAAGTTATTTTTTTTTCGCTGATGCTTTGTTTACATTAATCATGTGCTAAGTATTTAACTAAACAAAGTAGTTACTAGTTTTTACTAAGTTGGGTCTAATCACATCAATTCGTAAAGTACAATTTATTTTGTAAAACACAATACGCACTATATAAAGGTTTCTAATTTTGTAAAACAGAAGTAACCATTTTTTTTTTCGCAGGTGCTTTGTTATTTTTAAGTTTGCTATCTGTTTGATTTACAACTAGAATACAATATGAACGGTAGTCTTCTAGGATTACACCTTTACGAACCATAGTATAATAAAACTATTATATTACGTTAAATAAAAGATTCTCTCATTATCATAGTTGTATAAGTCGATAATTGTAAGGTTTAATAAAAAAAAACTTTGTTGGCATGCCTATTGATTAATACTATTCAGTTTCACAGGTGTGGTTGGCCCGTTTTAATATTAGGTTTTAATTAACTTTAACTCTAGTGAATGTTATGTTGGTGAAAGTGATTTTTCTCGTTGTTCATTATTTTACATATGCGCGCTTTACTTTAATCTCTTTCTTATTTCAAATCTTATAGTAATTATAGTACTTTTACCCATAAAGTTTCCACCCTCAGCGTTTTATTAATAAAACAGGCGACTCTAAATACAAACTATATAAATTAGCAGTTACCTTTTACGAAATTAACGTGGCAGGCTGAAAACTATTGCGCAATTTCTTTTAAATAACATTTTTATATAGCATTTCCATGTTATATTATTTTTAAATTTTTATATTAATTTTATCGTTATGGTGTATATATTTTTTATTTTCAGTGTTTAATATTATAAAAAGGTATAATATTAAGTGAAGAAAGCCAACAAAAACTGTTTATTTTTCTTGGACGAACTACTACGTCACAAATAGTCGCATCCACTAAAACACTCCACGACTATTTTTTGGTTGCATACGTACGCGTGACTGGCATGTTTCGAGGAGAATTTCAAAATTGATATGCATAAAAGAAACTAAAAAGCACTTGAAAAAGGCTTAATTCAGAAAATTATCGAGCAAGAAATGCATTACAAAATATGGAAAACCACATATTTCTATTAGTATTATACATAAAAATAATGAAGGTAGTTTTACTTATAAAAATACTTTTAAATTATCTTTTATAAAAACTTAGAAATTCTCACAATATAATAACCATATTAATAAATATTTATTATAATCCTTTTAAGCTCCGTTAAAAGACACAACTAGATCCGACATGGAGTCATTTTGTTCAATACATAACCCTTTTTCATTGGCCAAATGAAGCAAACATACGAAGCACATGGGAACTAATAAAAATAAGAAAGTTTTACTGACAAGTTTTGAAGGGTTAGGCGAATTTTTTATAATAAAAAGTATTCAAGGGACAATATGAAAAAGTTATAAAGTTTATAGAGTAATAAAATTTGCTCAAAAATGTTATATACGGCCCATAAAAACTAATAAAAAAAAGAAACATTTATGATATTCTAGATAAAAACTTTTTTATTATTAGTAATTATTTCTTAGTAATATATACTAATAAAGAGTTTATCTGTAAATTTTATTAATGAACATGAGGCACAGAATATAAAAAACTTATAAAGTTTATAAAAGTATTAATATTACTTTTATTATAGTTTACATTTTTTTTATATTTCTAAAGTTTTATATATTTAAAATTTTTTTTAACTAGACAAAAACTTTTATTATTATTATTTTTATTTTATAATAACATATTTCATTAATAAAATTTATAAAGCACGAGAGAATCAGAAAATATAAAAACTGTAACAAAGTTTATAAAAGTGTTAGTATACTTTTATTAACTTCTTATATATATATTTTATTATTTATTAATAATTTTTTTAACATTTCTTAATGATAATTGTCTAAAAAATTTATATAATAATTTTTTTCTCTTTAATATTTTTATTAGCATTGCAAAAAATATATGTATAGAGTTAAAGTAAAAAGATTATACCATAAAAAATAAATTTATTGTTTAAATTTTGTAATAAACAATAAATTTCTTAATAATAATAAAATAAAATATGCAATATTTTCTAAAAATAGTGTTTTACTTAAGCGCCTTCTCTTAAATCGAAATAGATGTTAAATTCTACCAAATTATATGTAAATGGCCAATAAAATAAAAATTTAGAGTCTATATATTAATTTTTATTATGTTTATTTTTTTTAAAAAAATTATAATGAAATTTAAAAACTCAACAATACTTTCAGCTTTTTTCAATAAGTAAAACGCTCTTCAAAAAAAATTTATAATAAATTTTAAGAATAAAAATGTTTTTGCTGGATTATAGTGAAATTCGTTAAAAAAATATTTAATATTTTTATATAATAAATCTCTTTTTTTTAACGAGAAAAAACATATTTTTAAAAAGCTTAAACCTAATAAAAAAAAACCTATTCATAATGAAAAATGAAAGTTTTAGGTTTGTATTATATAACAAGAAGAAGTATGAAGACTAGAAAATTAAAAGATAATAACAATAGTAATATACATATCAAGTTTTTTAAAATAATATATAATGAAACTTTTGAGGATATGATGAAACTTTTGAAGATATTAAATATATTAGTAACACATAAAAAGTTTCTGTAATAATATTAAGCATTAAAAAATTTTTTTTAGTGCAACTAATAATAATAATAAAATTATATATTCATAAAAAAATTGTAAATACCAGAAACGTTTCGAGCGAGTTCTTCAGGCATTTGTTTTGGTATTTTTTTAAATATTTCTGAAAATTTGGGCTTTTCATGTTTAGAAATTTTAGACTGCATTAGAAAAATTACAAAATTTATATAAATATTAAAAAAAGGTTTTATTATTATAATAATAAAATAAAACTTTAATAAAAGTTTAGACTGAAAAATAAAAAAAATCAGAAATAATAAAACGGATAATAAAAAGTTTTTATAAAAATGATTTTATAATAAGAAAAACTCAATATATATGATAATATATAAAAATTTTATAGACAATTTTAGGAATGCATAAAAATGTTATAAAAAAAATTCATTATAAAAAGTAGAAATATATATATAAATTATTAAAAAAAGGCGTATTTCTGTAATAATAATAAAAAAAAACTTCAAAGAAATTTTTTTTAGTGCATAAAAATTCACTTAGAAAAGTAAATGTAATAAAAACATTATGAAAAGTATATAAACTTTTCAATTTTTTAATGGACAATGATACTAAAACTTTAAAGAAATTTTACTAAAAAATAAAATAAAAAGAGTTTTGAAATTCACATAGAAAAGTATATATAGAAAAATAACATAGAAAGTAAAAAAAAAGGTTTCAATTTATTTTAAAACAAAAATAATAAAACTTTAAAGAAATTTTATGCCACACTAATAAAAATACTACTAGAAAAAAATATAAAAAATAATGTAATTTTTATAATATTTTAATAATATTAGTAATAATAATAATAAATAATAAAGAAAGAAAGAAAGAAAAACTTCAAGAGCGTTAAGTATATTTGTTTTGAGCAAAGTCACGTCCATTCTAGTTGGCTGCTTCGCATAATTGATTTCAACCTTTTCTATGTGTCTTCTCACCGTTTCAGTTTCCTTATTATTATTATTATTATTATTATTCTTTTAATTATTAATATTCTTTAGATATTAAAAAGTTCGTTTATATACCGTTACTAATGTTTTTAATAATAGATATTTTTTTTATAATTTTATTAAATATATGTAAGTGGTTATTTATATAATATAACCAATACTTTTTATTTTTAGCCATAATATATAACAAACATAAAACTTCTTAATTTTCTTATAAGTTATTTATATTACATAAAAAAATAATAATTTCAGTAATATACATTCATTATAAGATTACTAGAAATTTTTTAGAATTACTAGATTAATGTATTCAAATTAATGTATTCAGTACTAATAATCGTTTACTATTTATTATTATACAATATTATATAGTATATTTCATTATGAATAAACTGATTTATTATTAATTATTATTATTTAATACTTTTTATTATAATAATTAATTTGCATATTACTATTTAATATTTATAATTAGTAATCTGCGTTTTATTTCCTGTTGAGTATTAATAGTTATGCACTTCATTTTTTATATCTTTACTATCTTTATTCTAATTATCTATAATAATTATTATTTTGTACCTTAATTTTTATTTATTTTTTTTATTATTATTATTAGTATAATTTGTATACGTTCTGCAGGCCATCATCATTATCAAGCATATCCTCTTCATAATTATTTAGTATGGAAGTCGCCTCGTTGGATAAAAAAGAAGCCTCTGTACGCATCAAGTGCAAATGTGTCAGTAACCAATAGTACACATACAATTAAGGTATGAAAAATATTCCAAGTTCTGAGCTTAAATAACTGTAAGTTGGTAGAAATAGTATAAAGTGGTTATTTTTGTTATAATATTCTGTTAACAAAAAGTTCCTTACTTTTTTAATAATTCATAATAAAATTATAACTTATTATTATTAAACATCAAAAAATATTGAAAATAATATTTAAAAAAAGTATATCCCTTTTTTTCAATGAAAAAAAAAAAGAAAAAATATATACAATAAATAATAATTTTAAAATAAAAAAAAAATTATTTAGAAAATATTTTATAAAATGTAAATAAACAAAAAATTGTAATATTTTTTAATAAATATTTAAAAAAATTATAAATAAAAATAGTAATAAAAGAACGTTTATAATAAAAAGGGATAGAAAATAGTAAATAAAGTAATAAAAATAATGAACTATAAACACTTAAACAAAAACGAAAAAACTAATTAATAAAAAATATAATAAAAAATAAAAAAGTTTTAACACTTAAAAAAAGATTAATAATACGCAAAGTTATTTATAAATATATATGTAATATAAAAAAGTAAAATATAATAGATATTTAAAAAACTAAACAAGTTTAATATAATTAATAAAATATAAAATAATAAAATAAAAAAAAATAAGTAATAAAAAATTATTAAAAAACAAAAAAAATTATACGCAAAGTTATTTGAAAATAATTGTAATTTATAAAACTATATAAAAAAAGAATGATAAGTAAAAAAAAATTTAATATCAAAAAAAATAATAATACACAAAGTTGTGTAAAAATATATCTAAGATATAAAAAGTATACAAACCAGAAATGTTTTATTTTTTTTTATTTTTAATGAAGAACTATATCAAAATTGAGAAATGAAAATATAAATTATACAATTATAACAAAAAGCAGACTTTAAAAAGTTTAATAAGAGAAAGAAAAAAATATATATATAAATTTATTTGAAAAATATAAAAAAAGTATAGAAAAAAAATAAAACTAAAAAAATAATTATCAAACAATATTATAAACAAAAGTAAAAAAAAAGTTAATTTATTAAAAATATAAAAATAATGAAGGTTCTTTTATTTTTTTACATAAAAATAAATAATAATAATTATTTTAAGATGCAAACTAAATCAAAATTTATACCAATAATATTAATAAAAAATAAAAGTATGCTACTATAAATATATTGCAAAAAGAAAGAAAACATATAAATAGTTACAACAAAATAAAAGTTTTCTTAAAACTTTTTTAAATAAAAATAAATTATGAATATAATTTATAATAATAATGAAACTGAAAATTATGAATAAAAATAATAAATGCACGATATTAATAATTATTATTAAAAATAAATATAATTATATTAAGAAAATATGAGATATAAGTTTTGATTTTTTGTTAATAATAATTTTATAATAAATACTATAAAAAGAATTATTTATAACAAAATTATTTTTTAAGAATATAAAAAAGTATCAAATAAAGAGAAAAGAAATAAAATAAAGACAATATCATAAATGTGAAAGAAAAAATGGTGATAATAACTTAATAAATTCCATATATAAAAATAAACTTTTATGAAGTTATGTTATTTTTAATATAAGAACTAAATTTTATTAAAAAAATGTACGACTTTAGAAATTAATATAAATGTATATATTAATAGTTTTAAATTTATTATATATATAAAAACTATTATATATAAAAAATTCAAAGAAAAGTATAAAATAATGCGAAATAAAAAAGAAAGGAAAATCAGAAACAAAATCATAAACATGAAAGAAAAAATTGTAATAAAAATTTCATAAATTCCATTTTTATTAAGGAAAATATAAAAATAAAATATATTATAAATTTATTTTTTAAGATTTCATGTAGTTTTGATTTATTTTTTACAACTTTTTACTATTTTCCTTTAAAGCAAATTTATAATTTTTTCTTAATAGTTTTTTAGAATTATTTTGATTTTTTTTAGTAAATTATTAATTTTAATAAATACATAGTAAAATAAAAGTTGTGATATTATGTTGTGAAAAAAAATTTTAAAAAGAAAAAAAAAAATAAAAATTTCCTTTAAAAATTTATATATGAAAAAAAAAATAATGATAAGTATTCAGAATATTTACAGTAAATATTTATATTAATAATAAAAATATATAAAATATTGTAATAATAAACATATTAATAAATTAAAAAAAAATATAAAAGCTATAAATATAAACAATTAAAGTAATTCTTATATAGAACAAATAAGTTTTAAAAATGAACAAGAAAATAATAATAAATATGTTATTTAAATTTTTTTCATAAAAAATTGCAAAATTATTGTATATAAGTATAATTATTATTTATATTACTTAAAGGAAATAATATAAAAACTATAATAAAACAAAAAATTTTAAACATTAAAAAGTTTTATATTTAGAAAAACACAAAAAAAATAGAAAAACTATTAATATTACTAGTAATAAAATTTTTTAGAGTGAATAATTTTTAATGTCTTACAAAAGTTAAAATTCGATAAAACAATAATAATAATAATAATAATAATAATAATAATAATAATAATAATAATAATAGTAATAATAATAATAATAAACCTTTCAAGTTTGGAATTCCCCGTAAATTTTTACTAATCTTTAGGTTAAATATAATAATAGTATATTATAATAATAAAAATAATAATTATGGAGCGCAAAAAGCACGAATGTAATAGCCCATTGCCCCAACAAGATGCGTCTTGTAAAAGCTACAAGAAAATCAAGGCTTCAACTTAACTACTAACTGGAGCAATTTAAAAACTTTTAGTCACGTGATTTGCAAGTGTTGGCTTTCTCACTTGCATATATAATTGCCTTTTACAATTTAAAATTACGTTGATTGGATATTATTACTAACACAAAAATAGTTTCAAAGTTTTCATAATTTTTATAAAAACTATAAAATACTATTAAAAAAGGGAGGAATAATAATAATAATAATAATAATAATAATAATAATAATAATAATAATAATAATAATAATAATAATAATAATAATAATAATAATAATAATAATAATAATAATAATAATAATAATAATAATAATAATAATAATAATAATAATAATGTAGAAAAGTACCGTCCAGCGTGGTTTTAAAAAAAACCGATACAAGTCTGCAATGCCGTAATGCTCATCTTTGGGAAGAGTATTTTTTTCTTCACTATTATTAAAGTGTATTAAAAGTTATTATATATTATTTTTTAATTTTTATTAATTTTTATTATTATATAAAAATTTCTTTATTATTTGTTATTATAAATGAAATATATTCGCAGAATTATTTTTTAATAACTTTACTTCTGTATAAAACTTATTTCGTGCAGTGTAATAAACTTTATAGTACTTATTAATAAGTGAAATAAAAATAATATTAAATATATAACTACCGATTTGATAGGTAATAAGTATCAACTTATATTAAATCATTAATAGCAGTTCTTTTATTAGTAGTGGAAGTAAACCATTATTTTTTAAAAAAAGCTGTAAACTACTATTCTTTCGACAAGCCCTCATAAAAACCCTCATTTAACACGCGAATGCTCCCATATACTCGAAAAGTAATAAACACCACAAAAAATGTGCAGTCGCGTGTTTATCTTTGCGATAGCACATGGAGATTGTCTCAGACTTGAAAGCTAATTAGGTCCAATTAAAAAAATTTAATGTTCTATTATTTTATTGGTTACAAAAACTGATTGGATATTAAAAATCCAATAGGAGTTTAACATATTTTAACGATGCAAAAATACCAACACTTAATAAAGAAGTTCCTCCGAAAAGAGCCACCATAAGCAATTATAAAATAATTACACATTATTTTAGTGAAAAACGAGCATTATTTTTCCACCACCATAAAATTTTCTTTTCTTTACTGTTTTCTTATTAGTTAATATTAAACCTTTAATTCTCATTTGAAGACAATTTTAATAAACTTTTATAACCTTAACTTGATTATTAAAACTTTAATAAGAAAAGTTTATAATAATATTGGAAGGCACCGTACAGTTTTAAGAATAACTTATACGAAGAAGGATGATTAGTAGTGAATTATAAAGAAAATGAAAAGTTGAAATGCGTTATATTGCAGAGAAAAATTTGTTGGGGTGTTTTAAGAGAGTGCGTTTTTTCACTGCAGTTTCATTATACGAAAAACTTACGGGTTTTTATAACAATTATATAGTAGCAAATAATTTTATAGACCCAATTTGGTTAATCAAGTAAACCTAAAAACAATGAGAAACTTTTAAAATACCACGTGTTAATTCTGAATATGAAAAGTTGCACATAAATTTTAAGTTGCAGCTTAAATCAATGGTTAACCAATCAGCAATAGTAAAAAATTTACAAAAATTTAAGCCATGTGTTTGAGCCAAATGGTTACAAAAAAGCTATTAAGTGCAAATTTTAGGTTACTGATCAGCTAATCGGATGAAAAGCTTTTTAAAATAAACTTTTGTTAAGTAACACCAAATTGTAACAAATAATTTTATATTGTTGCAATTTAAGCCGATAATTATTTTTCTTGTAGCATTAACAGTTGCTTTTGAATGCCCATGTGCGCTTTTAAGCTTTGCATTTTCAAAACTTGACAAATTTAGAAAAGTTTGGCTTTTTTAATATTTATGTTTATCTGATCCGCTTTTTATGTTTTTAATAATAATTTAAAATGTTGATACGAGAATTATAACTATTTTTTAAAACTTTTAAAAATTTATGAAATAAAAATATTCTTTATTTTTTCAAACAGTAGGCAATGCTCATTGGTTAACTTTTTTCTATAAAAACCGTCAATAGTTTAATAATAAAGCATATACCCCAACATTTAAATTATAAGTTTCTTATTGGCTGCAGAAGAAATTAAAAACTTTATATAAACTTTTTATTAATTTTTTTTTAATATAGCAATAATAATAAATGTAAAAGAAAAAAGTGAAACTATCAGCATAATTAAGTAAAACCTTAATAAATAAGGTTTTCACTGTGTAAATCATTATACAAAAACAAACTACAAACTTTCATAAAAAATAAAAAATAAAAAAGTGCTGTGAAACAAAAACTAAGTATAAAAATTTATTATAATAATAAAAACCAAAAATATAAAAAATGTATAAAATAAAACTTTTTTTAATATAAAAAATAAAAATATAAACCAAAGTTTGTTTAATGTCAATTGGCTCAGAATCGTGCTGGCGCTCCCTTTGAAGTCCAAAGTACTTTTTATAACAAAAAAAAATGAAAAAGTAAAAAAGTTTCTAGTGAAAATAAAGTTTAATATAATTCTCAACTGTTTAAATTAATAATAAAATGGTATATAAAATTAATATAAAAAAAAAAGTATCAACTTATTAACAATGCCAATAACAGTTTTATATATAATAAAACTATTTACAGTAAAAGAATTGAAACATACTATTTAGACAAGTCAGAAAAGTCTATCAATTTACTTTCTTTCGGGTTTCTTTTCGTTTCGTTGGTATTCTTGTTTACTTACGAAAATAATAATAAATAATGATAATAATATTAATATATAAATAAAGAAGACACAAACTGATTGGATGGTACTTCCAGTGCTCAGGACCAGACCACGCTCTGAAAATCTTTGGATCAAAGTAACTATACGGGTCTATTAAATAGTAATAAGGATGATAAAAATAAATAAATAATAATAGTAAAAATAGTAATAATAAATGATATTAACCAGTTGAAAGTGCTAAAGAAAACTTTGAGTTTCCTACAATAGAACCTTCAAAAGTATTAGCATGCAGAGCACACGCCTCTAAAGTTTTAGTATTATCAATTTTGTTATTAATTTTATCATTATTACTACTATTATTTTTACTTATTACTATTACCTTGTCCTTCATTTTCTTTACCAAAGTTTTCCAACGGGTCATTAGCTTTCATTAACAATAATAAATACAAAGAGTTTTATAAAGTTTCTTCTTCAAAACATTTTATAAAGTTTATAATGAAAGTATTATAGAGAAGTTAATTATATTATAAATAATATTTTTATAATAATAATAAAACGTTATTTTATATATAAAAAAAATTTAAAAGTAGCTTTGAAAAAAAAAATAATGAAGCATTAAAATTTTCATAGATTAAATATATTTTATAGAATATTAAAGTTTTTATAAAAATTATTATTATATAGTAAAATTAATACTACATTAAAGGTTTCTTAATATTATATTCATAATTTTTACGGCGTTTCTGTAAAAAAGGTTTAACCTTTTTTAAATTTATTATTCATAAAAATAATAACAAACCGGAATATATAAAAATATTAAGAAACAAAATTGAAGACACTAAGCTATTATTGGATAAGATTCGGAGAATTAAGATCCAGTATTGGCGTTTTTTTTTCTTCAATCATTTCTTTAAAAACTGTACAAGTTTATAGTTCACATTGACTAAAAAGATTTCACTAAATATTATGAAATTCTTAATATTATGAACACTTCTCCATACAAAATTTATACAAATATTAAAATATTTATAAATTTATAACATCGTTATAATAAAATGACACTATTTTTTATGCATAAATTATTATTTTCTATATAAAAATTTGCAATAAACCAAAAGCAGTTTCGGGCGGTTCGTTCCATAAATCCATTGGTTCCCCAAAATCGCTAAAATCTGTATCGTATTTATATCCAGTTAATTAATTTAATTTTTTTGATAAAATTTTATTAATACTTTCTCTTTAAATTTTGTTAATAGTGAAAAATTTAAATCCAATAAAATTTTAAAATTTTTTTAATTTTTAGTAATTAACATTTAGTTCCAGTAAATTATTTATACTTAACGAAATTTTATTATTATAAAAGAAACGTAATAAAGATTTAGAAAATAAAAAATTATTTAATTTTTTTTTGAATTTTTATATCCAATAAAAATATTAATATTTTTTTAGGTTTTTTTTTAATAAACAAAAGTGGTCAAAAATGAAATTCAATAATGTATTCACTTTTTATTAAAATTTAAGTACACTTATATGAATGAAATATTATAACCAATAAAATTTTTTTATTATTAAAAATTATTTTTAAACAAAAAAATTAGTGAAATATTTTATTCACAATCTCATTTATTACAATTTTATATTTTTATTAAGTAACAAAAAATATTGTGAATTAGAGAGCCTACCAAATTATCTAATTTTTTATGGTTTATTTATATCCTATAAAAAAATTTATTTCTTATTTTTCTATTTATAACAAAGAAATTAGTGAATTATTGATATGCAATAAAACTATTTTATATTTTTAATACTCTTTAATCCACTAAAATCATATCCAACAAAATTATAATATTTTTATCCTAATTTTATGATTATAAATAAAAATTTACTTCATATAATTATAATGAATCAATATGTATAACAAAATTATTTTTTTATTTACTATTAAACAATAAAAGATATTATATATATATAATAAAAAGTGTAATAATTTTTTAATAGCATAATAATTATTAACAAACTAAATATGAGTTATTAACTTAAATATAATAAAATATATATTATATTAATATATAACTTAGAAAAAATCCTTTATAGCTTTATTTTTTAAAATAAATATCAATAAAAAATATAAAATAGAATATAAATATATTAACATATATAAATAAAAAAATAAATTAATTTAAAAAAGTATAATAATGATATCAAAACTACGTATATATACAAAAAGCCACCGAATACTAGTAAAAATACTCGAGAGCGCGCCGTACGAGGCGAGCACCCTTTTTAAGATCCAATCAGGCTAACTCTTTAACTTGGTCTAACGAAAAGCACACAACTCAAGATGGTACTCTTTAGTAGAAATTTCGTTATACCCGTTCTTAGCTTTAGAAGCATCTCGAGTCAATGTCACGTTTAAAATTAATATACATTTTATATGTATAAATATGAAAAATAGATAAAAATAATGAAGAAAAGTATAATAATATATAAATTTTAAAATATTTAAAAAATATAATATTGATAATAAATAAACTTTATTTGTAATTAGTTTAGTGCGTACACAATAAACTTTGCTTTATATTAAGAATACTATAGAAAGTGAAAACTATGGATGGTACAAGAAAATAAAATAAAACAGTATTGAAAAAGAGACAATGATAATAATAATAATTTTCTTTATACTGCTAGTCATAATAATAAAAAATAATAGTAATAATAATAATAATAATAATAATAATAATAATAATAATAATAATAATAATAATAATAATAATAATAATAATAATAATAATAATAATAATAATAATAATAATAAAATAATAATAATAATAACACCATCAGCTTCTTGATTTGTAGGATTGGCTTCATTTTGAGAAGGAGCCCCTTCCAAGTCCAAACGAGTCACGTGACTGAAACTTTGACAAATTTTAAGATTATTCAATAAGCTTGTAGGAACCAAAGCTATTTATTATATATAATTTGAAGCAAAATGTGAAAAAAGTGTCTAAAATAAGATCATTCAAAGTTTTATGTCGCCTATTAATATTATTGATAAAGAAAAATAGAATTTTAAAAAAAAACTTTCGAAAGGGATTGGACGCAAAGGTGGACGCTTGACAACATATTCCGGAACTTTCATAGTAAAAATATATATATATATATACAAAATAATATAAAAAAAGAGAAAACCAAAACTGTTAAAGGTAACTTTTGCTCCGTGGAATACGCCAATATTATTCAAAATAAGTCCGGAACTAGAAAATTAGCCAATTAGAATTTAAAAAAGGTGATAAGTATATATATTTTCCACTATAAGTTGCACAAAAAAAATAAATAAATGCTGTAAAGAACTAAATACAATAAAGTAAATATTTTAAACAAAAAATTTAACCAAAACGAAATCAAGTCACTTTTTAGTTGGTTTATAAAAAAATAGCGCAAGAATAACAGAAATAAAAGTTGTCCAATCGGAAAAAGGGAAGGAAATTTCACGTGTAATAAAGTACGGACGCTGTTTTTTTCAATAGCCATTTCACCAGGTCTTTGGCCTTACAAATTGAGCCAAATTAGTAGTTCATCAATCATATATAACCCACGTGGGTTAAGAGCTCATTTAAACTTAAATTCGAGTTTCCAGCGATTTATACCAAGTTGGAAAGTACTTGTTATTATTAACACAAAAAAGATAAGAATATTCTATATATACACACGGCTTTAACCTTTTTTTTTTTAAGTTTGTAACTTCATAAAAAGAAAATCAATTAACTATTGATCTGTTAAAAACTTATTACAGAATACCTAATAAGGGCACTATTTGCACAGTTTTATCTACTAACAATAGACACAATGCCATAAAGCATATCACCCGGCAATTCCTTTGAAAAGAAATGGAAAACTTTTATTAATTTCTATAAACTTTAAGTCCCGCCTAAAAAACTTTTAACAAAAATTTGCATATCTTATGACGAGCTTTTTATATTTTTTTTGCATACTTGATTATGTCTTAATGTTCTGTTACATTTATAAAAGCATAGTCCGATTATATCCAGCAAGAAAAGTACAGTCATTTGCTGTTCATTTTTATATATTAATAAATTTTATAAAAGGTAAAGCGCTCTTGGAAAAGAAAAGTTTTTATAATAACTTGGCTATATACATACGTTGGCCCGAACCTCTACTTTGGATGGCCAATGAAATTTGTGGAAAATGAATAATCACATGAAAGACTTATAAGATTATTTCTTTTCGGTGTATATAAACTTTTACCAATATAAAAAAAAAATGAAAAAAACTGTTTAAGTTTAAGTAAACCCACCAATCATATTATAGAGAATAGTTGGGTTTTTTAAAAAAAAAAGATGATTAAAGCAAAAGCCCTTCAGTTTTATAATAATTAAAAAAATCTTGCATATATAAAAGCAATGTTTGCAAGCGCTGATAGGAAATTTTTTTTGACTCACTCTAAAATTTGTTGCACCTGCTTATCCAATCCAAAACAATAACAAAACTTTATTGGATGTTATAGTTTAATATAATTTTAAGGGATTAGTATATAGTATATTTATAGGGTTTCATAATTATTAAAAAAATTCCAAGAAATACATTTTAATATTTTCACGGTCGCGCGACCAAAACAAATTAGTTTTTTAAGTCGCAATAAACTTTATTTGTGTCCGTATAGAGTTATATAATTGAAAACCACTAAAAAAAAGTCTTTAAAATAATAGTAAAACTATAAAAAGTAAAGGACCAATAACATGTATGGATCAAAATAATCTTAAAAATGAGATTAAACAGAGATGTTTTATAAAGAACACCAAATTAAATTCATAAAATATATGGGTGGTAAGTGAACCCATTTTATTATGTACTAATTAATGCTAAAATGATATTATATTATTAAAAGAGAGTAGTTTATAATCTAACGTACCCTTAAGTACATGATTGGTGGCTGCGATATAAAGACTACAGTAAAAAAAAAGGATGAAACTTGGACTGTTAAAGGCCGATATGGCCTCCGGCTTTAAAATTAATAAGGTAATTGGCTACTTTCACCTTGTAGATAAAAAATATTGATAAACTTATTATTCGTTAAATTGATGCAAATAAACTCATGTAGAAACGGAGGCAGTTTACTTAAAATTATGCAGAACTAAAATTTTCGGCTAAGATATTTATAATTTTATCAAAAATAATTTTTAAAGAAGTTGTACAAGTGGCGCGCAACCTGCTACATTAATACGGGGCCTATGGGCGCTTAAACCACGTGAATGTGCAGGTAAATCGTAAAAAAGTTTAACTTTAAACATTAAAAAAAAAACCGGGAAAACTGTAAGATAAAATGAATTTCACGAGATACAAAGTTTAGAAAAAATGAGTATAATGCCGTTGCACTTTTTATAACATCCAGTAAAAACAAATAATAAGTGGCCCAAAAATATAATTGGTTCATTGTGAACAGATCTTTCTAATTGGCTCAAAAGTTATAACAGCTATTTATAAGTAAAAAAAAAGATTTTTATAGGAGAGGACTTTGAATGTTTAAAAAAAAAATCACGTGAAAGAAAATGCATCAACAAACATAACTTGTAATAATAGAGATTCCAAGTTTTTTTATTAGAAAATAAAATAAAAAAACTACAGAAAGTTAATGAAATAAGTATATATAATATAAAATTATTATAAAAAGAAATAGAAAAAAATTTATATTTTTTTATATAAAAAAATAAAGTATAAAAACTTATTTTGAGTCAAAAAAGCCAACCAAAAGAGACTTTACAAATGAAAAATGGATGCATATAAAGTGGTGTCTAAAAAATGTATTGGGGCCTGAAAAATATCTTAGAAGAACAAATAAAATAATTACTAAAATACGGTTAAGACGTGTTAAATAACCTTATACAGAACCAAATAGTTTGTATAAAGTTAATATGTTTGAGTTACGAAAAACGAATTACAAATAAAGTAAGTTTGTGTCAAATAATTTTACATAGTATCAAGTAAACCTTTTACTTGGGTCAAATTTTTTAGAGACTCTAAAAAATAGGGGATCCGCACAATATTTTATGATAGCAGACTCGTCAAGACGTATTTTTTCTACTTCCGTTTCAATAGTTTTTGCAGGCCGTCTCTAATAAAAATAAAAAAATATTATTATTATAGTTAATAGGTATAAAAAAAATTATATCAAGCAACGAAGAAATATAAGGGATTAGTATATTTAAGTAAAATATAAAATGAAATACAAGAAAATTAATTATGTTTATTAAGTTATGTCGAAGAGAGGAATAGAAATTAATTTATTGTCCCACATGCCTAAGTCACGTGGGATAAGCACATAATGGCACGTGGTAAAACTTGTGATATCATAACAAATGGTATATGAACCAGCATGAGCACAACTTCAGTTAATAATTTTCTGAATATTAAAAAGTTACTGTTTTTATTATACATAACTTGGTGAAAAGTGAAATAATAAAATTAATAATGTATAGAAAAAAATAAATGAACTTTAATTATTCAGTAAAAGTTGTGAGTTTTTATGGTTTTATCAGAAAAAGTTATATATTAAGTAAGAAATTTTTTTTAATAAGTTTACAATAATAATAAGTTTATCTATTTTTAAAAGTTTATAATAATTAAATTTAATGATAAATGCAAAAGCTCTATTAAAAAAATAATAAACCTTTTACTAATAAGAAACTTAATTAAACTTAATAAAATATAATAATTATATAAATAGCAAATAGGCATAGCGAAATCTAAACAATATTATTTACTACTTTAATAAAATAATAAAAAATAAAATAGTTATTAAAAATAAAGCAAATAATAATAATAATTAATAAAAAATATAATATTTACTATTTGGAGAATTGGGGAGGAATGATAACTTAAAAAAATAAAAAGTTATTTTCAAGTAAAGCAAATAAGCATAAAAAAATCTGAAAGTATTATTTATTATCTTAATAAAATAATAAAAATCATAAATAATCATGAGAAAAATAACAAAATAAGTACCAGAAAAAAAATTATATGGTTTATGAATATGAAGCAAATACTAAAATATTATATAACAAAAACATTTAAAAAAATTATTATTATATTTTATATATTTATATAATCTTTTTTCTTTATTACTATTTGTTTCCCTCTTCACACTTTTACTAAATAATTAAAGTTCATAATTTTCTATATAATTACATTCAACATATACAAAGCCAATAAGAATAAGGAGTGCTAAAAAATGTTTATTTCATAAATTAAATAATTCAGTGGAAAATAATAAAACTTCAAAAATAAATATTTATAATGAAAATAAAAATATATATAATAATTATAAATAATTAAAGGAAAAGAAAATACTGAAATAGAATAAAAAATATGAATAAAAAAATGAAAAGAAAGTATATAAGCATAACAGATATTGAAAAATTATACTAATTATATTCAATAATAAATATAAAAATAGAAAAAGCATAATAAGTACCAAAAAAAATTCTATTTATTATATTTTATTAATTAAAATGAATAAAATATAAAAAATAAATAATAACTATAAATATAATAAGAAGCATAATACGTACTAAAAAAATTATTAGAGTAAGAAGGAATTAACAAATAATAATGAAAAACCGTAAAAAATAATAATAAAAAAAAAAGTTCTATAAATACTTTTCGCATTGGAGCGTTTGAAGCATCAGTCAAAGTAGTTTTGTTACTTTCTGTTTATAATTTATATATATATAAATTTTACTATAATAAATAATAATACTTTAAATAAATATTTTATGAATATATATTTCTAAAAATAAATAATGCAGTCGTTTTTTACAAGGTTTTAATGTTTTTTTTATATATAAATTGTATAATAAAAAAAATAAACATGTAATGAAATAAATAATGCGGTATTCCCAACGATTTTTAAATTTTTTTTTTGATAAAATATATAATAATAACATTAATAAATTTTTTATAAAGAATAAATAACGCGTCGTTTCTTACAAATTTTTGAATATTTTTTAAAATAAAATTTATAATAGTATAAGTATATAATATTATATAATAATTTAAGACGCTTCGTTTCTAACAATTTTTATGGTAATATTTTTTTATTATAATTATAATGCTTATTAATAAAAAAGGTAATGAGCTAATAAATATAATAATAATAGACATAAACAATTTTTTATATATAAATATTTGATAAAAACAAATAATGCGTCGATCTAACAATTTTTTGTAATAAAAATATTATAATAATTACTTTTTTTTGATATAATAAGTGATAAGTTAAAATATATAATAATAGTATTAAGCTTATTTTTTTACAAATATTCTTTTTTTTATTATTTGTTTAGTTATTTTCTATAAATAAATATATTAAAAAGTTTATTATGACAATTAATAAATAATAACAATATATAAATAAAAATAGAAATAATATTGATAAGTTTTTAAAAGTAATATTTGTATATATATATATATATATATATTAATGAATAATATAATAAAAATATGAAGAAATATATAAAATATATTTTAAAGAAACTAAAAATAATAACTTGCTATTAGTATAAAGTAAAAGACTTACTTCTCAACACTTTTTTGTGATATTTATTTTAAAATTATGATAACTTTGATTACTATAATTAGTATTGTGTTCAATTCATAACAATAATAATAATGATAATAAATAATAATAATAAAAGTAATAATAATAATTAATAAAATATAAATCCAGTTCTTTATTACTAATTTACTGTTAAATAATTTTTTTGTATATATTTGTACTTTACACTATTATAAGCAATAATTCATTAAATAAATTTATAAATTTGGAATGACTTATTAATAATTAAAATAATTAAAAACGTATAAAATTATACGAGGAAAACAAAAAGAAGCAGAAAATGAATAATAACTAAAAAAATGAAAAAAGGTATAATATTTGATATTCAAAATAAAGAAACTAATACTTTAAAAAAAATCTAAAAGTATAACGTAAATTATAATAATATTGATAAGTATAAAATAATAATAATAGTAATAATAATAAAAAAAGTAAGTAATATAAATATTAATAGAGATGAGAATAATGATATAATAACAGTAATATTAATAATAGAAATAATAATAACATAAAATATAATAATAATAAACTTATAAACCTCAATGGTTGATAATAATAAAAATATAATTTTAAGAAATAATACTAATAATAAATATTAGAAATAATATTATTAATAAATAAAAATTTATAATTACTTTTTTATATAATAATAATAATATGGATTATAATAATAAAATTAGTAGCGAAATTATATATAAATCATATTAAAAAATTATTATAAATATAAAAATATAAAAAGTTTTTATTTACTTTTATAAAAGCTACTTATAAAAATAAGTAATAACTAAATTATATTAAAAAACAAAATAAATAAAAAAAATTATAAAAATTAGTAATATAAAATATATAAATAATAAATTTTAGTTACTTTTTTATATAACAAAACTGCGAGTTATAATAAAACTATATAATATACAAAACTTAATAAATAGTAGTAAACATAAAAATATAAAAAGTTTAAGTTTTTTTTTACTTCTATATAATATTATAAAAGTAAGAATAAAGAAAATTATAAAAAATTATATATACTTTATATAATAATAATAATAATAATGAAAAAAAAATAGTTAAATTATATATAAAAAAGAAAAAAAATTTATATTTACATTAATATAAAATAATTGTAAAAATAAAAGGTAAGCTTTGTATTAAAAAATGTATATATAGAAAAAAATTATATATAGTTTTATATAATAATAACAGTAATAATAATAATAATAATATGAGCCTTTTGTAGATCCTGTTAAGTTTATTTTGTATTTATGCATATCCTCATATACGGAATCGACACGTGCAGAGTATATTTTAGCAGAAGCTTCGAGTGCTCGAGAGGCCTTCGCATAATTAACAACACCTATTTGATAATAATTATAAAAAATTTTTTTTTACTAATAATGATTATGAAAAATAAATAATAAAATAAAAAAATTAATTTAACAAAAATATTGAATATTTTTCTAAAAACGCGAATAAGAAAAAATCATTATTTAAATAAAAATTTAAAGTTTCCTATAAAGTTTGTTAGTAAAAAATATTTTACAAATTAGACTTGTAAAAACCAATAAAAGTAATAAAACTAATCAAAGTTAAGATAAATAAGTAACGCCGCTAATAATAATAAACATTAAAAAGTGAAAATTGTATAAATTGTAATTAAAAAACATTAATAAAGTATAGTAAATAAGTAAAATAAAAATAATAAAAATAATTATAAAAAGAAAAAAATATAAATTTATAGAAATAATAATTATAATTTAATATAATTATTAGAAATAAAAAAAAGTAATTATTTATTATACAAAAACTAAAATTAAAAAAATAATCATAAAAAATTAACAAAGTTGTTTATTACTACTATTATTATAAATATCGTTGGAGTTTTCTTTCCTAATGCTTAATTAGTTTTATAATAATAATAAATTTAAAATAAAATTAACAAATATTTAAATAATTATAATAGTTATCGAAACTACTAGTAAGAAAATAAAATAATAATAAAAGCTAAACGAATAAAAGAAATTTTTATATCTGTAAAGTACTTTGTTTGCTATAATCTCAATAAAAAATTTATAAAAAAGTAAATTAAAAAAAATATATATTTTATAAAGCTTAGAAAACTTATAATAATAATATTATAACAATTATAAAAGTGAATATATTCCTTGAATTAATATATAAAAGTTTATGAAGTTAAAAAAATTGTCTAAAAAATAAAAAAATAAATGAAGAAAAAATATAATTTAATAAATTTATATTAGAAATAATAAATACAAATAAATCTTAAAAAAATAAAAATATATATAATTTTAACATAAATTTAAAAAAGTTCTACTAATCTAAAATAATTAAACTTAAAGAAACAATAGAAAATAGTTTTAGGATTATAAAAGTTTTAAATATGAAACCTTTAAAATTCTTTGGCTTATGTTTTATAAAAGTATACAATAGTAATTAAACTAATATTTTATAGAAGAAAAATAAATATACAAAATTGATTTCTAAAACAAAAAAAGGTTAAAGTAAATTATCAAAAAGCTTTTTAATTAAATATTTACAAAATCTGTGAATATGATGTTTTTGTTTATAAAATATAATGAAAACCCAACAAAATCAATTTATAAAATATAATAACTTAAAAGGAAATTAAAAGGAAATTAAAAATAATTAGAATAAAAAGTAATAATAATTTAATTCTAAATTATTTAGAAAGTTTAAGTAAAACTAATAGATTATCCTTATAACTTACAAAATTTAATTATGAGAATAATGAATGTACTAAAAATAAATTTAAAATTATAGTAATTAAAAAGAAAATAATAAAAAATTTAAAATAACGTAAAAGTTTTAAAAAATTTAAATCAATAAGAAAATTTTAATAAATATAGAGAAAGACTATACAATTTATACTTTACGTTTATTATGAATATTAGAAATACACAAATTAAATTTTCAATTAATAAATACTAATTAAGAAATCAATTATAATATAAATACTGAAAGTTTTATTAAGTTTTTATTAAATTATATAATAAATAATCAGAAAAGCTATACAACTGTTTATTTATTAAAAATAATGAATATATAACAAAATAAATTTATAAATAATAATAATTTAATAGGAAACTAAAAAAAATTTAAATTTGTAAAAAGTAATATAAATTTTAAACTAAATAATTTTAAAAGTTTAATAAAAACTAAATATAAAAGCTTTAAAACATAAAGAATTTGTTTATTTAATATAATGAAAATACAGAAAAACCAATTATAAATTATAGTAACTAAAAAGAAAATCAAAAATAATTTTAAAAATTTTGGAAGTATTTAAAATTTTGAACTGAATTTCTTAAAAAGTTTTGATAATAATAACTAAAAGAAGCTAGAAAAATGATTGTTATGAAAAATGATAAAATACAAAAATAATATTAATAAATTATAGCAACCTAAAAAAATTATTAAAATTATTGAATTAATTAAAGTTTCAGAAAATTTAATCTAAAATATTTATAAAGCTTTAATAAAAGTAAAAAGAAAAACTATAAAAACGAAGTGTTAATTTATTGTAATATATAATAAAAAATAATAAAAAAATTATATGTAAACATTTTTGAGTTTATAAAGTTCGTTTAAGATCTACAAAGTAGTGTGAAGTTTTTACTTTGGTGTTTATAAATAGTTTATAATTTAATTAAAAAATTTCGAGCCGAAATCTACAAACCAATATATAATTTTTATTCAGATTTTCAATAAAAAAGAACAATGAGAGCCTTTAATATAAATATAACTTAATGTTATAACATATTCTTACCAGAAAAAGAATAAATAATAATAATAGTTTTCATAATAATGCAACAGATAGAATAGAACGAAAAACAAATTTAAAACAGAATTAATAAAAATTTATAAGTGCTATTAATACTGAAGGATAAATAAAATTTTAATTAATAAAAAATTTAACAATTAATAACATTAGGAATAAAAGTTTAAAAAAGTTTTACTTAATACCTTCCTCAATATTTAAGCGTTGCATATGACTAATAAGATCGAGCTCCCAAGCATTTTTTGTGGATATTTTCTGGATGTAAAATAATAAAAGCAATAATAAATAAATAAAAAAATTAATAATATAATGAAAAACAAAACTATATAAAACTTTATATAATAAATCTTTTGTAAGTTTTCAAATTTACTTTTATTTAAATCCCAATTATATTTAATTGAAAAGTTAACGAAAATTTATATTTCATTTAAAATTCTTTTTACATTTTTAATCAAAATATTTTAAAAAAAGTAAATTTTAAAAACTTAATTAAAATAAGTTAACTTCAAAGTTTTTTTAAGATTTATCTAGAAAAATTAATTCCCGTTCGTATTTTTTATAATTTTCTTAACTTACGTTTTTAGAGCATAAATCTACACTTTTAGTATAGATTCTTATGATATCCTCTTCCATATAGGCAGAGCTCATAACTTTAGTATCTTAGAGTAACTTGACATAAAATAGCCCTTAACAATAGCCTTTGTTATATTCACCGGGTAAGCAGTGTTATCCCTATTTACTTATTGCATTCTTCTATAGTGTTCAGTCTGCAGAAGGGTAATACTTAAAACTCTTTATAAAGTTATTTTCAAATACTACTACATCCAAAACTTCTATCGCATTTTACTACACTTCTCAGTTTGTAACCAAAAAACTTGAAACTATTAACGTTTTAAGTTATTTTTAAGTATTTTTACAAAAATATATGTCATATCTTACTACAACTCTCAGTTTGTAACCTAAAAACTTAAAACTATTAATATTTTAAAGTTATTTAAGAGTAATTATACAAAAAATACCTTAAACGTATATACTACACTACTGTTGCAAAAGAAAAAATACTTAAAACTATTATTAATATTTAACTTACTTTAAAGTAACTACAGAAAAAGCTTCATCGTATTTTACTATTTTTCTCAGTTAATAAAATAAATACTTAAAATTACTAACTAGAAGTCATTTAAATGTAACACTACAGAAAAACTTTTATTTCGTTTTACTGCACTTCTCAGTTCGTAAGTAGTGAAAAAAGGCTAGCAAAACTTCAGTTTGCAACAGAAATACCTATTTTTTAACTTTTTACTTTTATTATTTTAAACTTTTCTACTATATATTTTTATACATTTTCTCTCATCTTTATTTACAATAATTCAGCATCTATAGTACGTAACAATACGTGTTACTTAGTTCAAAGAAGGTGACAGCAAAAATATCACAAGAGGATCGAAACAAAATGCTTTTTTGAGTAACGACAGTTCTTTCATAAACCAAGATTGTTAGCTAAAGAAAAATAAACTTCTTGTTTCAGGGATATGTATATGTATATCTGCGCAAGTATAAATAAATGAGGAAAAAGCTACTTTAAAATTATTAATTGCTAGCTGTTGCTCTCGAATTTATGCTGGAAATTTAAATAACAAGTTTGTATTATGTAACTTTTATCTTATATAATAACCTTTTTTTTTAAAATAATTTTAAATAAAAGAAATAATTATAAATTTATTGTTATACTAATTGACGCCACTGTTTTAGCACAAAGAAACCTTGACCGATTTTTAAAAGCTCAAATTTGTTTCTTAGCTGTCAATTAACTTTAGAGATGACTCAAGAGAAACACTTTTATTTTACTTTTTTTAAAAATAATTAAAATATAGAAAATTCATAGATGACAGTCCGAAAGGCATTCACTTTATCTTTTTGCAAAATAGAAGCAAATACATTTGAATTCTATTTTACCAAAAAAATAGGAATAAAATTTTCTTTAACCGGCTTGCCGTAGATATCAAGTTATATAGAAAGTTTATAAACACACCTCTACCACCATTATATTTCCACCAGATCATTACTTTTCTAATAAATTAAAGTTTTAAACCTTCCCTTTATAAATACTTTATAAGTTGATTATATTTTGTATATTAAAGTTTAAAAATAATTATTAGTTGAATTAATATTCAAATAAATAAGCTTTATAAGAATATCCGTAAAAGTTTTGTTGTGGAAATTGAATATAAAGAATCCGCGCAATACAAATTGTAATTTATAAAGGAAAAAAAAACTAATAAAAACTTTATGAAATATTTTTTAATATGAAAAATAATATTTTAATACTCAACAAAAATTGTGACAGCGTGACCCAATTATTATACACTTTCTCGCATTGCAATCTTTTATAACTATTTTCCTTTTTTTGTGAAAAAAACTAAAAAATCTAGAAAAAATCTTTTTTAAAATGGTTATAAAAATAACGAAGTATACCGCTTTTTAAAATTTTTTCGTTATAGAACAAATTTGACGAAACTTTTATTGAGCACAAACTGCTGGAAAACTCCACGATTTATATCGTTTTTAATAAAAAGTTAACGACGCTACGTTAATAACGGAATTTGCGGTTTCTAAATTTATAAAACTAAATTAGAGAAAGCGACAACAAATTCTCGGAAATTACTTTGTAATCTCTTATTCTATATTTCACATTGTAGAAAAGCACTTCTAACAAAGAAACCAAATTAGGAAATAAATAATCACTGGAATATTAGCTTTTAAACAAAATCTTTAAGCAATACTTATAGATCAGTCAGCTCTGATTTACTTATAACGTGCATGTTCGTAAGATGGACTATACGAAATTTTTTACAATAATAATAACTATAATCTAAGTATATCCGTAAAGTAAGTTTTCCTTTAACAACTTTTGCTTTAAATATAATAGTAAATATATAAATAAATAATAATAATAATAATAGAATTCTACTTTATTAAATTTATAAAGAGAGTAATATTTCGGTTCGTTTTAAGTTCGAACTTTCATGATAGCCGCATCATTTCGTGCAAGATTTATTAACTAATATAATGAAGTGTTAATTTATTGTTTTTTAAATTTAAGTAGAAATATTTAATATTTAATAATTTATTTCATTTTTCTCTAAAAGTAAAAAAAAAAAATTTCAAAACGAAATTTTATTATAAAAAAGGTAAGTAACCAATAAGAAACGTAAAATAAAAAATAGATCAATCACTTTTAATATAAAAAAGTATCTTTGAATTTAACATTATTCGTTTAAATACTCATTTCTTCAATAATGCATCTAGCAAATGAAAAAAATATACAAACGGATACTCTTATTATGGAAACAATTTTTTTATGTAAAAATCTAAAATCTAAATTATTTAATGGCAAAACTGTTATTACTTTCAAGTATAAATAAAACATTAAGTTTTCATAGTTTTGAAATATTTTCAGGGTTATTATTTTTTTCATAAAAAACTTTTTATATTATTTTTATGTAAAAACTTTCAAAGCTATTCATTTTATCATAAACTTAACTTTTATGTATTTTTCATTAAACTTCAAAAACTTTTATATTTCTTTTATCAACTTTGTTAACACAAAAGTTTTTTTATAAAAAACTAAAAATACTTTATAACAAATTGTACAATACACTTAACTAAAATTATTATTTTATTACAATCTACTAATAATAATTATCACTTATAATTATTATTAAAAATAAATTATTGAAAGTTATTATAATCTTCTTAATAATATATTCTTATAAATCTTAATAAAAATCAGTAGTACTTTACTATAAAATATTTATGGTTATTTATTTATATATTTACTTATTACTATTATTAATAATTATTAGTAATTTTATAATACTTTCGTTATTCATACCATAGCCTAGTGCTTCAATAATGATTTATTCAGAAGTTTACTTATAATTATTATTTAATATAATCTCTTCGAAATAAATTTAGTATTTCTTTATTATTATAATATAAGAGCAACATTTATTATATTTTTACTTAGAATTATTATTATTATAATTATGTATATATTTTTATTCATTAGATATAATATACTCTAAATGCTAAAATTGTTATAATTATTATAAATATTATAAATGTTGTAAAAGTTTATATACGCTATACTTTACACTTACATGAGTGTTGTTCTCCACGAGGGACATTAACTGGTTAATATTATTGGTCCAGTCGTTTAAGATTTCATTCGGATCTTTTACTCTCGAAAAAGTAATGATGCCTAAAATAGAAACATTATTGCAAAAAAAATAATGAAAATATGTAATTAGTACAATTTATATAAAAAATTTGGGGTTATAAAAAGTTATTAAATATAAAAATCCACAAAATGGTAAATTACTATTATTTAAAAATAACAAGAAACCCAAAAGTTCTTAAATTTCTTTACTGAAGTTCAAAGAAAAATTAAATAAAAAAATCTTTTTTTAATAGATAGGAAAGTTGGTTTTATTATTATTATTATTATTATTATTATTATTATTATTATTATTATTATTATTATTATTATTATTATTATTATTATTATTATTATTATTATTATTATTATATCCAAATTCATAAAAATTGTTAAAACTATTTATTTATCTATAAAATTTAAGCTTTAATATTAACGAATTTTAATATGACATTTACACTTTATAATAATAGTAAAAACTTTTTTATAGACAAATAAAAATTGAACTTTCTATAAATATATAAATAATAAGAAACGTTAACTAACTTTTTAATATAAATATTAGATATAAAATTGACACTTAATATTTTTTTTAAAAAAAAATTCACAAAATTAATAAAAATATTAATTTTACTATTTATATTACTAAATAATGTATTTTTGAAATATTTTTGAAATATTTATTATACTTAGCGTCTTATTTATATTCAAAAATGTTAAGGTTCCTACAAAAGCATATATATTTTTTTTAATTAACTATAGAACAGTAACATTAATAATTATTAAAACAGTATATAAGATAAAATAATAAAAATATTTTTTATAAGAGTAATAAATAAAATTTAATATTTTAAAAATAAAAAATATATAAATTAATTTATTTAATAAACGTTGAAAAATTATTTAAATTACTGTAAATTACTAAAGAAAAATATGAAAATTACATATAAAAAGTTAGTTAAAAACATTTTTAATATTAAAAAAATTTATAAACCTTTTACTTCATATTATTTATAGGTAAAATGTTATAAAAAGAAAAGAATACAAATTTATAAATATTAAAATATAAAAGTATTCATTAGTAATTTAACATTATTAAAAAAAAAGAAATACATAATTTTATTTTTTTTTATTTATAGATAAAATATAATATATAATAAATTTAGAATATAAAATAATAAGTATGTTTATACAATTATAATAAAATCTTACAAAAAAGCGTATATTAAAATTTTTATCAATAAATGAAAAGTATATATAAATTGTTGAATATGAAATATATAATAGTAATAATAACAAAAAAATAGGTAAAAACTGATGATAAAAATGATAATAACAATAATAAATAATAATGAGACTGTCAATAATTATAAAAATGATAATAACTACCAGCAGGCCGATCAATTTTTGCAAATATTTTTTTTTGGACGACCAAATCAGAAACAATAGTTTCAGTCTCCTTAAAAAAAAAATTAAAAAGTTATAAAATAGTAATTAATATATTTTCAATAATAAAAATATATATAATATTTTAACTGATAATAATAAAACTTATAATAATAATGATAATAATAATAGTTATAAAACAAAGTCTTTGTCCTTTTTTTTGATAAAAAAAGTTCTTTTTAATCTTTTCTTTAGTATTCTTAAAAAAAAAGAAACTTTTTTATATAAATATATTAAAAAGCAGTAAACTTTTTTCTTTGAATAATTATTATAACAATTGTTTGCTCTTTAATAAAATGAAAATTCTTATTATATATGAAGTAAACTATTTAAAGCTATATTTATTATTATTACTATAAAAATTATTATTTTCTATAAATTTTACAAAAAAAATTTTTAATTATAATAAAAAATATGTTTTAAGTTTATTATAAATAAAATTTCTACTAAAAAAACTTTTTGTAGATAAATAAAAAAAAGAACTTTTTGTTGTACTTTATATAATAAATATTTAAAAAAAATTTTCTGCAAATAATACTAAAAATAATAAAAAACAAATTTTTTATAACAAAAATAAATAAATACATTAAAGAATAAACATATGATTTCTTAATATATAAAATAAATTTCTAAAACTTTTTTAGTAGCAGTTTTATATTAAATAAATTATTAAAGTTTTCATTATAATTAAAAAAAATGGTTATATATATAATACTTTAAAATATTTTTTAAATTTATATACTAAATTTAATAAAAAAATAAAATATAATAATAAACTTTTTAGTATAAAAATATTTATACTAAAAAATTCTTTACTAAAATAATATATTTTTGTAAATATATATATACTAAAAATTTATAAGAAATAGTAAAAATAAAAGTAATATACTTTTAAATAGGTATAAAAATTCCAATATTTAATTTAATAAATATTCTACTAGAAAAGTAGATTATAGAGTTTACAAAACTTCTGCTTAAGAATAAATAATTTTAACATATTTAATAATAATAATTATATTAAAAAAATATGAAAAACTTTTAGGGATTATACCATTTCAAAAACTAATAAAATATATAAAAATAATATAAAGGTCATAAATTATGAACTTTTTTACTATAAAAATAACAATACTTTACTAATGATACTTGTAAAAAGTTTAAAAGCAACCTGATTGCTTAGGCCAAGCAATTCACTCATTCTATTTACTGAAATGCGATTATAATAGCCGGCAATTACACGAGTATTCTATTAAAATAATATTATTATACAATAAAAAAAATAAACATAATGGTATATTAATAAGAATCACTTTATTAATATAATTATATAAATATTAATATTTTTCTAAATTAATATATAAAATTGCTTCTTGTTTATAATAATCAACTAAAGTTTACTAAATTAGTATTATTAATAATAATTAATAAAAAGTAAGTAATATTTATATTATATCTACTAAAAAAAATTAAGTTATAATAATGATAATACATAAACATTAACGTATTGTCTAAAGTAAAACGTTTTAAAAACTTTTATTAAAAAACCGATATAAATATTAAAAGCTTAAAATTTTGAGAAAAATAAAATAAAAAATGAAACTATTATAAATATATATATAACAAATATAAAAAATAAATATTTTATTAACTTTTTTACTAAAAATTATATAAACCACAATAAATTTTTTATAAAATTTTTAACCCATTTTTTCAATATAAAGTTAAAAAAGGTATTATTAATTTTGCTTAAAAAAAAAGTAAAATAAAAACTATTAAAAGTTTCTTATAATAAAAATAACATATAAACTTTTTTCGTAATAGATAATTTAAACTACAATATATATATTTTTTATGTAATAAAATTTATTTTTTAACTTTTTCAGTAATAAGTATAATATAAACAGTTAAAAGTTTTCTTATATAAAAATAACTATTAACCTTAAAGTAAAAAGTATAATATAAACTATTAATTCTTAAATAATAAAAATCTTTGTATAAACTTGTTCATAAAAAAATAATACATACTACCATAAATTTTTTTATAATAATTTTTTTTTAACTTTTTGAGTAGACAATTAATATAAACTATTAAAGTTTCTTTTAATATAAATTCATAAAAACTTCCTAAGTAAAAAGTATAATATGAACTATTATAAAACTTTCTTATAATATTTTTTTTGCAAACTTTTACTACAATAAAGAAATAAAAACTGCATTAAAATTTCTTATAATAATCAAGTAAACAAACATAAAAAAAATTAAAAAAAAAACTTTTATATTTAGTTATAATGGTTATATAAAAACTGCTCGAATAATATAAAAAGGTTACAACGTATATTAAATAAAAACTTTATTGAAAAGTATACATGTTCGCTAACTCGCTGGGACAACGCTTTCATTTTGCCGTCAAAGTCAGAGGAGTAACATCCTATTCAGTATAATATTAAATAAATTCCATTTTATAAAAAAATTCATATTTTTAATATATGAAAATCAATAAATATTTTTAACATTATTGAATAAGTTAATTATTGCAAAAATTTAAACCAATCAGCACAACAAAGGCTTTAAAAAAACGTTGGACTAAACTTTAAATAACGTTACGCATATAAAAAATTTCAAGTGCATACTAACAGCAAGAGAAACTTATTACAAGGATTTTTAATGAATGTGCCAAAACACGTGGTGGGAGGCAATAATATATATATATAAATGACCGGACTTCTCAAATTCAGAAATGAATGCCTTCCCAAAAGCTGACCAATCCAAAATCTGCAAATGTTAAACCAATTAAATTTAATAATATTGGGCACACAAACACGTGATAACGTAAAATATATCCTTCATTAAATCTGTTTATGAATGACGTCATAAAAATTGTTATAGTTATAATGTCTGAAAAGTAAATAATATCATTATTTATGTTATTATTATATAAAGATTTACTATAAACTTTTACTGTATTAAACTCAAACTCAAACTTGACAAACAAGAAAATACCTCTTTAGTTATAAAACATTTCAAGAGTTCCCTAAATAAGTAAATATATAAATAAATAAATAAATAATAAAATAATAATTACTTATAAGTTGGAATCTTATCGCAGTTCACATCATTATATATTCGGTTCAGCAAATCCCATTGCTCGTTGTCGTACGGCGCCAATATCAAATAAGCAAGAATGTGCTTAAGATTCTATAATAATAGTAATAGTAATAATTATGATGATAATAATAATAAAAATTCCATACTTCTTTTAATAAGTCGTCATCTTCTTTCACTATTTTTGTATTGTACATTGCTAATGATAATAATTACAGTAACTACAACAACAACAACAATAATAATAATAATAGTAATAATAATAATAAGCGAAACCCAAATAATGCCTGCAAATGGATAAATAATTCTTTTCATGCTCATCTAATTGGATCATTAGCTTATGAAAGCGCAATTTTTCATTCTTAAAAAAAAAAGTAATGAAAAATATATATTAGTTTTCTTATTACTTTAATATAAAAACATTTGTAAATAAAATATTATTTTTATAAGCTCAACTGTAATAACTTATGATATACTAAACCTCAAAGATGAATATAACATAATATCTATACATAAATAAGTTTAAACATTATTTATTGAACTTTTCTTTTATTAAATTTATTATTATTATTTAGTTCCATTATAAATAATAATTTATATAAAAAAATTCTATAACTTTAATTTTAAAATTAAGATATTTATATTAATAGCATTAATAAAAATAATATTTTGCAATTTTATTATTTTCTATATTCTCAACTCTAATAATTTTTATTGTAAAAAAATTATTTATATATAAAAAGTTTTCACATTATTTATTTAAATTTCATTATATATTTTGTTTTATATTTATTAAATTTTATTTACAATAAGAACATAAATAAAATATGGTTAAAAAATAATAACTAATAGATTACTTTTATATAATATAATTGAAATTATAAAAATATAGGGTAATTATATTTTTTATTATAGTAATTATTTTATTTATTTACTAAACAAAAAATTTATTATAAAAATAATTATTTTTCTTTATATTTTATATTTTAAATTTATTTTACTTCAATATAATAATAAATTTTCTATAGTTTAACTTTTTTTTTATTAAAAAATATTTTTTTAAATATTATTGATATTTAGAAATAAGAAAAAAAGTTGCTTTTGTATAAATTTATTAATTATTAGTTGAATATTTATTAGAAATTATTATTAATAGTAAATTAACATTAATATAAAATAAAAAAAGTTTATTAATAATTATTAAATTTATATTTAATAACAGAAAAGATGATAAATTGTTTGTTAATAGTTTCATTATATAAATTTGTTTTTTACCATATTTTGTTTATTTTTCTTGTATTATAATATTAAAAAAAATTAATTATTATATTATTAAAAGTTTTTTATGATATTAAAAAATTGGTATTCTTTTATTATTAAAAAATTTAAGAATTATTTTTATTATAATAACTTCTTTTTAACTTATAAGTATATAAGTAAAAGTTCTCCATAAATATTATTATAAACCCTAGACCTAAAAAAAAAATTCACTAATTAAATTATTATTATATAATATTTTTTCTAAGAAAAAAATATTTTAATATTAATATTCTTGGCCAACTTTTCTAAATAAAATTTAGTTTCACGTAAAATATTTTCATATTTCGTCATAAAAACCCTTTAAAAATATTATATATATCCTCATTACTCTCAGATTTTCGATTAATATTATAAAAACAAGTCTTTACTTTCTACACTTTCTTATATATTTTATTATTTTCATTAACATAATACTTTAAAATTTTAGAAATTGCATAATTTATATAAAGCTTAGTTTATTATTCTTATTAACGAATGAAAAATATAATTTTTAATGTTCAATATTTTGTTTTTCAATAATTTTAAATATTTATTATTTAGTTCTTATATAGAAACTGTTTTTTTTGTTAAGTTTTAATAAGAATTTATTATTATAAACTTTTTTTTATTTTCTTCTCAACTTTTAAGTTTTTTATATTTTTTATATAAATATTTTAATATTTAAGAAATTTAAACTTTTCTTTAATTTAAAACTGGTTAGTTTATTAATAATTATTGTAAAAAAAAAAACTATTTTATATGAAAATATAAATTTTTTATCTCAATTAAATTTTTCTTTTCTCTAACAAATAAATATATTATACCAAATATTATTTTTTAAAATAATATCCAAATTTATAAAAAAATTTATATAAATTTTTCTATTTCTATTTTTACGCTCTTCTTTTTAGAAAAAAAAAACTTTTAAGAAGAAAAAGTAAAAAGTTAAACGAATAATAGAAACAAATAAATAAATAAACTAATAAACATTATAATATACTCAACTTGAAAATCATCACTTTCAAGAGTTTTATATGGAATTTTATTGCTAATAATTTGAGCTCCTAAAAAACGAAAAAGTTTATAATAATAATTATTAAAGAAGTATTAAATAAATTCTAAACCGCATAAAAAAATATTAAATAAATACTTAAAAGTTAATATCCTCAGCATTATAAAATAGTTTATAAAAAAATTTTAAAAATTAAAAAAAAGAATTATTAATTCAAAATTATAATAATAAAAAGTAATATATAAAAATAGAAAACCGCAAAAAAAGCGTAAATAAACAACTTAAAAGTTAGTGTTCTCATCACTAACAGTTAGATTTTATAAAATATATACAGAAGCAATATTAATAATATAAATGACAAATAAGAATTATAAATATTTAATAAAATAATAATAAAAACTATAAAAAGCTGCACATTATTATTTAAAAAATAAAATAATAGTATATAATAATAAAAAATATAAGTAAAAACTTTAGAAAATGTTAAAAAACATAAAAACAAAAAAGTATTTTATATAAATATTAAAAAGAACCAACAATAAATATATATATATAAATAATACACAGTAATAGCAAATAAATAATAGTTAAAAAATATAATGAAAAACTGCGAAGTATTTATATTCATATATATATAACAATAAGTACATAGAAAATAATATATAATAATAGTAAATATAAAAATATAAAAATATAATATTAATAAAAAGGATAAATAACGAATATATATAATTAATAATAAAATAGTAAATATAATAATAGAAAAAAATTATGTAAATTCAAAATATATAAAACAATCAACATGTAGTAAATAATATTTAAATATAGTAAATATGATACTATATAAATATAATAATAATTGTATGAATATATATATAAACATAATAGTAAAAAATTTAAAAAACTAAAAAGAAATATTTTATTAATAACGAATATATATATATAAATAATAGTATATGTAATATATAAATATAAAAATAATAAATATAATAATATAAAAATGTAATCAAAATAAAAAGAAAGAACAATATATATAATATATATAAAAATCAATAATAGTAAAAAATAAAATAAAAAACTGCAAAGTATTTATAATAATAATAAAAATAACAAAAAATAAAGAGTAAATAATACATTATATATTAATATAATAATTATAAGAACAATAAATATATATAAATAATAACCAATAAGAGTAAATACAATAATAAATAAGTATAATAATTATGAAACGAGTGGACAATAAAAATTTATAAATAATTAACAATAATAGTAAACATAATAATAGTATAAATATTATGCAAATATATTAATAAGTAAAAACAATAAATAAATAGTGCATAATATTTAATAATAGCAACTATAATAATGTTTATAAATATAATAATAAAAGAAAACTTTATTAAAAAAAGGTTACTTATGAAATCTTCTTTAGCGAGGCAAAGTCTAACTTGCTGAAGCATAAATTCTACTTTTTCTTTTCTTTGCATCGACCCAAACGTTTCAACCTGAAACCATTATAAAAAAAAATTTTTTTTCTAATTATTATTTTCATTATTAAAACTTTATAAAATTATTTATTTATTTATTATTATTAATATATTAATATTACAATAAAGTAAAGTTTATTACATTTTCTTACTTTAAAAAACTTTAAAACATTTATATTTTATATATAATAAATAATATAAGTAAGAAAAACTTTCAAATGAATAATATTTTGTAAAAATAATTATAAATTTCATAACTTTTATTAAAAATTTAAGAAGGAAAATACCGGACAGCATAAAACTTTTTCTTTATATTTACTTGTTAAATATATAATAACCATTTGTTGAAAAGATATAATGATATACAAGAAAACATAATAAAAAAATATAAAAACTTTGAAAAAATTATCAAAACCAATACCTGTTATAAAAAGTATTAAAAAAATTGCTTATATAAAAAAATAAAATTGTTAAATAATTTAATGCCTTTAAGCACGTAATAAAGTATAAAATATAATAAAGTAAAGAAAAATCCGTTATTAAAAATATATAAAAAACCTGCAGTTCTTGGAGGATATCAGCCGCTTCTGTAACTTCGCCCATTTCTGATTAAAAAGACCAAAATAGTAGTTTACACCCAATAAATAATAGAGGGAACCCAGTTAGAACCTTCTCTAATTATAGCGAGAGACATGGTGAGGCGAGCACGAAAAAGTTCAACGTAAATCTATAAAAAAAGGGAAATAATAAAAATAAATAAATATATATAAAGAATAATAATATATATCGAAAATATATAATAAAATTTTAAAAAATTAATGTTATAAATAATGAGATATGCAAATAATAATAAATATATATATAATATATTACGAATATACAGTAATAAAAAAAACTTATAAAGTAATGATAATTTATATTATAAATAATAACGAGATAAGCAAAATATTATAAAAATAATTAAGTTAAGTAGATTAAAATTAATATTTTGTAATAATATATAATAAATTTAAATAAGAAAATAATTTAATAACTGGTAACGAGATAAACAAAATGTAATAATAATAAATAGGTATATAAAACATAAAAATGATTATAAAATATAAAGGTTATAAAAAATAATAATAAAAAATAGTATAATATATTAAAATGCAGATATTATAATAATAAAAAATAATATGAAAAAAATGTATAATATAAAATAATATATAAAGTTTTCAAAATAATAAACGTAAAAATATTATATACTCAAAGTATTTAGTAAATAAAAATGTAAATAGTATAACATATTAAAGGTCTGCACAATATGGCAGTAAAAATAGTCAAAAATAAAATAAATGTATAAAGAAATACAAATAATATATAAATATAAGGATATATAATAAAGTAATAAGATATAATATAAAAAAAGTATAATATATTAAATTCTGCATAAATAAAAAGAATAATAAATAGTATATTAAATAAAACAATAATAAACCTTTCCATCTGTGACTTCCCGTAAAGTTTTTATGTAATTCAGTTTGTCTTCCAAATTTGTAATGGAATCTACAAATTCACAACATTTTGAGATCATTTTAGTAATCGCCTTTTTTATTGAACATAAGTAAATTACTAATAAAACTTATGATATTTAAAAAATAAACCGAAAAAAAAATAAATAAAAAAATCGACGATTGCTATAGATAATAATCCATTTATTAATATAAACAAAAACTTAATTTTAATTGGGCAAAATTGAAAATAAAATATTTTATTGGCTTACAATATTAATAAAATTAATGAATTGGATATAAATGTGTATAGAAAAAAATTCATGCCACCAACTTACAAAAATATAAAAATTATAATAAATAAAATTTCAATTTAAATTATAAAAAGACCGCTTAAAAACTTTTTTAAATAACGTTATATATATATAAAGTTTCTATAATAATATTTTCTTTAAAAAAATTAATAACAAAAAAACTTCTTCAAAGTTAAGAACAGTCCGACCATAAAAAGAATAAAATTTCATTCTTATAAAAAAGTTAAGCAGAAAAAAGCCCTCCTTACAAACTTTTATATAACTATAAAACTTAATCACTAAATATAATCAAAGGCGCATTAAACCAATAAACAGCGCCGCTCCAAGAAAAAAAAGTCCCCCTTCAAAATTCTGCCAAGTAAAGACTTTACTGGTCCAATTTATTAAACTAAGCCAAAGTATTTAGCTTATTAAATAGCACATGACACTGTTGTAGTTGAAGCCCACCAGCCGGCGGCAAGCTTGCTTGCCCACGTGCTGGTTAACGCAAAGTTTTATTATTTTCATCTTTTTTCTTGTCATTTACTCAACATAAAAAACTAATACAAAAGCGGTGAAATGGGCTGCTTTGTATAAAATATTACAGTCTTTATAAAGAACATTTTATATACTTGTAGTAATAAAAAAGAATTGCTACTCAGAAGAAAAAAATAAAATAAAGCTTTTTTATTCTTATTTTTAATTTTATTTAATAATATAAATATGTATAGTGAATAATTTAATAAATCTAAAAAAACCAAAAAGTTTAAAAAAAAAATATATAAAATAGTAACCGCAAATGCGCCAAAATAATAGCAAGAGAAAAGTTAAAGTAAATAAAAATATAATAAAAGAAAATAAAAAATACAAATAAAATAATAAAAAATTCAATTTACATTTTGCTTATAACTAAGTAATTCTCTTATTAAAATAATTATTAAAAAAATTGAATATTGAAAATTCACAGATTAAAAAAAATACCTAAATTTAATTGATTTCGTTGACAACAACAAGAATTGCATTACGAAAAATAAATAAATATGAGAAGGTAATAAAGTAATTCAATAAAAGTTTATTTTGAAACACATCTTTTTAATAAAACCAACAAATATAATGAAAAATTAATAAAAAAAAAAACGTTATTATACTATTTTTTATATATTTAAAATAAAAAAAAAATAAAGGATCAATAAATTTTATTTAAATTATATATAATTGTATAAAAAAGTTTAACCTAAAATATCTATTTTTTAAAAAACAAAAATAAACTTAACAATAGTGTTATTATTTTAAAAAATATATAAAAAATATATTGAAGTCTATTAATTTAAAATACATTTATAAAAATTAAGTATTTAAAAAAATAAAAGTTTAATTTTAACATTCTAGTTAGTTCCGTAAAATAAAGTTATAAATCTAATTAAATCTTTATATTTTATTTTATAAAAAATCTTTACAAAAAATATATAAAAATATATATCAAAAACAAATTTAATTTAAAATTGAAAATGTAAAATTAAGTTAATAGATAATAAAAAACATTACCGTAGAACAAACTTTTACAATAAAATAAAAAAAAATTAAAATTAGTCAATTGTTTTTTTTATTATCCTTTTTTAAAAAATTATAAAAATTATAAATTTAAATTTAATTTTGAAAAAGTTTATGTATATAATAGAAGTTTACTGTTAAACAAATTTATTAATAAGATTTAAAAAAAGTTAAAAAGTAGAATAAACATTAGTTTATTAAAATAATTAATTTAATGTTCAATAATTTTTTTATAAAACCAAAAAGAGAAAAGTGAAAGAGTAAAATGTTATTTTTTTACTATTCTATATAAAAAAATTTTAAGTAAAAAATATTAAGATTTCTAATAAATTTTAATTGATAAAAAAATATTAATATATATCAACTGAATTTAACTGGCCTCTTCGCTTACAGAGCAAAACTATATTTTCCTGTAAAAGTGGAAGTTTATTTGCTGTTATAATTAATAGTAACAAAGAATTTATTATATAAACAAGTTTTTTTTTAAAAAATAACCTTCAAAGCAAAGAGAAACTATTGAGATTAAAACGCGTTCAGCAGAAGCGACATCAGCAGCCTTTTAAAATAAAATAAATTATATAAATATATGAATAGGTATAAAGTAAATTTAAAAAGCATAAAAAGTTTCAATATGTATAAATATATAGTAGCTGTAGAAATATAACATTTTATAAAAAATTTTTTAAAAAGGATAAGATTTTTTAAAAATCATAAATATGAAAATTTTTAATTACATAAAGTAGCATAAAGATAATAATATTATAAAGATAATTAAATAAAGTTAATACTGTTCTAGTTTGCTTTTCTAAAGAATGTAAAAGTTGTAAAGCTTTTTCTAAATAGCCATTTTTCGCTAATTCCTAAAGTAAAGTTACAAGTAATAAGAAATAAAATAAAAAAGATCATAAATTTCATCTTAAATAACCTCTGCACTCTTAATATGCTTATCTGCAGCTTCTGAAAAATCTTCTTTTGTTCCTAAAATTAATATATAAACAAATACATGTAAATAACTGGCTACAGTGAAAATTAATAATGATAATAGTAGTTAAATATTATTTAAAAAAAATTACTTTTATTAATTACTTCGGGATCTAAATCGGCGAGGTCGGGTTCCAGCGAATAATCCATAACAAATAATTGAGGGAACTACTAGAGCTAAAAATTTTTAAATTATATAATAAAATTTAAAAACGAAAGAAAACGATACGTTTAGTTATTGGGGAAAAAAGTATAGAGTCCTACCGTCCGTAAAGAAGAAAAGATTTTTAATTAATTTGAGGCTTGTGACGTAATAGTACCAAAAGAAAGAACTTGAGGGCAGCAGCTAACTTTTATTTATAACGCAAGCTAACTTGGAAAAAAAAATCCCTAAAATAAAATTTTTTTTGAGGTAATAATATTTGAAATAACAATAATAATTCACACGTATTATGTGACTTCTCTCTTGTAGGAAACGAACTTTTGCTCCACCTCATGATTTTTTATAAAAATAATTGGCATACTTCCCGAGCTAAATGCATAGTTAGACGAGCTTCTGCATAATTTACTTACAAAACTTTTTTTTACACATCTTTTTTATTGCGAGAGTTTCATGATTATAAACTCTGTGCTTTTAATAGCGCAGGAAGAAACTTACTTGAAGCACTTGGTAAAAGAAAGGAATAATTTTTAATTTGAGATTTGTCCATGCAATATTCGGTAATCAATATTTGTACTGATTCTACAAAATTTACTTTTTTATTCTCAAGTATCGCAAGGGAACAATTTTATTTAATATTCAACCTTGAAATGCACACTATTATACTACGCGCATTCGGACTTAATTAAAAGAAAAAAAATTTTACCTACTTGTTATAATCGTGCTGCTATAAAAAAAACTTATAAAAAGGAAAAGTTACATACTTTCCGGTCTTTAAATAACTGAAACATATAAAAAGTCATTATCTTTAATAGCTTAAAAATTAATGGAAAACTATTACTAAACCCGCCACATAATATAATCCTGTAACAGTTGATTTACGTCATGAATATTATATAATGTAGTAAGCTTTGAAGTTTTACTTTAGATATATATTTGTCGTGGGATAGCATCGTTTTATAGCCTTCTGAAAAAATACATTAAGACAAAATTTATTAATAAAATAATATTTTACAAAAAAAAAAAATCCGTCGCCAGGCTTACTTTCTTTACCTTAATAACAGTTAACCACTTCCCAATAACAAATTTATTTTAATAATGGCACGATTTTAGTAATACAACATTAAATGATACTGTTTCCAAAACTCTGTAAATTTAATAAACATAGTGAAAAGCTTTTAAAACAATGGAAAGTATAGCTCTATGATAATTACAGTTTTCTGATAATAAAAAGTTTAACAGTGCAATATCCACAAAATTTTTTAATTTTATAAATGACTTCTCTTTAATATGAATTTATTAATTGTTGCTATACACCGTTATTTAGTAAATTATAAATAAAACTTTAAAAAAACAATCTTTGAATTATTGACTATAAAAAAAAGATATGCCGTAAAGAAAAAGGGAATTGGAACGAAATAGTTAGAAACTTAAAAAAGAAACTTTTGTTACTATTCCTTTTTTAGAAAAATATTATGTACGTTATTTTTTAAAGTCAATAAATAAAGAATCGTTCTGCTAATTTGGAGATTTCCTAAATATTTCTATTGAATTTCCCTTGGAATTTTAACTTGTGGTAGTTAATTCTTGAAAAGATTCTTTTATAGAAGTAGAAATGCTATAGCTGTATGGAATATATATTATTTAATAGGGGAAAAAAATTATCAAAAGTAGAGTGAACAATTTATCTGATTATTCTAGTTAATTCGTGTAAAATATTTTAAGGATGCAGAGACAGTTATAATTAAATAGTAGTTGAAGTAAGGATTATCTCAGATTATACTAGTTAATTCTGGTAGAATTCCTTTGGAAATAGAGATTTTTTAGTGATTTCTACAGTATAATTTACTTGATGGAAAATAATTTTGGTCTACGGAAAAAACAATTATCTTCACATTATAATAAATTTTTTTCCTTTAATTTTGTATATTTTCTAAAATAAAAACTATCTTTTCAGCTATAGAGCTAATAAATACTTCTTTTTCAGTAATTACTAAAATTAGTGCATCACTTTTTTTATTAAAAGATTGCTACGTCCCCAGAAACTGGCAATACAAATTTTTATTTTTATTAAATTAGATTAATTTCTTCTTCATTTTCGCCTTCCAGCGCGGAAATATTATTTTTAGAACTTTTTTTCATATCTTCTCCTTCTTGCACTTTTTCCTCTTCATTTTCTATATATTCTGAATTATTTTTATCGCCCTCATTTTTTTTCTCGGGTAGTTCTTCTTGATGTACGCTTTCTTTTGCTAATGGCTCTTCTTTTAAGTTATTATTAGCAAAATGCTCAGGTAAGTGGTTCGACGTTTCGGGATTATCTTTTTCTTCTGAGGGTTTTAAACTCTTCTCTAATTGGCTCGTTTTAGTATGAGAAGCAGCCCGATTGGGTGCTGCAATGTTTAAGCCGACTTTCGTTTTTTCAAGATCCGCAACTTCCGTGTAAGATCCGCCCACTTCCTTTAAGAAATCCTGAAAGTGCGTCCCTTATGATAATAATAATAAATATAACAAAAAGAAACTATAATATTATGATTAAAGTAATATTTGAATTAATTTTTTAAATAAATAAGATTTACGAAATTTCAAAAACAAAACTTTACAATAGTAAAGTAAAGAAGAAAAAACTTTTTACTACAAAAAAAATTACTAGTGTCAACTAAGAAGTAATAATAAAGTAAGATATGTTTAAATTTTAATAATATTTTAAAAACTATAATATTTATATCAATAGATAAAGAACTAAAATTACAATAATAGAAATTAAAACAAAAATAATACAGAAAAATAGTATAAACGAGTAAAAGTTGAATCTGCATAAGGACAAAACAATAAATTTAATAAGTTTTATAGAATTTAAATAATTATATACAACTATAATAACAAAATAAATATATAAAAATTCTTAAGCAAAAAAATCTGAATAAATAAAAAAAATAAAAAGTTTAGAAGTTCTTCTTGAAATAAAATATATAATAAATATACATACATAATAAAAAGTTTAAATAAAAAAAAAGTTTTTTACTATATATTCATACTAATAATAAAAAAAATAAATATAATTTATTATAATATTCATGTAATATCTTTTTATAAAATTATTAAGCAAATAAAAATTATATAATGAAGAAAAAGTTTAAAAGTTTTTCTTGATAAAGAAAATATCATTAATATAAAATTTATATAAATATATAATATATGGTTTATATAACAATAAAGTCTTTATTATATATTTATACTAATAAGTAGATAATCTTTACAAAAGTAATACTTTTATTTGTAAAGTAAAAAAAAATATATTATAGTAATATACACGGAATATTTATATACATTTATAATAAAAAGAAAAATGATATAATAAAAAAAAGTTCATATTTATTTTTAAATAAAAAATATGATCAATATTATAATTACATAAGCCACATAATAAAAGGATTATACAACAATGTTTTTGTTATATATTAATAATAATATTAATAAGTAGAAAAATTTTTTTAAAAAAAAATACTATTATTAAGAAAATATACAAACTTATTATCTTGCCATAAATTACTTATTTTTAAAAAAATAATAATAAAAGTATTGCTATAATATTCACGTTTAATATTTTTAAAGTATAGCTCGTCTTAATAAAAAAAACAAATTAATAATTTTTATTTAAACTTTTATAAATATTTTTAAGGCTAAATATTAATTTATATATAAGTTTTTTATTATAATTTATATTTTATTATATACTCTATGTATGAGTTATTTATATAAGCTTTACTAACAAAATAAAATAAAATCTATAAGCTTCAGAATAAAATAAATTAAACGCCTCAAAATTTCTACAATTATTAAGATGAAAACAAATAATAATAGTATAATATCAAAAAATGAGTAGAAAAAATATAAACTAAAAAAATATATAGTAAATTTTATTTTAACTTAAACAAAGAATAATAAAATATATTACTTTGATTAATAATAACAAATATATATAAAAAATAATAAAAGAAAATACAACACGAAATATTATTTATAAAATAATTAACATTTAATATTTTTATTAAAAAAAAAAAAATAAAAAATAATGAAACAAAAAATAACATAATATAAATAATTTTTATAAAAAAATAAATTAAAAGGAAGCATATAATTAACGAAACAAAATATTTATAAAATATTATACTTTCAAACAAATATACTGGAAGGAGCGTATCAATAAAGAAACAACTTGTTTTAGTATTATATAAAAGATATAAAATAATATTTTTATTTAAAAAGGGGAAAAAATATAAAATAACTAAACATATATTATTCATAAAGAATAAGGATGAAAAAATAAACGGGAAGCATAAAATAACTAAACAAAATATTATTATTCATAAAAATGAAATAATAAATCAAAAAGAAGTTTAAAAAATAACCAAATATTTACAAAAAATAAAAATATATAAACAAGATACTTATTAATATTATAAATAACTTAAGAATTAAATAAAACAAGGCATTAAAAATAATGAAATACAAAATAATTAAATAAAATAAAAAATATTCATTATAATTAGTGACCATTTTTAAAGCGTGCCCAACTATCTCGTTCCATCAAATCAAAAATCTCCCTTTCCGCTCCCTCAAAAAACTATATAATAATCCAAAAAAAAATTTTTCTCTGAAACAATGAATATAGTAAAAAAAAGTTTTTCTATACATCCTTTGTATAAGATTCGTCTCGTTCGCATATATCCAATATTTCCTTCCGAGTAACTTTTTATAAATAAATAATAAAATAAAAAAGAGAAGAAAAATAAATATAGATATAAATAAGTACAAGTAAATAATTATTTTTTAAAAAAAAGATTATTATATAATAATAATAAAATATGAAATATTAATAAATAAAACAATATATAAATAAAAATATAAAAAAGTAGAATTAAATAATAAACATCTAATAAAAGTTATCATACAAAAACAAAAAAAATATGAATATATATATTAATACCTAATAAAGTAAAAGTATTTAATTATAAAATAATAAAAATTATTATGTATTTATAATAAATAAATATAAAATAGTAATAAATTAAAAAGTATATGAATAAGTATATATGTATAAGTAAAAGTAAAATATTAATAAATAAAACAATATATAAATAAATGTAAATATAAGAGTACAGGTAAAATTATTATTCTTTAATAAAAGTTGTTACATAATAAAAAGATAATATAAATATATATATAAAAAAAGTCAAAATAAATGTTTAATAAAAGTTATTCAAATAATTTGAAAAGTAATAAAAGAAATTATATTATTGAGCATATATGAAAAAATATCAAGTAAAAGTTTGATATAAATAAAGAAACTAAAAAATATAATAAGTATAATAATATGAAGTATAACAATAATTAAGTAAAATAAATATGATAAAAACTATTTTATTATATGAAATAAAATAATAATAAAAATAAAAAATAAATTGTTGATAACTATATAACAATCAACACCTTTATGAAACAGGAATAGTTATGCATATTAAAATAATAAAAAGTATAATTTCTTTAAATTAATAATAAAGTTAACAAAAAAAAGTTATAAAAAAAAAATATAAATAAACCTCCTTTTAAGTTGACTCGCTGCTCTGCATCTTTTGAAATATACTTTTTCACTATTTCTTTCCCCTTACAATAAACAAGCCATTAGTAGTGAAAGTTACATCAATAGGAAAAAAAATTATACAAAAGCAATGCGTTCTTCCTGTGAATCGAGCTTGGAAAATGCAACGGCATCTCGCCAAAACTAATATATGCATATAAAAAAATAATGAATATTTAATAAAAATAATAATAATGAAAGCTTCTATTAAATATTAAAGAAGAATAATAAAATAGATTTAATTATAAAGGAACAATAAACTTATTATAACGTGAATTGATAACAACAAATCTAATTATTAACAAAAATATAATAATAATAAATTTTTATTATAAATATTAATAAGCTTTTCATTATGTTTATGAAATAATAAAGGTAATTTTTAATAAAAATACAATAATAATAAGTTATAATAATAAATATAATTACGAATAAAAATACGTTAATGATAATGATAAAGTATTTACTATTTTATGGTTATTAGAATAATAACAGAAATAATTATTAATAAAGTATAACAATGATTGTAATAGAGTTTCTACTAATGAAAACAATAATTTTTATAAGTATGTTATAGCTCAATAAGAATAGATATAAATATTATATAATACAATAATATTAGATTATCTTTTAATATACAAGACAATAATATTAATGAAATATTGTATATATAAATAAAAATCATATTATAATAAAAATAAAAAAAAAATCATTTCTTGTTATGGCATATAAAAATAATAATAAAAATAATTATAAAATATAATAATAATTTAGTAACGAGAATAATTATTATATAATATTAAAAAAAAAAACAATAACTTTAATTACAAGTTGTAAAAATATTATTATAAAAATTATATAATAACTAAAATAATAAGTATAAAGTTTTTCCTAAAGAAAACAATAACTTTTACTATAGCGTTATATAAATATACTTTATAGAAAAATAAAATAATAATAAAATAATTATTAATACGTTTTCTATAAAAAATTATGAAAATAAATATAAAAATATAATTAAATAAATAATTAAAAAAAACGAACGTCAATATTTTCTGTGGAATGCTCAGCAGTCATTTGCTTATAAAAACACTTAAAACCAATCATATGGAACAAAATATGCTTCAAACTTGCCTGCGCTATAAATAAGTTTCTAAAAAATATTATACAAAAAAATTGATTGATTTCACATTGTTATTATAATAAAAACTTTGCAGAATATGAATTGTAATACTTGTATATTTATTTATATACTTTCGTTTATAATTGGTATAAAAAAAATAACATTTATATATTTCGCAGAAAAGAATAATAATATAACATTTATACTTCACTTCTTAAATATTATTTTAAAAATACATTAAAAAATTTTATATATTATTATTTATAATTTATTATTTTCATAAAAGTGCAGAACATAATATTATAAAAAAATATTAAATTTATTTATTAATAGTATTTTTTTTTATTAAGAAAATTTGAAAATCCTAATAATATTTAGTAACAAATAAAGTTATATAGCGATTTTTAGTAAATAATAAATATAAACGTTTAAAAGTATAATTCAATAATAATAAACCATAATATTGTGTTGGGTATAAAAATTTTCTTAGAGTTTTTAAGATAATAATAAAAAAATTAAAGTGAATTAATAAAAAGTACTACAAAATAATTAGTTTAATGTTTCCTAATAAAAAAATTAATTTATATTTATTAAAAATATATAAAGTAATAAAATATAAATTTTATTTATTTATAGTAAATAAAAAAAAATTAATTACTATATTTATTAGTAGTTGAATAAATAATAAATAATTTTTTATATATAAAATTTTTACTAATAGCTTTATATAAAAAAACTGCATTACTATTTATTATTTTATAATTATTTTTATTATCAAACAAATTTCTTAATGTTTGTATCATTAATTTTTTTTTTGTTACCATTTTCAATTATTTTATTCATATTAAATTTTTTATTACAAAATTTTATTTTATTATTATAAGTATAAATAAGCTAAATATTTTTAACAATTTTTTTTATAAATTTATTTATTTATAATATTTATTAGATAAATTAAATAATTTTTAATATAATATTCGTTACTATTATAGTAATAATAATAATAAATTATTATAAATTTAATATTATTTCCAATTTTATATAAAGAACTTCATTTATCTTTATTACCTAAAAATTTTGAATAGTATTTGTTCGTTTATTTTTTTGTTATTATTTTATTTATATTCTCTTTTTTACAGCAAAAATTTAAAATATTATTAATATTACTATAAAAATATTAAACTTTTTTTTTACCAATTTTCTTTTTTTCATTATTATTAGAAGTATAAGAATTACCAATTATTACCATATGAAACTCTAATAATAAAATTAAAATTTCGTATATTAAACATTAAATTATTTATTTTTATATTATATAACAAATTTATAGGTAAAACTAATATGATAATTATGGCTATTATAAAATCTTATTTTTCTTATTTTTAAATAAAGTATTTTTATATTAAAAAAAAGTATAATATATATTATTTACTACAATTCTGATATTTTATGTATGAATAGTACACCGTTAAAAATATAATAAATATTATAAATAGTTGCTTTGATAGAATTATTATATCATGAAATATTATTACTATTTAAAATATTTATATTAACAGTTTTAAACAATAAAAAATATTAATTCATATAATATTATAAAAACATTTATTAAAAATTGTACAGCGCATCAAAAAAATAATGAATTAATGATAATAATCAAAAAAATATGCAACAACCTTTAAAAAATAATGAAAAGAATTTTTTTAATTATACTTATTACATAAAAATATTTACTTCCTTATTTGTACTTTAATTAACCCATAAGATTTTTACTTTATTAAAAAATCCGTTAATATTTTTTATTATTAGAGCATTCTTGTTATTAACAAAACTGTTGGTACGTTACGAATGGTTTCAAACAATTCAATATTTATTTGGATTACGCTTATAATTTTTTTATTAGTTAAAATTTTTATTCATACATAGTCTTTATAATTTATATTAAATATAGGTATATAATAAAAGTTACTAACTTTATAAAACTATTATTTATAAATAATAATTACGTTCACCTTCATTAAAATTATTAATAACAGTGCCACCATTTTTTTAAAAATTAAAAATATTACATTATCACATATAACTTATGTATATTATTTTTTTATATACTTAAGTTTTACCTTTCATTACTTTTTAGTATGATATTCAAGTTTCTATAATACCTATAATATTTTGGTACAAAAGCTTTACTTTTCATTAAATATATTTGTTTCTACAAATTATTTATATATTTCTATACAAAAGTTTTACTTTTTCAATAATTTTTAGTATATATATAGTTTTATAATATTTATAAAATATTCGTACAAAACTTTTACTTTCCTTTATTTTACAGTAAAAACATATTGTTCCTTAACAATTTTATATATTTTAAAAATAGTTCTCCTTTTTTTATTTAATTTATAAATTGTAAATAATTTTTTTTTGTAGTGTTATGAAGTTTTTATATTAAAATATTTATTTTACACAACAATTTTTTATTATTCGAAGTTTCACTTTTACTTTTTTATTTTATAAAAATAATAACTATCAATTAAAGTTTTATATTTATAAAATTATTCCTTTTTAACTATTTATTATTAATAGTTCAACAAATTTACTATAATTTTATTTTATTAATACTATTATAATCGAAGTTTTTATTATTTTTTTCGCATTTTAAATAATGTTTATGTATAATTAAAAGTTTTTAAAATTTCTTTATATTACTTGTAAAAATGTTTCATTTTTTATTATTTTCTAAAAAAAATATAAATATATATAGTTTTTATAAGTATTATATATAAACCTGGAGCAAGTTTTACTTGAAACTGTGCAAGAAACTCCGGATTGGAAGAAAACATTTCTTGAAACGTATTCTTTTTATTTAAAATTATAATAAAGTAGAGCAAGAACATATTAAAAAAAAAATTTTTATATAAAATTAATAAAGTTTAATAAACGTATATAAATAATAATTAATAGTAATAAAAGAAAATAAATAGTTTTTTACTAAAATAAAATTAATAAAACTATTATATAATAAAATATTCAAAAATAACAACTTTATTTTATAATAGACATAACAACTTTTATCACTATTATTAGATAAAAATCAATACAAAACAAACAATTTTTTTATAAGTTGACATAAAAACTTTATAAATATCTAATTGATTATAATAAAAATATGAAAAACTATTAATAACAGAAATAATAATAAGAAATATATTAAAACTTTAATACATAATAAAAACTTCAAATAAAATTCATAAAAAAAAAAAACTTCAATATAAAAAACATTAAAATATTAAAACTATATACAGAAATTAAGAAATGATAAAACTTTAATAAAACAATGAAAAAGTACGAATTATGAATTATATTAGTAATAATTACAAAACAAATTAACTTGAATATTTAAAAAAAACTTCTCATATCAATGATACCATAATAATAGTTGATAAAACTTTTATTAAAAATAATAATAAAGAAAAACTTTAATAAAATAAAGAATTATAAATACTTTAATATTATTATAGTAATAATAAAACAATAACTTTAATATATAATATTGTGTAAAATTCTTAATAACAATAAAAATAAAATAAAATATATTAATAAAATAGTAAAAACTATATAATATAATAATAATTTTAATGTATAATTTTTTTTCAAAGTTTTGTTAATAATAATAATACTAATAATAAATAAAATACTTTTGTTACTGAAAGCAATACGCTCAAGGTGGTCGCATAAACATTGGCTGTTCTATTTTGATCTGTTACAAGAGCGATTTCCCCTAAAAAAATAATTATGAAAAAAAAAAAGTTTGGACTAAACTTTAAAGAAAATAAATATAAATTATATATAATTAAAAAAATCTGCTAAAAAATTAATACGTAAAAGAATTTCATAAAAATAGAAATTTCATTGTATTTTTTGATAAAAAAAATTTTCCCCACAATTATAACGTAATATAACTGTTCCTTAGTAAACAGTAAAAATTATAAAAAAAATTTGAATACGACAAAATTTGCGAATAAATATAGAATAATCATTAATTTTTATGATTTCCTTGTTTTCCCCAACAATTTGAACTAATAATTCTAATTATACTTTGATAAAATTTTATGAAGGTAATATAATAAAAATTATTTATAAAATGCCAAGCAACTAAAAAATTCATTAAATTATTGACTTCTAACGTTTTCCCAACAAAATTAACGTATCTTTTAAAAAATAAAAAGAATTAATTTTATAGTAAAGAAATAGAAAAATTATAAAAAAAATATGATTCAAAGAATCTATCTACTTTTGTTACGTTTTTACCCAACAAATTAACAGCTCTGTAAAACTTTATATATAAGCAAAACCAAAATGTTTTAGAATAATGAAGTAAAATTTTTAAATAAATTTTTACAATCAGGAATTTAAAAAATATATTAGTTTTTAAAAAAAACAAGCAATAAAAAGAGCACCTACAACTTAAAATAACTAAAGGTAACAAATAAGCAATAGAAGTTACCAAAATATCCCTTTTCAGCACCCAGAGTTGTCAAAATTTTCTGTTCCTTTTTTACTTCTACATAAACAGAAGCATATTATTGGTAAATATATCTTAAAATTCAAAATGCTGACTGTTTCTAAAAAACTGGCTCTTCTATTATGGTTATAAGGTTAACTTTTCCTGTTTGTTACATTTTTATTTACTGTTTATATTAAATATTAACTTTTATTTGCTGCTTATTATACTTATCCAAACAATTATAAAGTTTTTATATATAAAATTTTATATTTTTAATGTTTTTTTACAACTTCCGCTATAAATTATATTTTTATAAAAAGTTATTTTTTTAATGAATTTATTAATAACTTATGTGTACTTAATATTATTTTTGTAAATTATTTATCATAAAAACTTTTCTTATATATTTATAATAATTATATTTTTTTAATGTTTATAATCTTTTATATTTTTAATTATTATTTACTTTAAATTTATATTTTCAATACATTTATTATTATATTTTTCAAAATAATTTTTTTCTGAAATAAAATAACTTTTACTATATTTATTATTCTCTTATTTTTAAAAGTTATACTTCAAAGTAATTATATTAATAACTTGTCTATGATATATTTATTACTTTTTATATTCAACGAATAATAAAAATATATACAAAACTTTCATAAAGTTAAAATGAGTGAAAAGTTTAGTATTAATTTTTTTATATTATATTTGTAACTTTTTTATAGATATTTATTATTATAATTATAAAAATTACTATGTCTTTTTATTAAACTTTTCTTATATATAAAATATTATCATTATCAAAAAAAAAATTTGAACTATTTATGTTTATAGCTATTTGTTGTATATTTATTATTATACAATTTATTTTTGACAACTTTGCTTCCATATTTAATATTGTATTTATAAAAAATTATCTGTTTATCCTAATTAGATTTATAACTTATTGATAGATATTTATTAATATTACTATATATTATAATTATGTCATTTACTTTTATTTTATAATGTAAAATATAATTCAACTTCTTAGTTGATATAAAAAAAAACTTTTAATAATTATTCAATAAACTTTTAGATGAATATTTTTTTTATATATAAAATAAGAAACAACTTTATGTTTAACATCATAAAAACTACTCTTCATTATTATTTCAATAAAATTTTAATATACTATCCTTTAAAATAGAACTTTATAGTTCATTATAAATAAACAATATCAGTTTTAAATTTCAATTTTTTTTTATAACTTGTTAAATATAACAAAATAGTATACAACTTTAAAGTTTATTATAATAAAAATACGTTACATTATTATTTTTTAAAAATTATATAATCTATAAAAGTATAAAATTTTAATGTCGATAAATTTTTTTAAATATAACATTTTTACTAAAAATAAAAAATAAATAAAACTCTAAAGTTTATAATAAAGAGAATATTTAGTTAAAAAAATTATATAATTAATATGAAGTAAAATTATAATATTATTTGTAAGCAAATAAAAAACTTTAACGTTCATGATAATAATAATTTTTAAATTATATAAAAATTGATATAAGGTATAAGAAATATTTTCAATAAAAAAAAATAAAAATATACAACTTAAAAGTTTTATTAAAAAAATACCCAAAATGCCAAAAAGTATAATATAAAATGTCGTTCCAATATCTCCTTCTTTAAATATTAAAGTTTCTGTAATAAATATATATATGCAAAAAATACAATAATAATAAACCTTTTTTAATAATTTATACAAAAAAAATAAATATTAAGCTTTTTAATGGTTTCTAAAAACATAGTAATAAAAATCTTTTTTATTTATACAAAAATAACTAAAAAAAATATAATACAATTTGATAATAATCTATTTTAACGATTTTAATAAATAGATTAATAAAAGTAATCTTGTTTTAATTATCTAAACAACTAAAGAAAAATACAATAATAAGAAATATATGCTTTTTTTTTATTGCTTAAAAATATAAAATAGTATTAATCTTTTTTTATTTACAAAATAAAACTACTAAAGAAAAATATAATAATAAGCTTTTTAATGATTTATAATAATAAAAATAATATTAATAACCTTCTTTACTTAATTATACAAAAAAAAACTAATAAAAAAAATAATATAATCAATATTTATACAAAAAATTAAAAAATTATATTTAAACACTTCTGAGTTAACAAAAATTTTTTGATAACGCATTCAAATTAAAAATAATAAACCCAAATACTTTCAAAAACAAAAAAAAGTTATAAAACTTTTTTACTAAAGAAATTAAATAAAAAAAATTTATAATAAATAAAAATAATTAAAACTTTTTTTTTTAATCAGAAAATATGTCAAAGTAACTTTTTTTAAAAAAAAAGCAACAAACCAGAAAACTTCAAATTTTTTAGCTAATCATATTAATAATTTATTAAAACATAGACTATCGCTTTTCATTGGGGTTTCTCTTGGTTTTTCATAAAAATAAGTTCTAATTAAAATTTTTCAATTTTATTAATGAAACTTTTAAGTAAAATTTTGATATAACTCTACAATTTTGTATAATTTGCCAGTACTACAACATTTTTTTTTCTTAATACGTAAAAATTAATGCAAAGGTTAAAAAAAAACTTTGAGAATAGTTATAGTACTGTTCCCAAATTAAAATGAAATTTTCTTCTATATGACCTTTTTACTTATTGGCCAAATAATTTGATGCACTCCCAACACTTTTAAAGATATTTATAATGAAGGTAAGCAGCCCTCCTTAGCTGCAACTTTTCATTATTGAAAAGATATTAATATTAAAAAATATAAAAAACCTCATTATTTTTATAACACTCTTAAAAAAAAACTTTTCAATTTTTTTGTAATAATTTATACAAAAATGTTTAACCCAAAAGAAAAAACATAGTTAATTTTTTATATAATAAAAAAAGTAAAAAATGCTTGAGCAAACTTTTATAAAAACTTACTAAAAACAAACAAAAAATTTAAACCACAAAAATTTTAATGAAATGTTACATAAATAAAATTGATACAAAAATTAATGAAATTAAATTTCTTTTAATGAAAAAGAAAAGGTACATAAAGCTACACGCCAACTTTTATAAATAACCTTTAATTAAAATTAAATAAAAGATAAAAAATTTCACAAAAATAAATATGATGCGATCCAAAGTCCAAAGTTAGGGATATATATATCACCAAAAGAGAAATAGGTTATATAAACTTTATTTTAGAAAACCGAAGCTCTTAAGTAAACTCCTTTTATTATTACCAATGAGTATCAGGGGATAACCTACAAAGAATCTCTGTATCAGGAACGTTCATGAGAGGTCATAAACTTACCATAAATAGGTGTTATAGATTTAGGAAGTTTAAACCAATATATATTTACAAGAATTATTGAAATTATTATATTTTAAGGAAAAAAAGTACAAACTACCACGCAAACCTTTTCAAACAACTTTTACTCTAAATAAACAGAAAAAAAACTACAATAATGTTAATGCAATGCTTCACTAAAAATATAAAAAACCTGGATTATGCCATTCCCACGTACACTTTTTGACTAAATTAGGAAACTCTTCATCAGGGAGGCCGTCGAAAACTGGAAGCTATTTAATTATGAGTAAAAAATATATATTGAAGGAAAAGCTTATATACATAAAAATATTAATAAAAAAATATACATCAGTATAAAAAATGTATTAATAAAAATATATATAAAAAGTTACTTAAAAATAATGAAACTATAAAAATATACAAGAAAAATAATGAAAATAATAAACTAATAAGTATTTAAAAATAACTTAATATAATAAGTAATAATAAACTTATACGAAAGTAAAAGTTTATGAAAATATTAAAAAATAAAAGAAAAAGTTTAAGAATAATAAGTAAAAGTAAAGGAAAAAAAGCAGTAAGCCAATTATATATGTAAATAATAAGCTATAAAAATATCTTTTAAAAAAAATTTTATACACCTTTTACTACAATTTTTTAATGTTTCAAATAAATATATTTGACATGTATGAAATTGACGTAACATAAAAGTTATTATAAATTTGAAAGTAACCTTTATATTGATTCTTTTAATATTATTATTTATTAAAACTTAGCTCTATATGCTTAATAATATTTATACTTTCTATAAAAATTTTTAATTTTATATATAATATGGACTCTCAGATATCATAAAATAATATTAATTACTGTTTACTTTTTAATGTTTCTGATAAATTTTATATATAGGAGTTTGTTTTAACCGTAACTGTATAATGTTCACGTATAAGAAAAGTTATAACTAATTTTTAAGTCATTCTTATATTCATTTTATATATTATCAAGTCCTTATTAATTTTATTATTAGAATATACTTCTCGTAGCTGTATAATATCAATACCTTTTTAAAAAAGTTTTTATTTTAATTAATAATTATAAACTTTTCAATATTATAAAAGTTATAAAAAATTAATAATTATTTATTTTCTAAAAAAAGTTTATATTATTCTTATTGCAAGTTTTATTCGAGTTTAATTAATTTACTTAATAATAAAATCAGTTTCATATTACTGATAATATATATTTTTTCTTATTATTAAATATTTCAAATATATAAAAATTAGTTTTAAATATATAAAAGCTCTTTACATGTTATTATTTTATTAATTAATAAAATTCATTGCTTCAAAATTCATTATCATTATTATTATAATTCATAAATGAGCTAAGTCTTTTGTAAAATATATAAATTATTCCTTAACAGGTAATTTATTTATAATATATAATATTTATTGCTGTCTCGCAGATAAATTTTAAAATTTCATATTATTTCTAACAACTTCAAACTTTGTTAGGGTCACATATTATTATTATTCTAAGTATATATAAGTTCTTATCACAAATATTTTTTAAATATATAATTTTTAAAGTTTATATTATTTTTAAAAATTTGAAACTTTATTATAATTATTTTTTTAAACAGTATATAACTATAATCGGCCCCATTTATTATAAAAAAAAATTACTATTGGTAAAAATATGTATCATAAATAGATATGAACGGTGCAAAAAATATTAAAAATAACATTATACATAAAAAAAAGTACCTTCGTATCTTTTAATGAATCGCTCAAAAACTGTTTAGCGCACATTATATAATTCTCTAAAAATTTTGAATTTTCATTTTTCAATAAAAACTTAAAAAAATCGCCCTACAAAAAAATTATAAACACTACTAAAAAAAATTTGGGTAAAAAAGCATCACTTGTGATAAAGAAAGCAACAGGCCACTCTCCGTGCAGCTAACTGTGGAGTTCCGAGGAGTAAAGTGGATCAACGCCAATTCGCCAAATACATTTCCTTTACTGAGATCTCTCATGTCCTCGTTGGCTAGTAAAATATTCAGTAAAAAAAGGCTCTTACAAAAAATATCAGCGAATACATAGCGTCTCAGTAAACTTTCCTTGAAAAACAACATAGAGTTTCCCATTTTCTTCTTTTGCTACTCTTTCTCCTTTCTTTTGTTTTTTAATGAAAAAAAGTTATATAACCAATAAAATTCTATATTAATATCCGTATTGATAACGCCATCTGTTTGCAGAAACTCATTATAAACGCACTTTTCAACCAATAAAATAAGGAGTTTAGTATTCTAGCTAAAAACTACAACTACTGTGATTTATCACAATCGCGTCGTAGTCTACTCTTTTTTTCCATAAAAACCCCCAAAAGTTGGGGAAGAGGAGTACGTGTGTGCACCCGTACAAGAGTCACAAGTTTTAATGAACATAAACCTTATAAACAAAATCGCCCTTTTCAACTTTTTCCAAGCGAAACTGAGCAGCGAGTTCCCTTTTCTGATTTACTTCTAACGAGCTCAAATCAAATAGTGGAGAGCAGCCTTCACAAAAAATTATGAAGTTTCTATACAACTTTTTATCATAATACAAAATTAAAAAAAAATTCTTTAAGGAGCAAAACAAAAGGGTCAATGACAAACGAGATAGTGTGGCCCATGTAATTTTTTTACGCGACTTTTTATTATTGAACCAAAAAGCTATTTTGGATACCAATTAGAGCAAAAAATACCCATCACTCTGTCATTTTTAGCTGTGCCTGTGGCGCCTACTTTTTTTCAGCCATCAGGCGCTCGCGTTAAAATTAAAGACCACCAGCATTGGCTTATTCTCGTTAAATCAAATAAAATAGTAAGTTCAACTTCATAAAACCCACGAATTTTAATTTATATAACTCTGAATTGAAAATAAAAATTTAAATTATTTTTTCAGGACTTCCGCTAAACTTGAACTGTTTAATAATTATTTTAAAACTTACTTTTATATTTCTTAAATTCATAATTCAGATGTTACAAATATCTTCTTTAATTAAAGTATGCACCTTCTTTAGTTTGGTAAAAAATTTAGTTTTATCAAGTTACTAATACTAAATTAAAGTTTTATGTTCTTCTTCTACATTTCTGCATAAAGTTTTCTTTTTTTTATTTAACTTTGCTAGATATGCTTTCTTTTATATAAATTTCGAAAATTTTTAATTTTTTTTATTATAATACAAATATGGCTACAAGTTTTATGACTTCTTTTGCCTTAGAATTAAATTTACTCTTTGGGAATCAGATGCTTCTATAATAATTACACTTTCGACCACAAAAGTTTGTAATTTGGCTTAGCAGCAAGTTGATTTGTATAAAAAAAAAATTGTGATCTTCCAAAAAGTTAAAAAGATAATTAAGTACAACAATTAGTCTTGCCGATGAAATTTTAAATATAATTTTAAAATATAAAAATTACTTTGTATATTTTTTGTAGAAGTTATTAAAAAAGTCTGATTACATATAAATTTTGCAAAGCCAAATTATATAATATAAAAGTTTCAAAAGAAAATACCAAATAAAAAATAAAAAAACTTTTTTTAATAGTTTTACTAAAAATAATTACTTACAAAAAAATCTTAAAAATTAATAAAAAATTGTAATTAAGGCACTGTAATTTTTTAAAAAAAACCCTCTATTCTTTAATAATGGAGTTAGTTGTTACTTCTAGTAAACTTAAATTATTTTAGCAGATTCAATATAAAATAAACAATAAGCCAGTGAATAACCTCAACGTGAAAATATCTTTTTTAAAGTTAAATTAGCTTATCTTTATTAAAAAATTTTACTAAAATTTAAAATTCTGTAGAATTGCGTTAAGATTTAATATAAATATTTATTGTGTAATAAAATTATATATAATCGCAAGCAAAATCAGTAAAAAAGTATATAAAGCGTAAACAATTTAGAAAACCAAGGCAATACGATTTCCACAATTGAAATTTGCAAACGATATAATAAAATAAAAAAGTACTAAATTTTTTTTAAAAATATTAAAATAATATTAATTAGCACTAAAAAAAAATGAATACACAACGTTCTCCTAGAAAGATTTAAAATTTAATAAGTAAATAATTAAAGTACTTATTAGACTCAAAACATCCGGATTAAAAGCTTTTAACAATCCGCTGGAATCTGGGAGGCGACTTAAAATTTTGTTTAATTTTGCTTTGGGAATTACATAAACTTCAGCTACTTCAGAAGCTACTTCCTGGGATAAAAGTATGCATTTATTAAAATATATATAACAGTTTATTACTAATAAGCACATTAAAAAAATTATAAAATAAATTAAAAATTGGAATTAAGAAATAATTATTTATTAAAAACTAATAAATTTCAAATCAAAAAATTAAAAAAGAATAATGGTAATATAAGTAAAACTGTTAAAAATTATTAGAATTTTATTAAAAAATAATACCAATGAAGTTTCTGATTTATCAATTTCACTGAAATTGATAACATCACCGTTAATACAAGTTCTAAGAGAAAAGGCATCTGAAGAATCCATCTGATTTCGATAATTTATATTTTTTAAGTAAATATTAGATTTAAAAAAAACTTTCTCACTTTTTCTTTAACAACTCCTTTAGCTACCAAAAAAACTTTTTTCACTTCCTCATCTTTTTCCTGCAAAATGAAATTCTTCTCAAGAATAACTAATTTTAAATTCTTTGCTAAAGCCTTTAACTCGCTTCGGCTAGATTGTAAAATGTTAAACATAAGTAATTTTATTAACAAGATAATTATAAAATATATAAAAGCTACAATGCTTACAAAGAAAAGTTAAAAGAAAAATATTATGTAAATAATAATAAAATAATAAAATGATAAAAATTAATAAAACTTGTAACGCAAATAAATTTACAAATTAAAGAAAGATTATTTATATAATCATATTTATCTTATATATACTCTATTTATACAAAAATATTAATAAACAATTACCCAGAAAAGTCAATAAATTATTAAAAGTGTCATATTAAAAGTGTCATTACATAATTTATAAATTTAAATAATTATTATTAAAAAATTAATTAGAAGAGTATAATTAAGACTAGACAATTTGTCTATCAATATAATATTTAGTATAATTAACCTCAAGTATAATGAAAATGGAGTTTTTTCCAATAAGGTCAAAACTGTTCCTAATTTTTTACTAAATAAGATTCCCATTCCTTAAAAGCTTACCCAATGCATAAATAACGTCGAAATTTTTTCAATAATAATAATGATAATAATAAATAAAATTTTTTCAAACTCCTCAGATGCAGAAGATTATATATATTCAAATAAGTAAAGCCTCCAAGATATTCACCAATAAATACACAACTTCCTCAAGACAGTTTGAGCAAAACACTTGAACAAGTAAACGACCAATAATTACAATTTCAAAGGCCAACTTCCATTCCTGCTAAATTAATATTTTTTTTCAGTTCTCATTCGTCAGCAATTCTTTTGTGCCAAAAACGTAAAATAAGTCAGTTTTTCTAAACGATGCATTAACCCTTTGAGGCACGACTTTTTTGACTTGAACTTATATTTTTTCTTTTTAATACGCTAATTAAGTTAAAAGAAACAAATTAATATTTAATATTTTATAGTTTTTTATTAATATGTGGTTTTATTATGACAGCCGTTCATAGTGGTTTCAATTTAAACCACAAGTGGTGTTAAAAGTAAAACCACCATGCATGAGGTTAACGAACTAGTACGAAAATAATTTTGTGTTGTATGTGATTAATACACAAGAGCTTGCACTCATATATATGGATATTGTTATTAGGCGTGTTGAACAGGTAAGGAGTAAATAAACCTCAGTTAATAATTCGAATTAAAGTTAAAAAATTGTGCAACCTAAGCCCTTCTAAACTTTATAATTTATAATATAAGAGTTTATTAGAATACATAAAATATTTTCTTTAAAGAGCCTTTGCGGACATAATTTCTTATAGATAGTTAAAAGTTTTTCAAGTTTTATTTGGAAGATTAAACACGCAGCTAATTTTATAGCTAGTTTAACAACAGTTTTAAGATTTTTTAGCATCAGTACGACCCCAATGTAAGTCAGGTATTTGCTACTTTTTCTAGACTATGAGCTAATAAAAATAGTTAGAATGACATATGGCAGAGAAGGCTAGTTAATGTAATAATTGTTGCTAGCTTTCTGCTTTATTTAATTGCAGTAGTACATTCATACTTTACAAAAATCGAAGTTTTCAAAGCTTTTTTCTATCTCCTCTATTTGTTTCTATCTACTTATGATATAACTTTATAAAAAGAATAAACTTAACCTGTAATGCGGATGACACCGTTTTATACTACAGCATTAGGTCAGAAATGGCTGGTGTTTACGACGAACAGACCTAGTGGAACAGTGCGCAATGCATGTCTTTAAACATGAAAGTGTAAATTACTACGTCCAAAAATAGCTTATGATTATACCACAAAGTAGGGAATATTTTCTCAAATCCCCATTATCTCCCTTTTTTAAACTTCTAATCTTGTAATAAACCGTTTAAGTACCTTGAGGGGGGTATTCATCAACAGATAAAGCCTTACTTCACATCTTTTTTACCTCGTCAGAAAAAGCAGACAATCCTTGACTATTACATACCCTTTAGTAGGAAGTAATAGTAACTTGCATTCAAAAAGAAAATGCTTTTAGTATATAAAGTGGTAATGCAATTGCTGATGGTCTACCCCTCTGTTGCATGGCCTTTCCTTACAAAAATCATATACAATGACTAACGTGTCCTGAAAGTGGCGAATATCATTGATATGTGGGCAACACCTATTTAAGAAGTTTTATATAATTTTACGGAACTGACTAAATAGGGCAAGTAGGCTTCCTAACTAATTGAATGGGGTGAATTAGAATTTATTTTAATAAATACTGGGGCTAAAATTTTGTTATGCTATATTACTGTTGTTTTTTTTATTTCGAGGTACCTTCTTTCTTAATATTTAACAAGTTAGTCGTACTGATAAAGCTTATCCATACTCGTATTGTCAATGCCTCATTAAGGAAGTGGTGGTTTCGCTTAATTCCGGTGGTATTGAAGGGTTACTAGAAAAAAGATAAATAAAGCGATAAATGGAAAATCAAACCTCTGACAAGCTAATGCTATAAATAATATTATATAAGTGGCCATAATTATAGTCACCGAACTTCTGACGAGAGCATTCTAAGTTTTGCAAAAATGAAAGACGGGCAATATATCAGGAAAACTATGTTCTCTAAAGAGAACGTTACGGTGCTTACAGTTAAACCGCTTTTAACTAAACTAAGAAATACTTTAACTCAAGAGTGGAAGTTTCAAGTATATGAAATTATAAGTTCTTAGTCTTTTTGTATATTATAAGTATACTAAAAAAATTGTTGTAGTTAGCTAACGTTAACTCAAAAGTTTTAATATTCAACTCGCAATTTTATGGTCTTAAACCCTTAGCAACATTTCTATGGTACTTCATATATAATTCTTCTCCATTATATTTCATCGTTTATACTAATATAACCCAAAATATAATAATCTCTATGAAGATATTATAACGTTATTAAGAATTCTTACTAAGGAAAACAAGAGCAGTGAAACTTAATATAAACCGCTTTTTAGTCTCTGCCAGTTTTTAAGTTTAGTATAAAGATACATAGATGTGAAAATTAAAATATTAAAAAAGAGCTACGAGAGCATAGCAATGTTATATTTAGGTAGTAAAAAAATTGGTAATGATAAGGAAATAAATAATGTACACAATCTTTTAAAAATACTTATTTAATGGTTTTAATAACCTACATTAAAGATAACGAAGCATAGTTTTTGAGATATACTAATTATGCAATTGTGTTTGAAAATATGTCATCAATTATTTTTGATATTAATAATTCTTTCTCTTCTCGCGTTATATAAATCTCTAGCGCCAATAAAAGGTAGCGAAGTTAAATGGGAACTGTTTATTAAAGTAACCTCGTTGCTCGCCTGTTATATATACAAAAGAGCACTAGAACACTAACTTTATCACAAGCTCAAGCACACTAGTATTGCATGTAAAACCTTAGCAGAAAGTTGGAGTACATGTTATATAACATCTTTACATATTCGGGAACCTTCCCTTAACATTCAACTGTAAAAACCTTTACAGAGAGAGGCGACCACTGCTATAACGAAGTTAGTAATAAAGTTCTATTAAGTGTTATCTATGAGTGTTTTAATTAAATCGATTATTGATTCTAGATAGTAACTACTGATAAAAACGCATCCAATTGAAAGTTGGATTTAGAGATTAGTGTAAAAGCTTTTTTTTACTTCTTTTTTAGCGAAGGGACCTTGAATTACGTGTTTAACTTAATCATAAATTATTTTTATAACTAAATTAAGACAAAATTAACTTGAAAGCAACTTCAGTTAAATTATTAAATGCAATTTGAACTTGTATGCCACAAAAAACGGTTTTTTAAGAACTAGAAACAGAAACTAAGTATAGGAAATAGCGTTCTTATAAAGTTTATATATTGTGATATAGAAGGCATTTTATTAATTATTTAATTAACTACTTTATTAACTATCCTTTCAGTACTACAAGTAAAAAGAAACTTTTGAATATGTTGTAAGTACTGTATTATTCTTACTAATTATCCTTTATTAAAAATATTTAACTAATCAGATACAATACTATATATCGTTAAATAGATTAAATAATTCTTATTTTCAACAGATACAATTTAATATGTTGTAAAATAGATTGTGTAATCTTATTTAATTATCCTTTATTATATAAAATCACAAGCAAAATAGATACAATAGGGGAAGATCAGGGTGGCCCCTCGGACCTTCACTGTACTACGCAAAGATATACTTGCATACTGAAAACATTGTTTAAAGTGTCCACTCTCGAGAATATAAACAAATGCAATCCACTTAGGACGTAAAAGCCGACTGTGCAGTGAATGTCGTGAATTTAGTTTTCGCTAAAAATTTTCCGTGGTATTAAATAGAATATGTAAGCATTCATACTTATCTATTGTTTAAGTTGTAGGACAAATGTGAGAGTTGTGGCTAGAATTATAGCATGATAGCCATCGGGTACCTCCGAACATGAATTCAACTTCTGGAGCTCCAATACTGTTCTAAGGAAGTATAATTCGCATCTTTGAAAATAGTAGGTTACACTTATGTTCCTATTATTTCAGATTAATTAGTAAAATGCCGAATTTAGGAAAGAACTGGTAATAGAGGCAAATGGAATGAAAGAAGCAATTGAATGGGTAGTAGAAGATAATCTATCAGTAAGACCAGAAGACAATATGATGCACCTAAATGCTCCCTTCAGGATCGCCTAAATGCCTCATAAAATGATAAAGAAATTACTTTACACCCTAAGTTAAAACTATTCCAGCCCACATTTTCTGAGAATTTCTCTAAGCAATTTACGAGCACGTTAAAAAATTAGATAATCGTCTGATGCCATTTACTAGAAGAGAGTTTTTAAAATTAGCATTTAACCTAGTGGGACTCCCTAAACTTTCTAATGGATTTAATGGGGTAGAAAAGAATGGCAGGGGAAGACTTCTTTTAAGGATCTCATTAAAAGATAACTGGATATTGCTTTAAGAACTCCGGAACACACTATTATTTCGCAGATTTTTGTAAGTAAAAACGTTAGGTCTATTGTCTGAAAAAGGTTTTTCCAGTTTTAAAAACAGTTCTTACGAATCGTGCGTAAACACTTGCGACTCATCCCGGGTCTAAGTCAACACTGATGACTTTTCTTTAAAAGCAACAATATGGCAAATTAACGTCTGCAGAAAGTTCGATATATCACACTAGCATTTGTAATGAATGACTCTGGTCACCTTAAACACCCCTCTTTATTTTTTCTAGATAAAAAAAATTTGGTTATTGATGGTAGGAGTTCCACCAGAAAGCATTGCTATATTTCACGAAAGCGTTTGAATGAATGCCGAAGTGTTCTTGCAATGATTGAAGCATGAATATAGCATGCTCAGTCAACGGAAGAATACCATGTCTTCTTAATTTTATAAGGTCATCCTTGTCATAAATAACTGTCAGCTATCGAATACGCACGTAGAAACGATATTTATATGCAGAGCACACCACCTCACACAACACAAACTTTAGTTACTGGCAAGAACCCTTTTTAAACCTACTAAGGCAGCATTTGCACCTGCAAGTGCCATGTGGATGAGACGAAATCCCGGAACTAGAATCACTGACTAGACTACCGCTACTAATTTGTTCCCGATGCCTTCGACGGAGAGCTATACTGGATAAAACATAAAACGGGTTTAAATCCACAGAAAATTATCCTTTTCACCGTGAATCTTTAAAGATATCGATTATGTACCATCTATGATGACAGATGTGGCGCAAGAGACTGCCTCCACGAAAAATAATTTTAAGCATCCTTCGCCTACCTAATTCTCATCATCTGTGCCTTCTACTAGTTGCGCTTGTGAGACTGCCAATGAACCGATGCCTTCGACCAATGCAATAGTTTGTTAAGACAGGTATCAACTTTTCCTGCCGCGTCTTTAAAACGCTTAGTGACACGGATCCAAAAATAAATAAAAAAAAACTGAAACTTTAACATCTTCATCATATAAAAAGCGCCTATAAAAAAAACAGAAAGGTAAAGGGGCTAGAACGCATTTAGGAACAAAATGGTTGGGTTCGGGTAAAGGTTAGGGTTCGGGTTAAGAATATAAAGTTTTGTTTACGAAAAAGATATCCAACAATTTCTCTCTCTGTCTTGTAACTTTATTTTCACAGTAGACAGCGAAAGGACGTTATATTTTTCTTTAGTTTAGTACATACGTTTGAGGGTACAAGGAATACTATAACAGGTTGAATACGTAAAACCATCATACCGGGATTCAGAGTTGTCAACGAAGTTTAGCAGTTAAAAGCATTGACTCGCATACTCAAGGCCGTGGGCTCGATTCCCACCGACGCGACTCTATTTTTCGATCTTCGTTGGTCGCGTACATAACGTCGCCCTCATTAATTCTAATACATTATATTCAAATTTTAGAATTTTTGTACTCTCGTTAATAAGGTGGAATATCTTTGAGTGTTAGCTTATGTATAGAGTCAAGAACTCTTGTTCGAGCCAACCCATTCGCTATTTACAAATATCCAAAGATTACTCCTGGGCAGCTAAAATCAAATTCATAAGGTTCCCCAGAATGGACCTAACTGGGCTATTTCCTCAAAAGGTACTTGTGAGGTCGAGGTTAAATACGCGACCAACAAAGACCGAAAAAGAGAGTTGCGACTGTGGGAAGGGAACCCATGACCCGAGTGTGCGCATCAACGCTATCAACCGCTGAGCTACGACGACAACCCTCAATCCCGGTATGATGGTTTTACGTATTTAATCTTTTATATTACAGACCCGTAGCTCAGTCCAAAGATCGCTCTCAGTATTCTAGTATAAAAATTTTTAAGTTACAAAAGTTACAAATTCAGCGCTTTAGAACTTCTAAGAATTCTAATTTTTATGGAATAAAAGTTCCATCATTTCTACTAATAGTTCGATGTTCAAATATATTTTAATAAGTTGTAAACAAGGTAAATTTTTAAAAATAAGAAAACTTTGTTTATATCATGAAAAGTAGTGCAAATAAATTATATCTTATGGTATATTATCCTCACTTTTTGGGTGGAAAAATTAGTAACTTTTCATGCTTTTGCTAAACCACATGCCCTCGTCTGGAATCTGCATTAGTAAAGGTTTCTAATATATATTTCTCTACTTTTAACTAAATTTAACGGAAGCGCTTACCCTCCAACGGACATTCCTCGAATACAATTAAAGTTGCCACCCTAATTAAAGTCGGTCAAGCTCATCATCTTAATTATTAATTAAAAGAGACTTTCCTAAAAACAGCACAATGGAGTACGCGTAATTATAATTTAACCTTTCACCAAAATAAGTATATTCATCGACATTGAACATCGACATTGAAAAGGTCATTTTCCTTGCAAGTGTTAGCACTTAATACAAACAACTTTTTTTAGTTAAACTCTAATTATACTATTTCATAAATCACTATTTAAACCGTTAAAATTGAAATTTAATAATTAAATAATTCTTATATCTCAAACTATTTGCTGTTTAGGTAGCCCTCTACAAGGTTTATTATGGAATCAACCAAAAATAGTTTTAAAATTTTTATTTGGTCTAAACTGGTTCTTTTCTAGTTGATTTCAATTAGACTTCGACTTCCATTATGAATTAAATAGAGATAAGGGGTGATGCTTACTATATAAATACATGTGAATATCTAGTTTTGGGTAGAAAGTGTATAACTCATGATTACCTTTTAATTTCACAATCGTTTATAATATTAACATTGTGGTGTCCCGTTTCTTAAACTTAAATAAACCTCAAACCTCACAATCGTTTACTAATAACCCTAAACATTTTTTGTGCTTTCTATTTTAAACGTCTGAGTTATACAGCAAATGTCATATAAGTTAATTTTAAAAATCGAATAACTATAATATAAAAAAATTAGTATCGAAAAAACGATTAGGTATCTTTCAATTTTTATCATTATAAGAAACTAGTTTTTTAGTCCCAAATTTATCACGCCGTACTGAACAGTATTATGTGGGTTATATTGTTCATTTTCTTAGTAAATGCACCGAATGTATAGTTAATAAAAAGTTCAGCATTTTTCAAACAATGTAATGGTTGGTTGCTTTTTGTGATAATGAAGCTCAATTTTTAGAGACCTCCATACAATAGTTTTGGATTCCTCCGAGGATAGGAAGCTAATATATGGGCTATCGCGTCGTTCAGTAATCAGTAAGTCAGCATTAATTAACGTCATATTGATGCAGTCCTTCATTATAAGTGGATGTTAGTAAGGCTCAAAAACCTTTGGTGCATTATTAATAGATATGTCCGAGGTTGCCCGCCGTATTTTGTGTTGTCAAGGATGTGAGGCCAAAGTATTTTTAATATTTTAATTAAAGAAAACTATATATAAATACTAATTTATAATTATTGTTATTATAAAAAATACATTTAGTAGACACTTTTTTTTAGTCCACTTATGTTCAAGGCTACCTTATATTCCTATAATATTTTGTAAATTAGATGGTATGTCCTTATTAACTATCCTTTACTAAAAATTATGACAATTAAACGTAAAATCAGTTGTTCTTTATAATATTTAAAGAATTATTATAGTAAATAAATTATTATAGTAAATATTTGACCCCCTTTGGCGCCCGGCCAGCTTAGCTTAGTGGTAGAGCATCGCACTCGTAATGCGAAGGTCAAGAGTTCGATCCTCTTAGCTGGCACTTTTTCTTACTTTTCTCATGCCAGCATCACCGCAATTTCGTTCGTCTTTTAAATACACTACTTTTCAAAATTTTAATAACATATCAAAGATGATACCCTAAGTATTTTCGTTTAAGTTACGTGATAACAATAAAAAATATATACTAATAAAGTTCCGCGTATTTTTACATTAAAAAGTCATCCTTTTCAAAACTTTATTAAGCATTGTTTTTCTCGTTAATACAATTTATCCAGTACTTTTACTAAGTTAAATGTTAATATCTTTATAATAATTTTAATAAATTTTTTCTAAAGTTATTTATTTATAATATCTATATATTAGTTAGTTAACCTTCGAAAAGGCTTTCAATTAAATAAGTTCTATTTTAAACTTTTATGCTATAGTATGCTATTACTATTCGTGTGTAGTAGTGAATCTATAAATTTTTTTTTATACTAATATAAAACTATTAAAACTGAATATGTAAAAAAATGTATATATTTTTCATTTTATTAAATAAAAGTTATGAATCTAAAATATTTAGTACTATAACTAAATAAAATTAAATATAATTTTATTACTAGTTTATTTTTTCGTCAATGACGGACTCTTTTGACAAAGACAAAGAAAAATGTACTTACGTTTTATATAAAGATCGGGAAGATTGGAAAGATGTGAAACCCATTCCTCAAGATGATGGACCAAATCCTGTAGTTGTAATTGCTTACAGTAAAAAGTTTGTGGGTAAAATTTTAAATTATTTCGTAAAGACTATCATAAAAAATTATTAAAAATAACTTTATTTTTAATTTTCACTTTATAATTCTCGAATCTTATAATTTATAAATTACTATCTCTTCATTATCAAATTCTACAAAATCTAAAAATATAATTTGTACACAGCTAGTCATTGTTTACTTTTTTTTATTTTTATAAACACTTTTTTAAAAATATAATATTTTTTAAGTTTATTTTATTGGGAAAAAATCGAATATTTAAATTTCACTACACAGCCTTGCCTTTTGCTCTATTTTTAGGATTATCTATTATTTTTATTGCAACTTTCACGCCCTTTATTGTATAAACTTCTTGGTACTTTACAAACTTGTCTTTAATCTTAATTAAAATTTTTTGTAAGGCCATAAATCTTTGAAAATAATAATTAATGAATTTCATTAACAATTAATTATTTTTATCGTTATTATTATTACTATTATTATTTTTATCAATTTTAGTTTACTGTTTAATTATTATATAAAAAATAAACATTTTTAAAATCAGTTTTTTACTATTATTATAGTTTAAGTGGGTATTAATATATATTAACTGAAGATTGTAATTTATGTTAATTTTTTTTGGATTTTTTGAAATCAAGATAACAAAAAATTTAAATAGATTATTTAGTTGTAAAGAAAATTTATCATATAAAATTATGTCACTGCGCATTTCTTTATTTTCTTTATATTTCCATATTTATTTATTTATTATTAATAAATTAATTTAAATTAAATTTAAAAATATTTAATTTATTATTTTTTAACTAATTTTTTTTAATAGATGCTCACGATTATTTCAGAGCCATCTTGAAATCGGGTAAATTTTAATTTATTGAAATTTTATAATATTTGTCCACCAAATCTACCCCACTTCTCTACATTATTTTTAGAATAACTTATTAAACCAATATTATATATTTACTAAGTTCTTATATATCTTAAAAAATTTATATTAGATTAAAAATTTATAATCTATTATTAATTTTTATTTTTATTTTTCTTATTTGTAAATTATGTTTTAATTTTCCTTATTAAAAAATTATTAGTATCTGTTCTTCATATTATTATTAAATTTATAATTTTTTATATAATATTTTATTATAAAAGTGGAAGATTTTTAGAGAATGCTACTTTTTATATATTTTTTTCTTGCTCTATATAAACTCTGATAAAATTTTTTCCATATTTTTATATTTTTTTACAAAGTTAATCTAAATAACGAGTAATAATTGAAACTTTAATTAAAGTAATTTCCAAAAAGTAATAAATTTATAAATGATAAAGGTTTACTGTTGCTAATTAGTACTTTATGTATATTAATAACCTTTTTATTATCGTGATTTCATTTTAACGATGTATGCATAAACTTTATGTAAACTACATTCATAAGAATTTAAAAATTTTATAAAAATACATTTTGGTTAGAAATTTATTTATAGAAATATGAAGCATATTATTTTTAATTTTTTAAACCTTGCGCATACTCTATATTTTGAAATACTTTTGTATAAATAACTCAAAACTTTTATAGAAAAGTTGCGATTTTTATTACTTGATCGCCAGTTTTTTAAACTTTTCTTAAATCACTTTTATAATAAATAATTTCGTTCTGTTCGCTCCGGATTTCATTATTATTATTACATATAAACTTTTTTTAAGTAAAATTAAATAAATTGTAAATATTGCTCTTAAGAATTTATATTTTCTTTAATTTTCTTTTTTTAATAAAATATAAAAACAGAAGATTTTTTTTATTTATTAATTTATACTTTTTGAAAAATTTCTTATTTCTATTTTTAGGCGGAAAGTAACTAGAATTTTTTAGGTGATTGTCTTTTTTTTTTAAGATCTTTTATTTAAAAATTTTTTAACAAAATAATTATTTGCTACGAGTTTTATTTATTCATTTACTGTTGATAAAGTTTTTTTAACGTCGTATTATAAATATATATAAATATTTTTTTTTCGAAGATTTAGAGATTTATAATTTTTTTTTAAAATTTTTGTAAAGTTATAATCTAAATTTAATTATGTAATTTTACTATTAAATTTTTTAAAAAAAGATCCCATTAGTTAATTTTTTAGCTGCCATATAAATTTTAACATCTAAAACAATTATTTTCTATTAATTTTATTTTATTTTTTTTACTTTTAATAAACTTTTTTTTAACGTCGTATAATAAATATATATATAAATGCTTTTTTTAAGATGGAATAAAATTAAAAATATCTAATTTTTCTGAATTTTTTTAACAAGTTATAAAACAAATTTTAAATTTATTATTACTATAAAAAAAAATTTAATTTTTTAACAAAAATTAAATCATTCTAGAATTTTATTTTAGTATTAATAATTTTTTTTTTAACGTGGTAAAATAAATATATAAAAATGCTTTTAAAAAGGAATTAAAATCAAAAATTTATAATTTTTTTCTAAATTTTTTTAACGTTATAATTAAATTTTATATTTATTATTATTAAATTTTTTTAAAAAGATTTCGTCTGTATATTTAAATTTTTTTACTATTGATAAACTTTTATTTTAACGTGGTATAGCTTTTATATAAATATTACCTCCTTTTTAGGAAAATATAGTAAACTATAATATTGAATTTTTTAATTATAATTTTTATACCAAATATATTCCCATTGATATTTTAAATTTTTTTATTATTGATAAATTTTTTAACGTCGTGTAGTAAATAGATATAAATACTTTTTTAAAAATATTTTAGTAATTAATAGTATTAAATTATTTTTTAAATTTTTACACCAAAATTATTTCCATCTACGAATTTTATTTTATTTTTTTATTATTAAAAATTTTTTCTAACGTAGTGTAGTAAATATACAAAAAACTTTCTTAAAAAGAATCACTAATTCATAATTTGTAAATTTTTTTTTTAAACACAATTACTCTTTGTGGATCTCATCGCTATTATTTTCTTACAAACTTTTCTAGCAATATAAAGTTTTCAACCAAACGCGCGAGGCACACTTTTACTTATAAAAAAAGTTTTTTTCTATACTTGTGTTTTTTATAAGTACTTCAAAAAAAGTTTTTATTTATATAAATTTAAACTCAATTTTCTTTTTTTAAAAATATTTTTATTAATATTTTTACTTTTTTTTATAGAATGATAATGAAAATGTTTTTTTTAAACTTTTTCTTACTTTATAATTAAATATAAAAATATTTTTGTAGATATTTTATATATTTTTATAAAATGTTGTAAAAAGTTTTTTAACAAAATTTTTAATTTATTTTTCTTTAATAATAAAAAAACTTATTAATTTTCACTATTAACTTTTTATTAATATTTTTTATTTAACTTTGTAAAAATAAAAAACTTTATAATTCTAATTTATTTTTTTATTGACTATAAAAAAAAATTTCATTCGTATTTTTATATATCCTTATAAAATGAAAAAGTTTTATAAACTTTTTAATTTGATTTTCAATTATAAAAAAAACTTTATATTAATATTTTTTATTTACCTTTTTAACTTTTTAAAAATAAAATAATTTTTATAAATATTAAAAAAAAATTTCGACTTGAATATTGTGATTTTACGAAATAACTTTCGAGTTATATAATTTCTATATTTCTTTTTTAATTAATAGTGAAAACTTTTTTAGTATTTATATTTAACATCTAAAAATGTGTTATTTTATTTTTACTTTTATATATTTTCGTATGAAATTTATTTTTTTTAAAATTTTTTATTATATTAAAAAACTTGAATATTAATTTATATGAAATTTTTTTTTATTAATTAATATTAATAAATACTTTTTTTTATTTATTATTATAATTATTAAATAATTAAAGTTTTTTGTTTACTTTTTAGACAACTTTCTATTAAGTTATCTAAAACGTGGATACTTTTTTATGTGTAAAGAAGTTTTTTTTTTACTTAAAAATATAAATATATTTAAAATTTACTTATTATTATCATTAAAAAAAATTTTCTACTTTTTTTGATGAAATTAAAGTTTTTTTTTTGTTATACACAAAAAATTATTATCTAAATAGTTTATTATCATTATAATAATTTTTTTATATAAAGTTTTTTTTATATTTTATTATTAAATACATTATATTTTTCATTTGTTCTTAAAATAACAGAAAATTCAGAAACTTTTTTGTATATAAAGATTTTAGTTTTAATTACATGATAATTACTTTTATTCTATTTTTTTAATAATAAAACTTTAATACTTTTTATGTATAAAAAAAGTGTTTTGTCTAATTTTATATATAATAAATACTTATTTTTTTTTAATAATTAAAAACTTTAGTATTTTTAATAGAAATTTTTTATATATATTGAATACTTTTATTTTATAAAGTAACAAAAAAAGTATTAATAGTTGTAAAAAATACGTTTTCACACAATTATAATCATAAAACTTTTAATACTTTTTTATATGAAAAAAAAAGTTTTTTTTGGGTATTTTTTATAAGACAAAATCTTTTTATTTTATATTCTGAAATTATAAAAACTTTAATACTTTGCTTATAAATATTTTTTTGTTATTCATATCAAAAATAGGAAAATACTATTTTCTGAAGTTATTAATAACTTTTACCTATTAAAATATATGAATATAAAAAAAATTAGATGAATATAATAAAAAACTTTTCTTTTCATAGGAAAAAAAAAATTAAAAAATATTTATTATGTTAATTTTTAAAATTTTAAAAAAACTATAATACTTACATATATATAAAAATTCATGAGTTATATTTATTTATTAATAAAAACAGAAATTTTTGTTATATTAAAAAATATGTTATTTTTTTAAACAAAAAAAAAAATCATACTTTTGTAGAAAAAAAGTAAGATTTTTAATATATTTTTGCAATAAAAACAAACTTATTTTTGTTTATTTTTATATCAAAAAATATATTTTGCTTATTTTTAACTAAAAACTGTAATACTTTTTTTATAAAAACTTTGTATTTGTATAAAGTAAAGTTTTTATGTTTATTTTTATATTAAAAAGTATATTTTTTTCACTAAAAACTATAATACTTTTTTTATAGAAAAAAAAAGTTTGTACTGATTATATTTATTGGAAAAACTACTGTACCATATTTTAATAATAAAAAACTTTATATTATTTTTTTTCTGTTTTTATTTTAAATAAAAGAATACTTTTTCATATATTTTCTGAAACGTTTTGACGTTTAAGAGAGTTTTTTTTTTAATTTTTTTTTTATCGTATAAGACTATTTATCGTTTTTTTAAATAATTAAATACTTTAATACTATATTATATTAGAAAAAATTGTTTATATTTATATTAAAAAAAAAAAACACTTTATAATATTTTTTTTTTAACCAAAAAAAAATTCTTTATTACTTTTTAGGGGAAATAAGCGAACGATGTCTTGAGCTTACTAAAAATGTTATTCTTTTGAATCCAGCCAATTATACGGCGTGGCGATACCGTCGTTATTTACTGTTTCATCTAAAAATGGTTGACTTTTAGATGAATTCTTATAGCCTTTTTAGCTTCTATTATAAAAAAATTTCTCTTATTATATAATATTTAAAGTTTTTAATAATTATACTTGATGATATTAAAAGTTTTATCAAATGTATAAAAAAAGTATTAAGTAAAAGTTTAGTTTATATTTTTGACAATAAAAAAAAAAAGTTTATATAAATTTATTATTACTATATTTTTTAAGAAAAATTATAAATATTATTACTTATCTCTCGTTTTTTCTATTTTCAAACATTTGGTTATTATTTATATAAGTATTTTTTGTTTTTTATAAGATTAATAACAATTATAAAATATTAAAATCCCTTTTATTTCCTTCATTTGTATTTCTAATAAATAGATAATTATTTTTATTATTCAAATTTTAGTTATTATTATAAATTTTTTTAATAAATATACTAAGAAATATTATTATTTTTTGTTTTCTTAATTTATTTTTTTTAAGAATAAACAAATTTTATTATTATTATTAGATAATATATTTTTTTTTATATAAATAAACTTATTTTTTTTTAAAATTTTATAAAATTATTATTTTTATTTAAACTTTTAGTTATTATTATAAGTATAATTTTTTCAAAAAGATTATATATATAATTTTATAATTGACTTGCACATGTCCGCTTAAAAGTAATTTTTATTAAGAAGAAAGCCTCGAAACTTTTATAATAAGAGAAGTTTTTATAAGTAATATTATTTAAAAAAAATTTTAACACTATTTATAAAATAATAATTATTATTTTTGTATTTATAAAATCTTTTAATTATTAAAAATAACAACAAATAGAATAAAAGTTTTTTATGATAAAAATTATGTCTAAACTTTTTATTATAGAACATTAATAATAATAAGGAATATACATAATATATAATAATACTTTTTTAATAATAATTCACGTTTTCTTTGAATTTATAATAATAATAATTATTATTTAGAGACTTTTATTATAAAAATTTTGAAAATATAAATAATTGTTATATTTTTATCGTTTATTAATTATAATTAATAATATAAATAAGACAATAATAAAAGCTTTTATTTTCTTATAATATAATAATTTATATGTAAATAAAATTATCTAATAATAAAGTTTTTTTTAAAAATAAAAGAATATTTTGAAATGCTTATTAATTTAAAAAGAAAATTAGAAGTTTTTAAAAAATTTTAATAAAAAAGTTTTAATATAAATTATCATAATAATTTATTTAAAAATTATATTATTATAATAATAAAAGTTTTCTTAAAAAATACAAAATATTTATAAGTTTATAAACAAAATAATAATGCAAAATAATGAAATAATTTTTTTTTAAATTTAAAGTTTTATTAATATAAAAATATACCAAAAAAGTCCTTAATATAAATATAAAAATATTTTGGAAAGATAATTGATATAATAAGAAAATTAATGTTTTTAATAATGAAGTTTTAGCGAATAATAATATAATAACTATTTATGAAAAAATATTTTATAGTAATAAATCTTGTTTAGTAATATTAACTATTTTGAATAGTTCACAAATATAAAAAGTAAAAAATAATACAAAATAATAAGGGTAACTCTTTTATAACTGAAGTTTCCTACTAAGATAAATTTATTACTGTTAATAATATAAAACTTATAATTTTTTAATATATCTATAATAAAAATTTATATGTAAAAAATTTTATAATAATAAAAGTCTTTTAAATAATACACAAATATTTTGAAAAGTTTATAAGTATAAAAAGAAAAAAAATTATAAATAATATATTATTAAAGTTATTATAAAGAAAAAGATATTTAAAAGAATTTTTGTTATATATAATAAATTTTTTTATATTTTTTATAACAAAAATTTATATGTAAAATTTTATAATAATAACAGTTTTTTAAATAAAAATATAATTTAAAGAGTTTATGACTATTAAAAGAAAATAAATGTTATAGTTTTAAAGTTTTTTAATAATAATGATAATAATTAAAGAAGCTGCTATTAATAATATTATAAGAATTATTATTTTAAAAGTATTGTTAATAAAAAAAGTTTTTTTTTATAATATATGAAAGAAAATAATAAATACTCTACTCTAAATAAAGTTTTTGTAAGTTTTATTATATATATATAAAAAATAATATGGGGAACTTTATAATAATAAAATTTTTTTACCCAAAAATAAAAATAAAAGAATTTTTATTATAAATAGTACTAATAAATTACTTTTAAATTTTTTATAACATAAAAATTTATAAGTAAGAATATTTATAATAACAAAAGTTTTCTTTAAGTGAAAAAGTAATACCAATAAGATTATAAATATATAAAAATAGAACCAATATTGAAAATAAATTTTTTATACTATTATTTTTTTTTTATAATACTAAATAAATAAAAGACTTTTTTATATAAATAATAATAATATAATAATAAATATCTCTATTATTTTTATATAAAAAATTATCTAGAGAAAATTTTTTAATAATGAAAATTTTCTCTAAAATAGCATATATTTATAAACTTTATAAATATGAAAAGAATAATAATAATATAACAAAAGTTAAAAAGTTTTATTAAATAAAAATATAAATAGAAATTTTTATATATAAATAAAAATATTATTAAAATTTTTTATTTCTAAAAATATAATTTAAAGAATATTTAATAATAATAGTTTTTTCTATGATTAAAAAATATTTAAAAACTTTTAGACATGAAAAGAATAATAATAATAAAATAATAATATTTCTAAAGTTTTATTAAATAAAACAAAATAATAATTTTTATATATAAATAAAATAATAATATTAAAACTTCTTTTATTATACAATAATTGTATTTGTAGAAAATTTTATAGTAATGAAATTTTTCTTTATATTAAAAAATATTTAAAAACTTTATAAGCACGAAAAGATAATTGTAATATAATAATAATAATTTTAAAGTTTTATCAAATAAAAACGTAAAAAAAAATTTTATAATAATAAAAGTTTTCTTGTAAATAAAAAAAATAACGAAAACTTTTTACACAAAAATAAAAATAATAATAAAATATTAAACGTTTTAAAATTATGTTAAATGGAAATATTAATAAATAAAATATTATTATAAAACTTTTTCATATGCTTATAATAGAAAAATATAGAAAAAGATAAATAAAAATTTTTTTTATTGATTACGAAAGTTTTAATAAAAATAAAAATAAAAGAAGTTATAATTGAAACTTTAGTATTTTTTATAGTATATAAATTTATATCGAAGAAGACTTTGTGATATTCAAATAAAAATATATCATAAAAGTTTATAAATACAAAAAATATATAATTATTATATAATAAATTAATTATTAAATTTTTTTTACTATAAATAATAAAATGGTATTATAGTATTCTTATGTATATATCGAAATTGTATAAATAATAAAATTTGAAAAGTTTATGTACACAAAAAGAAATGACATAAAAAATCAAATAAATATTTTATAATATTAAAAAGATTTTTAGTATTCTTAAATATTTATAATGTATTTATTTCTTTAATATATTATTCAAGTTATTATCATATTTTTTTGGTTTATTATATATTTATATCATTATTATACTGTTATTAATATGGCATATGAATTTTTTATTATTTCTTTATAATAATTATGTTTTTACTTCTTTTATAATAAAATCTGCATTTAACCTTTTTTATTTGTTAGTACGTAAATACTAATTATTAATTACTAATTTTATATAAAATAATTATGAAAAGTCTATAAACATAAAAAGAAATATTATAAATGATAATAATTGTTTCTTTTTAAAAATTTAAAAAACTAAATATTTAAAAGAATTTAATCTATTATATATAAATAATGAAAAGTTTAAAGAAACATATTAATGACGTTCAAGAACTTTTTCTTTTTTTTTTCTTAATATTATATTTATATTCACATGAAATAAAAGTTTTATATATTTTTTACGTTAAAAGCAATATTTTTTTTAAGAAATGTGTTTATATATATCTTTCTTGTAACGATCGAGCCTGTGAGTACTGATTACTAGTACTAGCTTGTGCTCGGTTCAAGTATTTTGGCTGATTTTAGGCTCGAGACAATGGTGCTTGTTCCTATAGGTACATAGCGAGGTATATCGTATAAGTACTTAATAAAATAGTGTTATTTACTAATATATAGAGAGAGAGAGCGGCGAGCCCATTTTTTATATATCTGTAATTTATTTAGAAAATTGAAAGTTTTTATTTATATTATTTTATAGGTAGAAAGTTTTTTTAGTTTTTTACGTTAAAAGAGATTTTCTTATATGAAAATGTTTATATAGTTTTTTTTTTTATTACATTTTTTATAAGGCAAGTTTTTTACATTTATTTTTTTTATTTAATTTAGAAAATATAAAAGTTATATAGATTTTTTTTATAACGTTAAAAGCTAAACTTTGGCGAGAGGGATATATATATATTTAGTTTATTATATTTTTTTTACATAATTTATTTATATTATTTAGAAAATATAAAAGTTTTTATTTGCATTATTTTTATACGTAGAATGTGTTCATATATATTTTTTTATTTAGTATATTTTTTTACAAGAAAAGTTTTTTTCCTTAACATATACCTTTCTATAAATTGAAAAAATTTGTACAAGAAAGTTTGTTTTGTATATATTTTGATATATTTTTATAGATATGCAAAAAAAATTCTTTTCAAAGAATTTATATAATTATAGTCAGAATATATAAATTTTTTTATTTACTTTTATAATAAAAGTTTACTATTAATTTTTTTATTTATTTAAAAAATCCACTTTTAATTTATAAGAAAAGTTTTTATTTCTTATAAAAATTTTTATTTTCCTTGCAGTTTTAAAATTTTATATATGAATTTTATTATTTTCTAAGGAACTTTCGGAGGAATTTGCCTTTACTGAGGAAATTGCTCTCAGTTTTCCCAAAAACTATCAAGTATTATTATTATTTAGATATAAAATATTAATATTATTAGAGATTTAAAAAAAATTTAATAATTGAGAATAAAAATTAAAAATTCCTTTAAAGGAAAATCGAACAATAAAATCAATAAAAGATTCCTCTTTCCCCAAACGAAATACAATAGGAATGTTTTATTGTAAAACTAAAAAGTTATTATTGTTATTCAGTTAATTTAAATTTTTTAATTATAATTAATAAAACATCAAATAAAAGTCTTATAATAAAAAATAAAGTTTTTACTAATTTATTTATTTTATTATAATTTTTAATATTAATATTTCATATCAAATTTAAAAAAAGTATTAAATATTTTATAAAAACTTTAACTATTAAAACAACTTATATAAATAAAATATAGAAAATAATAAATAATAACAAACAATATATAAATAATGAATTTATTTATAAAATGAAGTTTTTATTATTTCTATGAAAATAATAATTCTTTTTTAAAATTTCTAAATTTTTCATTTATAATATTTTATAAATTATAAATGCAAATTTTATGATAGAAAAATTTTATTATTGTAAAATATTTTCTTTAAATTTTTGTTATTTTTTAATTTTTGATAATTATTATTTTGTAAACTATAAGATTAGTAAAAAAAAATTTATAAAAATTTTCTTTTATGATTATTAATATTAATATTATTTACTCTAATTATTATTTTTTAATATAAATATTATTAATATTTATTGCACATATTTATTATTTATTATTGTTTTTACTTAATATTATATTTCATAATTATTATTCATTATTGGACATTATTATTATTTATTTTTTATTTTTATTTTTATTTAAAATTATATATTATAATTATTATTTATTGTTAAATTCTAGTGTTATTCATAATTTATTATAATTATTATCCTCAATTATTTATTGCTATTTTATAATATTAAATATTATAACTGTATTTGTTATTCAATACTATTGTGTGTTATTATTTACTATTATTTTTAATATTATCAATATTTATTTATTATTAATTACTATTATTCATAATATATTATTATATTTATTATTATCTATTATTTTACTATTATTTAACATTATTTATTATCAATTACTATTGTTATCCATTATTTATATTTATAATTACAATTATATTAAAAGATTACTACTATTATATATTATTTGTTATTATTATTATTATTTTTATAAATTTCTATTATTATTCAGTATTCATTCCTATTCATTATTACTATTATTTTTTATATCAAAAAATTTTCTTTATTATAATTAACTTTTTCTTTCGTTTATTTATTTTATTATAATAACATACTATTTTCTTTCAAAATTTTTAGAATAATTATTTTTTTTTAAAGTATAATAAGTTTTGCATATTATTTCCGTAAAGTTATTTACTCAAAACTTTTATTAATTTGTTATATTTTTTTTGTTTTTTAAATTTTTTAAAACTTTATTACTTTAATATTTTCTTATGTTCTTCTTTTGTTAAAATTTTTATTTATTTTATTATCCAACTTGTAATATTATGTTTCATCTAAAAAGTTTTTATTTTTGCTTAACTTTTTTGAAAGTATAAGAGAAAATAAGAAACTTTCATTATTAATATTTTCTATATTTTTCTTTTTTTTTTAAATTTTTTAATATTTTTTTGTTTTTATTGTATTTTTCTACTCGAAATCTTTATTATTAATGTGAAATGTAAAAGTTATTCAATGCTTTTAATATTTTTTTTCTTATAATACTTTTTTTATTAATGTTTAATTTTTTAGTAGTATAAAAAAATAAGAACTTTTTATTATTAATATTTTCTATATTTTTCTTTTTTTACTTATTTTTTTACAAACTTTTCTATATCTTTTTGTTTTTTATTATATTTTTACTACTTAAAACTTTTTTTATTTTTTTATAATTTATATTTCTTTGTTAAACTTTAAATTTTTACAAACTTTTTTTTTTACTTTTTTATATTATTTATAAATATTTCTAATAAAATATTATAATATTTCTATTATATTTATTATTCTTAAAAGCTTTTATTAGTGTTTCTTAATATTATAAAACTTTTTTTACTTTATAATCATTTTTTTAATATTTTGAAGTATTTTTTTTACTCTATGGTAATTTTTATTATACTACTAAGTATTATTTAACTGTTTTAAATTTATTTTCTCATAAAACCAATTTTTTTAATAACTTTTATAATATTTATAATATTTTATACTTTAAAGCTTTTTTCTTTAGTTTATTATTATTATATAATAACAATAAAACTTTTATATTAAAAAGAAAAGTGTTTCATTAATATTTTATAATTTTTTTTAAAGTTTTTTTTTATTTTTTTTAAAACATTTCCTTTTTAAAAAAAAAATAAGAAACTTTTTACAAAATATTTTTTTTCTTTATCTTTGCTTGTAAAAGTCTGCAATAAATAAAAGTAAAACCAACTTTTTATTTATATTTTCTAATTATTTTTAATTTTTTTTCGTATTTTTAAAAAATCAATTTTTTATTAGAATATATTTTATATATTAAAAAGTTTTATATTTTATAAAACTTTTTAATAAAATAATATTTATATGATAGGAATTATATATATTAATTTTTTTTTACTTTATATTTTTTATTTTTTTTTAATAAAACTTTAATTAGTACTGGTAATACTTACAATAATTTTTAATACTTATAATTTTTATTCTACTACTTTTATTTTTTACATTTACTTTTTTTAATTTAATTTTTAGTAGAAATTGATGTCTTTTCAACTTTTTGTAACTTTTTTAATTATTTTTCTCATAAAACTTTTTTGGAAAAATAATATAAATATCTTTTACACTGTGAAACAATTGTTTTTAATATTTATAATCTTTTTCCCATTATTTTATTTTATTCATATGGAATTCATATAATTTTTCAAGATTTATTATAATAGTAATATTTTACTACTTACCTCAATATTTTTTTCAAGTTTTTTCTTTATACTTTTAAAGTTTTTTTTTACAAATTCTTTTTAATATAATGTAAAAATCTTTAATACTTTTTTTTATTTTTTTTAGTAATTTTTCAGTATTTAAATGTTTTTTTTTCTTATTTCTTTATTATGAAATAATATACTTTATAAATTTTTTACTTTATATAATATTAATATTTTACTACTAATTTATATCATTTTTTAAATCTTCATAATATTTTCTTTTATTTTTGTATATATTATTAAATTTTTTTTAAAAATAACGAAAATGATATACTTTTTAATACCTATTTAACAGATTTTTTTAATATTTACAATATTTTTTGTGATTATATATTCATATTTTTAAAAGGTTTGGCATCACCGACACGCGCTAGTTGAATTTACTAACGATGCTTCTCGAGAATTGGCATTCACCGCTCTTTTATTGGACTGCGATGGGAAAAATTATCACGCTTGGACTCATCGGTAACACTTTTTTTTCCCCATTTCTTTCTATATTTTATTTATAAAAAATATCTAATTTTTTATTTTTATTCATGTTTATTTATATCTACTTTATTTTATTTTTGTGTATTTCTAATAATATATATTTATTTTATTTATTACATATATATTTATATAATAATACTTTAATTTATTTATGTTTTATATAAATATATATAATACTTTTCTTATTTCTTTTTAATTTATACGTAAACATATTTACTTTATTTTGTTTATTATATATAAATATATATAATAAATTACTTTTTATTACTTTTTAGATCTATAAAAAAATTTTATTTATTTTTTTTATATACATCCGTAAATTCCTTTTTATATACGTATTAACCCAATTATACTTTTTTTAATTCTTTTAAATATATTTATTAAAAAATACTTTTATATTTTTATATATATTTAAAATAAAACTTTTTTTTTTTATTTTATATATTTGAATTAACAAGAAAACTTTTCATCCATTTCATATATTAATTTATTTAAATTTCTTTTTTTTAAAACTTTACATATATATATTGAGTAATATTATTAATAAACTCATGAGAAAATCTTTTATAAAATAATATTTTTATTTTTTTTGTTATTCATGAATAATTTTTATGTACAAAGTTTTATTTTTTTGGTTTATTATGAACTATTTTTTTACTTTTTTTTTCTTTATTTATTTTTGTGTATAAATAAATAATTATAATTCTTTTTTATATATTCATAAGCTTATAAAAAAAATATTATACAAAAAGTTTTAATTTTTTGTTTATCACTAAAATATATTTCATTTTTTATTTTTATTTTTATATATATTTATTTAAAATACTTTATTTTATTGTTTTTTTTTTTAAAGTAAAAAATAATAAACGCATGAAAAAAAAAATTAATATAATAATGTTATTGTCTGTAAAGTTATATTTTTTAGTTATCATTAAAATATATTTTATCGCTTTTACATTTTTATTTTTTTATTATTTATTTTTTATATATATTTAATAAAAAAGATCTCTTTTTGTTTTTTATTAGTAAAATAATACAATGAACGCATGAAATAAACTTTTTAGTAAAAATACATCTTTATATTTTCTTGTTCATGAAAAAATTTATTATTATTTTCTTATTACTATATATATATATTATAGAATTTAAAAAAATTTATTCTATTTCTCTATTTTTAATAATATTTATATTAAGAAAGTCATTAAAAAAAAAATTTTCCTTAGAAAATATTTTTATTAAAAAATAGTTTATAAATATAAACTGTAATTTTTTATTAATGGAAATATAAATTTTTTATAAATAAATACTATCTTTTTTATTTACAATATATTTATTAATTTTTATATATAAATAAATACTTTAAATATAGATTTATTATTATTAACTTTTATTATTTTTTATTAAAATTTATAGCTCTTTTAAATATTTTATATTTTTATTAAGATATATAATTTGCTTTCGCTAAAAAGAATTTATATTTCATTATCTGTTTTATTTTCACTATATTTTATGAATTTTTTAGCCAATGGGTTATTAAGAAATTCCAACTCTTTCACGACGAACTGAACTATTCAAGTGATATGATTGGAGAAGACGTTTACAACAATTCCGCTTGGAACCAACGAAACTTCGTTATAGTAAATACAACAGGAATCCTATCTATTATTTTTATCCATTCATTTTGATTGGTTTCTTTTTTATATTGAATGAAAAAAAAGATTTTTTTGGTTGGTTATTTTTTTTATAAAATTATTTATATAGCTAAAAAATATTTTATTAAATTTTTATTATATACTATTCAAAAAAATCTTATTTTTTTTGTAGTTGATTATATTTTATTATATATTTTACTTGGGAAAAAATATTTTTTAAACTTTTTTATAAATAACAAATAAATAATAATCCTTTTTTTGGTTTATTATATCTTTTATAATAAACTATTATAAACGTATTATTTTATAAACTTTTTATATACTTTTAAAAAAATATATTATTTTTTTTCTTGTTGGTTATAATTTATTATATATATTATTTAAAAATAAATATTTTTTAAACTTTTTTTATTAATAACAACGTTATTCTTTGTCTATTATTCCTTATATAATTTACTATAGTAAAAATATTATTTTTCTTCATCTTTTTTATATATTTTCAAAAAAATATTATCTTTTTTGTTGATTACATTTTTTTTTTATTTTACTTAAAAAAATATATTATTGTAAACTTGTTTAATTATTAAAATCTTTTTGTTGTTATTTATTATTTTTTTTAATATTTTACTTGAATAATCATATAAATTAACAATTATTTTGTGAAAAATTTAAACTTATTTGTTTATAAAAAAAAAATTATATTTATTGTTGTTATATATTTTTACTAATTATAATAAATTAATTCACTTAATATTTTTACTATAAAAATTTTTTTTTGTTAGTTTTTATAATTTACTTAATAGAAAAAAATTCTTTCAACATTTTTACTGTCTTAGTTATTATTAAGAATGTAAACCTTCAAAAAATTAGTTATATTAAATATTATATAAATATTTTATTTTTTTTAATTGTTTCATTATTATTATAAGAAAAAAAGATTTATTTATAATTATTAAATATATAAGTATTATTTTATTTTTAATTGTTATATTTATTTATTTTTTTTAAATAATATAACTATTTTTATTTATATTTATATTATAAATATTAGAATTTTTATTCTTTTCATTGTTATTATTATTATTATTATATTATCTCTATTTATTCATAATATTATTTTTTACTTTTATAAAAAAAGAAAAGTTAATTTATTTTTTATATTTCTTCAACTACAACTTGAATAAAAAGGTATAACTTATCTATTTTTTTGCGATTTATTAAAAAAAATTCTTATATTTTACGTAAATGATTATATTTATACTTATGTATATATTTTTGTCAAAAAAAGGATATACTTCTGAAGTGCTTACAGAAGAAATAAAGTACACACTCTCTAAAATAATTATTGCTCCGGCCAATGAAAGCCCTTGGAATTATCTCAGAGGTTTACTTATAACCAGTCAAAAAAGTAATAAAAGGCAGCCCGTGATGCACCCTCAGGAGCATTAATGCGAGGAAAACTCTACCATTCTTTTCCTATAATATTCGAAACGCTTAACGACTTGTATAATAGTTTAACGTAATTCTTTTAAATAATAATAATAATTAAATAAGTATAATAATAATAAATATAGGACACCTTCAGCTTATCTACTGGAGTTTCTCGCCGAATTCTACCAACAAAGTTATATTCTAAATATCTATAGCTTAAGCAAAAGTGGCGTGCCTCATTTCTATATATATATATATATATATATATACTTGGTTCTCCGCAGAAAGCTAATCATGTTCATGTATATATGTATATATATATTTAAGCTTCAATATACCAAAATATACCAACAGGCAAGCTACTAAACAACAATAGAATAAGATAAGAAATGTTGGTTCTTACTGCTTAGCCCATTGATTCTGAATTACGTGAAAAAGTTTTGAATAGAGTAGTTTCCGAAGTTTTGTAAAAAGCAAAAAACAGTTTTATTATATAATCTCAGGGTAATTTTAAAGGAAAAAAGAAATGTAGCAAAAAAGTTTCGATTCTTCTAAAAGGGATCCCAAGAATTTTAAATTTATTAGATTAACGAAATTCAAAAAGTATCTCCCGTTCTGAGGTCGTTATAAAGCGATAGTAAAACTAAGAAAAAGTTAAAATTGAAATTTTATGATTTTTGAAAAAAACGAAAACATTGTCACAAAGAAAGTCGCCTAGTATGTTTTTCACTAGTTGCATCCGACAAGGCTTATTCAAACTAGTTTTATAAGCCTTTTTTATTATTTACTTTTATCTTTACTAATTCATAAAAACTATAATTATTAGTAAAAAACTGTTACAAGTTTTTAAATAAATTATCTGTCAATAATAATTTATTTTTTACTATTTATTTACTTTTCAAGCTGTATAGTTTTCTCTTTCGTGCAATAAAATATTAATTTTACAGTATTACTTGGCTCTTGCAGTAAAAAGATACTTAAATTGTTCAAATCTTCGCATATAGCTTAAAACCATAATGGCCATCTCCGTTGGTTACACTCATAAAACTGCAAGTCCCCTCTCCATATTTTTGTTAACTATAATATACTTTTATTAAAGAATATATTTAAAGAGAATACTTCTTAAAAAAATTAAATTTAATTTTAGGTTGAAGCTTTTTTAATCTTTCTGGCCCCAACTTGTTTTTATTTAAAGCTTAGAACTAAGTGTGTGTAATAATTATAGTATATATAAACAAATAATTTATTAAAATGAAAAAATATAAAAAAGTTACAGCTTAACCAGAGCTTTCTACCTGCGACTGCTTTCGTACTGTTTGACTACTACTGCTTTTATACACTTTTTAATTGATTTTTATTAAATCGCTTAGTTTTATAATTTATATATTATTTTAACACTAAATGAAAATAAAATAGTTTATATGTTTCTAGTAAACTTCTATAAATTTAAAAATATAGCAGTAGTAAAGGTGCAACATACTATATTTGCCTCCTGCTAATAAATACTAAATCTTAGTTATATATACTTTTCCGTGTTTAATAAGTATATTATTACAATCACTGAAATCTCGTAAAAACGGTTGTGTAAATTAAGTAGTTGTTTGGGTTCTTCTGCAAGAAATCACGTTAAATAAAAATAAATTTGACCCTATGCAGTATAGAACAATTCTCCTATTAAAATCATTTGACAAAAGGCAAATTTTAAATGTATTGTTTGTTAGTCTTATCTTTTTTAACAAATTCTTAAGTGGTATTTAAGGAAATATAGCTTTTTTATTTTGCTTTCTGTATTATAAACTTTATTAGCTCTACGTTACCAAGCTTTTCTTTAAAATTAACTTATCTTTCTTTTATTAATTTATTTTCTATCATAGTTTATAATGTAACTTGTTAAAATTAACGTAAACCTAATTTTAGTTATAATTGATATTATATTTTACTACAAAATTAAAAATTTTGTTTAAAAATATTTTTTCTTTCACACAGAAATGGACCCAAAATGTTTAAGTTTTTATGAGAAGTTAATAAAATTTGATCAAATAAGAGAAAAATATTGGAACTACAGACACGATAAAGCATTGAATATACTAAACGGTGCTTAGATTGATTGACTTAATAAAGGTTTTATAAGTTATTTTTTTTCTTGGTAACAACAATTAAAACATTTCAGTAAAATTTTTAAAACCTTTTCTAACAAAAAGTAAATTGAGCTTTTTCTATCCTTAAGGCTTCATGACAACTAAGTGTTATTAGACTTTCTATGTTGCTTAGTATATTTAAAAAAGGTGAACCTTCAGAAACATATTATTATAACGATTATATACAGGAATTAATAACTTGTGAATAATCCCTTTTGCACAGAACTACAGCACCTGTAGTTTTTTAATTGAAAATAATTTTTATTATTAAAATGAGTAGCCTGGTGACTATAAACAGTAAAAACAAGTGAATTATAATAATTATTAACAAAAGAATACTGTTATTAATCGAATTCGCATAATTACTTGCTTACGTGATTACAATGAATAAACTAGTTACTAAATTTTTTTATACGGTTTATAAAACTGTATGTTGAAAAATGAGAAACATTTATTCAGTGAACTTTTTAAATCATGAGAATCAGGAAATTATGAATGTACAAAAACTGAAAAAGACTTTGTTAGATAAAAGCTTGGGGTAAAGGGGTTAATATGCATAGGAATTTTGGACGCTTTTGCTGCAATTCGCATTGAGAGAAAACTGGCGAGGAAACGGAAACTTGTAAAAACTTCTGATATTAGTTTAATACAGTAATATTGATTAAGCTTTACTATTTTCTACTGCTTGAAATAAATTATTTTGCCATGTTTACTGTTTACCTAATAAAATGTATAATTTTAAAAAACTTCTTGCGGCAGGAGCCATTAAGAATTATCTCAGCTTAATTTAGGGGTTAGGCACTTTGTTTAATATTTGCCTTTCATTTAAAATTGTTGTGTTCGTTAAGGAAAGTTAACAATTGTATTTTAAAAAAATATAAACTTACACACCTATATCTTCTATATTTGACAATTATAAACTTTTAAGGAAAGTAAAAATTTTAAGTAGCAGAGAGCTGTAACTTACCTAAGCCCGCTTAAGTAATGTAAACTCATGTTTAGTTAGGGTGTTTATCAAATTATAATATACCGTCTCCAAAGAATGATTAAGGAAAACTAAATGATTTAGCTCTCGCTCTCGTTATTAACCACGACCAGTTTTCGTTGTTTGGTTAAGCGCTGTCCTATTCTTAATAAAATACTCTGTTTTATATCTTTCATTGATCACTAAGGTTTAATTTATACTACATGTGGGGTAAACACAATACTTAGGGAATAGCACTAAGCGCAGATATATGGATACTTTATAAGTGCTTCTTAAGAAATACATATTTTAATAACATAAATTGGGGATAGAACAGTCTTCCAAAGAAATCTTTTGTTAACGGAGCCCTGAAAAGAGAATGAATTCTTTAACACAAAAAATATTTGTTAAATGTAGATATGATTTTGACTAGGTTTTAGGTACTTCTACCGAATGCCTAGATAAATAATGGAGAAAATTTATATCCAAAATAATTTATCTTACGGACAAATACTACTTCCAAATTTTAAATTATTATATATTGTTAGTAAAGAGGTCCCCACTCTCGTAGTCTCTCGAGAGGACTGTAGTTCTTACAAGTATGAATTGATATAAAGAGGGTAACAAGTTTAGTGAACTAGTATACACTGCACTTAGAAGACAAAGACAACTCGGCGTGCAATTCGTTCGTATAATGCGTATATAACTAAATATGATACTGCGCGTGTACTAGGTTTCCCACCCGTACCTCTGCTGGACAATATTTAAAATTATATCCAATTAGAAGCTATAAATTACTAGCGTTAACAATTTTATCTTAAAAATATTTTACTGAATTTACCTTAAGTGAATATAGTACATACTAAGCTTATACTTTATTGAATAATGGCATAAGGGCTTGCTTCACAAATTTGCCCGCCATAGCTCATCCTAGCATTTTTTTTAACGTGTGATCAAATCCTACCTCTTTCCACGTCTGTGATGATACGTGTGGGTGATGCGCTCTCTCCCCGAAGGCCCATTAATAACCGGAATTCCACAATGATCTCTCTTTTAACAACCGTACTCTTTAATACTTATGTACAAGCCGTGTCACAGACGTTTAGACAACCCCCAAACGCGGACTGCCTGATACCGCGATTACTCGTTAAAAAAAGCACCTGTTCTATTGCGGCAGTACCTGCAGTACTTTCTAGGGACGCCTGCCAACAGATGTCGCCTACAGAAAAGCACTGTTAATGCGGAAAAGAGGAAAAGCCTTTTTTTTACAGAGAAGAACACTATACTACTACCGGCTCTGACCCTTGAAAATAAGGTATTTTCTCGACGTCCTTACGCGAAATACCTGGCCTTGGCGGGGTGGAAATTATTGACAATAAGATCTCGTTGTGGCCGCACGTATACTATATCGTGGCGAAAGTCAAAGCGGTGTTTCAAATTCTTCGCCCTTTATTTTGAGTCCGAAGCACACTCTCGCTGCACAACAAACGACGCTTATGTTTGTTGTGCATCCGATCGTAATGACATACATCCCTACTGCCAGGGCCTACCACTCACCAGTAATAGTCTTTTCGCTTCAAGTGAGAGTAAACAAGCTGCTACGCCTTATGACGGGCGCTCCGTGGTTTGTTCGTAGCGATACCTTACATTAAGAACTCCAGATTGGACTTTTGAGTTACGATTTTCGACGCAATGCTATCACCCTCTACGAACGACTCAATTAGCACACCTATCGAATACCGACGAATGAGATCAACTTCTCACATAATATGGGTTAATGGTAGAATTATGTATAATATATATATGAGATTGCTTTAACCCAAGCTTATAGCTGATTTGTACACGCTATCACCTTTTAAAAGCACGTCAGTTCGGTGTTTTTTTTACGACCTGATCGAGCACCAGGAAATATCATTAGTAAAAAAAAATTTTTTTTTAGTAAATGTAAACTGTCTATTTTAGAACTCTTATTTCTTTTTTTGTAACTTTTACCTTTTAATCACTTTAATTATTAATTTTTATTATTATTGTTTCTACTTTTATTTATATTTATTACTAATTTAAATCCTGATAGAGCATTATCGCTTAAGCTCGAGAAGTGGGTTACACTCCCACCGACGCAGCTTTCTTTCTCAATCTTTGTTTGTAACGTAAATTAACCTCGATCCTACAATTTCTAATAAGTTATAACCACAAATTCTTTTAAAGACAGCACTTTACCGATACTTTTATATGCTTTTTTATTACAACATTAGCCAAGAGGGAAACAGTTATTCTCGTTTTAAGTTCAATCGCTTGGGTTAACGTTGGAGTAAACTCTTACATACCACGTGGCACGTATATCACGCGCTTCATACCGCTGACAGTGTCACGTGCCATAGCACATGTTTCTACTTCTCTCTCACATTTTGACATCTTGTATACCTTTCTCTACGGACGATAAGTTGACCCCTCCTATTTTTTCTCTGGTTTTAATAAGCGGTAGTCTCTATTTTAGCTCTTACCATCTGGTCTCGTGTTTAAAAATTGCTGAAAGAGCCATTAGGGGGAAGAGGTCTCGATTTATGAACCCGGATATTAAAAGTTTTTTTAAAAAAATTTCCCTTATAATAGATATTTAAATAAAAATTAACTTGTGTAATGATAACAGTATATACACATTTAGAACGATTAAATTAGTATGTATAACACTAGATTAAGTAAGGCCTTAAACCCTTTTACAAAAAGTAAATTTAGCCCTTAGAATATCGTGTGGAATATAAAATAGTGAGAGTACCATTCAGAGGTTTTGTGCCTACCGTAAAAAATGAAAATTATTTTGATAGACCCAAGGCCCCAAAATGTCCTTTAAACTGATATGTTATTTCAGGTTTTTAGCTTGGGTTTTTTTCTTATAATTTGCTTACTTACCGTTGTCGATAGTATTAGGATAAGAACTAAAAGTATGATAAAGGACTTTAAACATAAATAAAAATATGCGAAGACTACGAATTGAAATGAAATATAATTAAACTCCAATAACTTTTTAATAGTTGGCATAAACTTAACCTAAGTCTGACATGTTTATTTGCATAATGCGCCACTATTTATTTATTTATAAATAATTTTTTTTAGTGCTTGATCAAGTTAACAACGAATACTCAAGCTCTCAGTTAGGAGTAATCGCATACATTTTTGTTCCGTCACTACCGTGTTGCATATCCGGTTTCTCTAAGTGGGGGAGCGCTGGTAGTCTCCGTAGCCCAATGCGCCTCTGTTTTATGCTATCGTTTTTATAATTTATTTTTCAACAGTTTGGCGTTGAACTTAAGATTTTAATTTAGCTTAAGTGGGTTTCAATAAAGATATATATTTTCTTTGCTACGACGTAAAAAACCCACTCCAAGTTGTAGGCCCGGCGGCTTAGGCTAATTCTATGGGCTTCATGTTAGAAATGTTTTAGTACTTTTACAAATCGTTTCTTTGCAGTCCACATTAATAGTGTTAGCAAACACACGGGATAAAAAACTAGCTAAAAAAATTATTTTTTTTCTCTGTAAGCACTATAATCGTTAAAGTTTAACTTAAGCCCACCACTATAAGGTATATACCCTCAAAAATTGTTTATAATATAATTTTTTTCTTATCAAAATAAACAGTTTGCATTCATAAAAAACTTATTATAAGCAGGCAGACAGAACTACTGTCATGACCGAAAAGTAAGCCAAACTTAAACTTTGAGAGTGTTTTTCCTTAACATCATTGTTAATTTTTTCTGGCCTTGTTTTCAATAAATCTTGAAAAATGTTTTTTTCCGAATTTTTTTGATTGATATAAGGTAAATAGCGATAAGTGAGAGCTCGGAATACGGGATAAACTTTTGTTTCAAATTGAGGTCTGAAAGCAAAATCTCTAAAATTATTTTGTTTATCCAAAAATTTCTCATCTCTAAGATTTCGAGAATTTTTGTTGTATAAAGTTTTTAAATGGAAAGAGTTCAAGACTTTTTTTTTTTTTAACCGTCAGAGTAAAATATTTTAGAACATTTAAAGCAGATGCCTTAGAATTAGTTTTAATTTGCTTACCTAACTGATGGTTTGAAATAGGATTTACTTCAATAACATGTGGTGTTTCCTTAATTACCTTTTTTTTTGTAAAGCTGTACTATAATTATATTAAACTTTGACCTAGTTTATGCAATACTCACCCTTTTTAAATCCTCTTTACCGTTAGTAAAAAGTTTCGAAAACGAATTATTTGGTGGCTGAAGTTCTATTAGGGTATATAGATAGTCCAGTATCAAGGAGAGAGGGGCTTTTGCCTTCTACAGACCAAGGTTAGTATTGGCGTGTTTTAAGTATTCTTTGTCAAAAGATAATTCTAAAGTGTCATTTTGAGGGTCTAATAAATAATAAATAATTTTTTAATATAAAACAACAATATTTTTAAAGCAAGTGCGCGAAAAATATATTTATTATTTTTTTTCTACAAAAGTGCAATTTTCGCGTTAACGTAAGAACAGCGGTAAGAAAAAAATATTACCAACTATCAGATAAGAGCAGATTGAAAGGTATTATATTTTTATTATTACAGTAAAAAAATAAGTTTTAACTATGATTGCGTATAATAAAGTGCTCCATCAAAAACTTTTTACCAAAAAAAAAAATTAAAATTTTTTTCAATTATAGTTACATTTAAAGAATAATAGTATCAGATAATTACCAGTGAAATGAAATATGTGAATATTATTGTCAGTCGCCTTTTCTGATTCTCCTGTTAATATTAAGTAAATTAAGAAACACAGTAAAGATAATTTAATTGGCAACTCAATTCTTTTTGAGATAAAAACGACTCCCACATATCACTATCAACTGGGCATCTGTAACAAACACGAGGAGGTATAATACAATGAAAGTAAGACAATTTTAGTAAAAGTATCACTTCAGAAGAGCACTATCGTTTCCATATATAATATGAATGTTGGATTTATCTTCTTCTATTTTTCCTTATTTATTAAGAAAGAAACAACGAAAGACTAATTCATATAAACTAATATAATTTACTGTACTCTTCTGAGGGCTGCCTTTGTTCTACTAACTCTTTTTCATGCATAATTTTCTCCGCGAACACAATGCGATCACCTTCCACTGACTTATTACTTATTGAAGACAGCTAGTATCAACATAGTCGGAAATCGCAAGTAGAAAGATTATGAGAAAACTATAATTTACTTGAGACGAGTTTGACTCAACGCCCTTTGGAGAAATCTCAGGGGGGTTCTACGGTATAGTAAAGATTGTTGGCTGTGAAAGGCAAACTACTTGTTACTACTGTCATTATGCTAAAAACTTTTTTTCGGTACTTGTAAAATAATAAGTTTTTGTAAATAAATAGTACAGTTTGACTATCATCATTGCTGTGCTTGAGTACAGAAGTGTCAAAATTAGAAGTTGAATTCTTAGCTAAAGTTTAAAATCTAAAAAAGTGTGTATATTGTTGAAGAAGATAACACAGCACTTGATAATTTTCGAATGTTGCCCGGGAAGAAAGATTGATATTTCCAGTTTTCTAAACTGTGTTTTTGCTTTTTTATTAAATTACCATTTTTGTCCAAATGTATCAAATTTTTGATACCTGCGTTAAAAGGTTTATAACGGTAAACTACTCATATTACTAAACGTACTTATAACACTTTAATTCTTTAATTATTACGCAAAGTGATATTGTAATACCTGGTGTAACGTTTTCTATATGGTTGACCACTGCTAGAGAAATTAGGTCTAAACTAGCGTTCATATTATATGTTTTTAACTGGTTGTTTCTATTTTCCCGGATAATTTTTTTAACTTTACTAGAATGGCCAGGGTAGTTGTTAATACATTGAGGGTCCGTTTTAAATACAGAATCTAAAAAACGAAACGAAATCATCAATTACCAACCATTTTATTTTAACTACTTGCCTATCTTTTTAGAAGGTCTACAACTAAGTCTGGCACCTCTAATTCTTTTTCTAGCGCCACCAACCTGTTTTAAACAAGTAAAAAATATATATCTCCGTCAATGCAAAAACTGTATACCCAGTTCATTGTTATACAATATGAATTTGTAATCTGCTATTATACCAATACATAGTTTTATTTTTGCGCCATTTGTACAATAACGTTGAGCGCACTTCAAAATTTCAACAATTTTAAGGACTAAAAGTTATAAAATTCATGTCCCCACTTATGCTTTAAAACCTAAAACTAAGATTTTATCACCCTCATGCTAATTTAGCATCTAATAAAATCTGAAGTTACTTAGACTTAAACAGACATTGCTAAAATAAAAGTGTAATGCAGGAGCTTGCGTAATGCACAACAAAAATAACGACAAAAATGGGAAAGCATTAAGATTTTAATAGGCACAAACATTTACTATACAAAAAGAAGTTATAGTACAATTTACTAACAAGCAGGGTTGCCTATGCAAGGTACATTTAATAAACTTTTAAAATAAGGGCTCTTGCCAAAAAAAGATTCGCTTAAATGTCAAATTATAACTAAAGGTAGAAAAGAATTATATAATAACTAATACAGTTATCTAAAAACGTCGATCGATATTATTGCAATAAAAAACTTGAACTTCGGTCGGTTATAAAAATTTTAATGAGCTTTCTAGGTTTTTAAAAAAGTTATAGGTTTCCCTTGGTTACTTAGGATTCTCCTCGCGTAGCGCATCGAGTTGACGTAGACATATAACAAATAAAATTGACATAAGAGGGTAGGCTTACTAAATATTCTACAACAGCACATAGAGGAAAAGATGTGATGTACCGGGTATGTAGTTCCAAAAAGATATGGTGTACTATCCAATTACTAACAATAGAACCGAACAGAGCAAAACTAAAAACGAGGAACAATACTTGGTCAAAGAGATGATAAAAACTCGAAAAGTTAACAAATAGAGACTAGAAGAATGCAAATAAATGTTTGTTTCTTAAGTTTTAGTTCGTTAGTTTGAGGAGTTGCTGTGTTTTCAGCGAGTTTGTAATAATTAGAAAATATAATTAACGTTTATTATAAATGTTATAATTTATAGTATTCAAGTTTTGAGAGTTTTCAAAAACTTTGAGCTACATAACTAAAACAAGACAGAAATTAGTAGCGAGCATGCGTTCAATAACGAAAAAATGGAAACTAAGCTAAAGCACTAGTTGTATGTTGTGAAACTCTAAGCACCTTGAAAAAGTCTTTCAAAGATTTGTTACGATCTACAAAATTAAATAAAAATTAAAAAAAATTGGATTCTAATTACAATAAATGTGTTGCTGAATGCAGACGAAGACTCGTCCGAAAGACAGACAATATTTAAAAAAGTGTATGCATAGGAGTTTAACTAATCCTGCGAATATTTTCTTTACTTAAAATAATTAAACTTTTTTAAAAGTGCTTGCGGGAGGAAAGATTAATAAAAAGAAGGGGCACTATAATAATATTAAATATTAAATTATTTAATAGTACAATCTTGCTAATTTTGGTGCACTTTGAGAATATACAGTTTTCCAGAAAATAAATCAATTTTTTAAATAATACAAAATATTAAAATATAAATTTCTTATAAAAGAATTAACCTCGGGGGATAAATAAACCTACTACCAATAAAAAAGCACTTCGCTCACTTTATTTACTTATTTACCAGTGAATTTAATCTTCTAAGCGTTCAACGGGGGGGAAAGGTGGCATTTTTAGAAGGTGAAAGAATAAACATTCCCGAGTACAAATCTTCAGGTTTGCGGAGTTTCTTAGTTTTTAATTTTTTAAAATTCTGCCTACGGTGGATATAGTCAGTTTCATCTTTAAAATGAGCCTTATACCTGGCAGAAGGCACTTTTACTTCGTTAACTTGGCTATCCATATTATAAATGTGGCAAAGCTCCTGTCCTTTGTGATTTGATTCTTCTGTATAACAAGTACCATTTCTAAAACAACAGGGCTGTTGACAAAAAAAGCCCGTATGTTCTCTTTCTCCGGAAGTAGAAGGTATTATGCTGCAAACAACCCCAGGAGGTGAAACCGCGTGTAGAGATGAAGGCGGTAAGCAAACTTCCCGCGAAGGTATAGGCGCTGATGTTACAGTATAACTGCCCGTCACGCTTGACCCCGAACAAGGTAAAAAAAAGGCAGCCTCTCCCACCAGTCTTTTTTCAAATGTAGCAGTTTCCTTATTAAAAATAGTAAAACTAGAACTGCGCTCGTTATATTGAGAAGGCTTGTCTTCAGCGGTCGCTAGAGTAGAGCTAATAAACGAGTTCTCACATAGACAACAAGATTTCTTAGTAAGCGGTGCAAGGCAGGGCGACTTAGCACTTTTGCATTTAGTTTTTTTCTTCTTTGAGCAAGCAAAACATAAGCTTTCTGATTTTACAGCCTTATAACAACAATTTAATGGCAATGCTTCCAAAGTTTGGGGCTGCAGATTCGCAAACAAAGCATACCGCGGATTATAAAGATTATGGGGCGTAACAATTGGTTCGCACTGTTTAATTTTAGTGGAGTGCTCAGGTTGATTACAACCTTTAAAATTAATTCTGCTGTTATCATCTATATAGCTTATCATGAATAGAAAAAAATAAGCAAACTTTATATACCTTTCCTAAGCGTTAAAATCATATTATTTCTACCCTATATAAACGAAATGATAAGATGAATACAGCAAATTCTTTCAATAATAGCCTTTACTGTATGTTCTTCGTTAAAGTTTGGTGGACATTCACTGTTGACCTCCAATGGATTATCCTTTGAAAGCTTTATAAACAAAATTTTAAAAAAAACTGAATTTTGAAAAATCAAGGCCGAGTACAGAAGAACTAGAGTAGTAAGTGGCTCGTCCAAATCGCCTAATGGATAAAGGAAGAAAAAATACAAAGTTAACGTCTCCCACCGAGATTACACACCTTGAATATATAAGTAGAAACTAAGTAGCTCTATAAAACAAAATGCCTCCTAAAAAATACCTGTTATGCAACAATAGCGGACCATCTGAAATAGTAATAAAAGAACCGTTCACAAAACAACCATTTTTACTCAGGCAATATAGGTGAAAAGATTTAGTTATATAATGGTATCTTAACTCCAAATGTCTGCGTGATATTATTTTTGAACTACTCAATGGAAAAAAAGATTCGGCAGTGGCTGAAGTATGACTTTTAGGAGGATGACCTTCCGCGCGGCCCAGCACGCATATAATATTTTTAATGTAATATATAAAAGAGTCACCTTGTAACTTAGCAAAAGCAGCACCCTCTGAAGATTTAGAAACGCTTATAAGATTTTTCTTAAGATATTCAACTATTCCTTGGTTTATAAATTTTCTTTCATACAAAAAATTAAGTAACTCCTCGTTTTTTTGACAGCCTGCAAAAGAAGCTACACTTTCCTGAAAGTTAAGCCCAGAAGCTATGGGAGGCTGATGCTCAAAGGAAGCCATACATTCACTTAACTACATAGGCAACTCAGGGGGGCGCTTTATCCAAGTCTAGCAAACCTACTCGCGCACGTGAACGAGAATTATCAGGTTTAATAAGGAAGTAGCAAATAGAACATTCAAATAATTATTAGTGCAATTCTTATTGGAGGATTGAAAAGTACATAAGTATTAACCAGGCGCTAAGACGTTGAGGGTTGCATGAAGATCTAAATCTTTTTTTGAGAAAAACGGTGTACCGATAATCAATATGACTCTACAATTTTCAGTCGGTTTTAAACAGTTCTTTTTAACCCTTTTATTATAAGTAAATTAATTTAAAATGTTTAACAACCGTGTGGTGGTCGATTCTATTTTTGTATTTCCTTTTTAATTTAATTTTGTGCTAGGGTTATCAATTTAAACAGAATAGAGTAAAAGAAACTGTACTTTATTTTAAAGTATAAATATACTGAAAAAAGTTTGTTTGCACAAAAAGGAATAAAAAGGATTATATTATTACTGCCTGTCTACTTATGAATATTGCATGACGAGCACGCAGCTCTCCTGGTTATCAACCTTAACGTTTGATAAACGAAGATTTTAGCGACTTAAGATATATGTTTTAAGAAAAAAAGTACACTTTTCTACGAACAAAAGTGCGTGCTGAGTAGGCATTTTGGGATATAAATGAAATTGAGGTTTTTTAACATTAAAAGAAAAAATAACTTTTGGGGTTTTAAGAAGAATTTCGCCACTTGGGATAATATAATTAAGCGTGTTAAGATGTATCACTTACAGGGTGCTGTTATATAATATATTATTAAGAATTTAATGCACAGCTACTTTAGTAGATGCCTACTTTGTTTTATTAAAGGTTTCTCATTAAGTGAGGCTCCATTATCCACTTTATTTAATGCTACAGCAGTGGAAAAATGCGCTCGTTCACTTTGGTATATTCCCCCTAAGAAATTTTATATTTAATTTAAAAAAAAGGATAACCTTAAATTTAATCCATTTGATAAAGCAGCTTCATATAAAACCTTTAGTTCCTAAAATAAATAATCTCAGTTTCCCTACAGCGAACGGCGGGTTAGACAAAGATTAACACCTCTAATTTCTTTTATAACTTCTTTTGAAGTATAAGCTGAAATATCAGGTTTTGTAATAATTACCCTATCCCACTTATGTAAATTAGAGAACCAAAAATAATTGGATCGTAGCTTCGTTGAGCTTACGATAACAAAGGAATAGATGAAGAACAAATAATTCTGGAAAACCCCAAAAAGTGCCGTTAGTATAAAAAAAACATCGCCGAAGCTTAACGCCGGAGGCACCAAAAACGACGTTACTCGGCACCCACTAACCTTAGTTAATCCTTCTTACGCTCTAGAATCTAAAAATGGCTTATGTGATGAAAAACAAATGACATGTAATCCTTACTAATTTGAAGTACACCACAGATGCATTTAAAATACCGAGACAAATTATTTATTTTTGAATTTGCTCTAAAGGACTTTTAGCGATTCACGACATCGATTATTACGAAATTACTAGTTCCGGATTACCGTAGGGACGATTACTAAACACATTAGCTTAAAGTAATATAACTGCCATTTGATCGTGAACTTTAACCATATGTAAAATAACTTAAAGCTTCTACCAGTGTAGTATAGACTCAACAAAAAAGTGTTTGATATCAAAATTAGTTAAAAATTACTCAGTATGACCTTAAACAGTGAAACTTGATCAATGCATATTCTACAGTCATGAGCAATACTTTACATGCATAAAGATTCCTTATAAGAGGTGAGATACACCTCTGTATAAGTAATGAACAGAGGTATTAATGGAATAAAACTGTCAATTGGTTTATAGTGGAGAGGGATCAAAGCTATATGAATTTAATGGGTTCAATATTAAGAAAACCGAGCACACAATATTTTTAAGATAAAGCTTAATGTTTGATAGAAAGTCTGAAGAATTTTGCTCAGGCAAAGATCTACTTTCCTACCCTAGGGCCATTATGTAATTTAGAAATTAATTATAACTATTTTACAACTCGTATTTTCCTTGCAATATAACTCTACTGGAGGAGGGCCTGAGTTAAATTTTGATGTCACCAGCATGGGAAGCAGTCAAGCAAATATTACGATGTTAGTCGGAAAAAAAAATTCCTATCGGTGTCCAAGAAAGAAAAAATTATGGTGACTGGCACTATACAGTCGCCGTTATACATGTGAGTACAACTAAAGCACTATTAATATGTTAAATAAATTTTCGGTAGTTTAGAGTTAAACTCACATTTATCTTGGACTCATGTCCAGGTGACTACTTTCTATTTCAACGCAATGAATGGAGGCAAGCTTTAGCGGTGAATTAAATTTGTATCATGAAAATTATATTGCTACAGTTTACCAGCTGTACACAATACAGACTGTGTGAGAAAGCAAATTAACGCGACATATTGGTCTACTTTCCTTAGACAATAAAATCTAAAGCAGGGACAAATTAAAATGGTAGAGGAGTGAAATTCACTGGTTGACACACTCGCAATAGATATTATATGTAAGAACTTTAGAAAATAATACGTTGCTCGTAGGGAACCACAAACAATGAAATAAGGAGTGAAGATAGTATTACAAAAAGGACAACATATATTTTTTTTTTATAATTATTCCTCTAAGAATTGTGCTGTATAATTCAAACGGTATTAAAAACCTAGCTCAGTTTATGTGAATTTATGAGGAACTTAACACTATAACAAAGTTAATTAATTGCATTTAACATTATCACTATTTCTCGAGTGGTAAGAGGCGGATATAAATTATTCAAGTTTTTCAAGGCTACTGATTGTGGCCCAGCTCAATATAACTACTAGACTTAGAGTGTTTAAACCATTTTATAAATCAGTCTGCACGAAAATAACATTGGGACCATGTACTGCCTTATGACCTAATTTGAATTCGTGAAGTATTAAGTAGGAAGCAAGTCCTAAGTTAAAATAACCACCAATCATGGCGTCTTGCTAAGCTTAGTTTAACTAAACTACCTCTAGTACTGCATTTATAAACCACGAGAATATGAGCCTAATGACTTCATATGTAGAAACTGGGCGGTTTAACTTACAGGTCTTACAGGAAGATAATAATTTTAAGTATCTATTTAATCTTAATTTCTTGTATATATATGTAGTGTAAGGTTCTAATAATAAAGTGCCGAGTTTGGTACGAGGGCTTACTTCACTAGTGTGCGCATAGCCCTTCCTGCCATTCTTCTTAACGTGTTCAAATTTTATCTTAGACCGGGTTTTTGATATACGTGCGGACAATGCACGCTCACCCCTATGGCCACTAACAGTCGGAGGGTCTCTTTTGTCACCCCTACTCTTTGCAATTTATCTGTGCGACGTTCCATAACCTGACGATTCTACACGCGGATTGCCTTATATGTTGATGACACAGCTATTTACTTCTCGTCAAAGTCTCCTCTCCTGCACCAGCGTCTTTACCTAGTGATCCTTTCCAACTGGTGTCGTCGTTGGAAAGTTACTATTAACGCGGAAAAGAGCAAAGCCTTTTTTATCACGAAGAAGCGCACTACACCCCTAACGCCCCCAACCTTTGAAATAAGGTTATTTCTTGTTGTCCTGAGGTGAAATACTGTGGGTCATTATCGACAATAAGCTCTCGCTGGCGGGCGCACGTAAATTATCTCGCTGCGCAACAAACGACGCTTGTGTTTGTTGTGCTTCCGACAGATCATGATATACGTGTCTACTGCCATAACCTACAACTCCTCGGCAATACTCTCTTCGCTTCAAGAGAAGCTAAACAAGCTGCCACGCCTTATGACGGGTGCGACATAGTTTGTTCGCAACGATGCTTACATCAACACCTCCAAATTGAACCAATGGGTAACGTTTTTCGCCGCAATGCTATCACCACCTACAATCTGCTAATCACACGCCAATCGATAACTGACTGAAGAGATTAACTACGAAATCTGGGCCGACCGCGCAACGGACTCCAGCAATATAATCTGGCTTAGGGGTAGAATTAATTATAATATATATATATGAGATTGCTTTAACCCAAGTTTATAGCTAATGTGTGCGCTATCACCCTGTTAAAGCTCGTCAATTTGGTGTTTTCTTTTACGACCCGATCGAGCACCAGGAAATATCATTAATAAAAAAAAAATGAGATGTCTTTGAAATTCTATTCTGTTACTTGATAGCTTATTTTTAATTATTTTAATTTATTTTAAACGGTATTTAGTACATAACGGTTCCTGAACAGATGAGATATTAAAAACCTGTTAATTCTAGGCATAGATAGCTCATTCTTAAAATTTTTACACATCGATTATATATAGTAGAAACAAAAAAGTAAAACTAATAAGAATTTAGGGCTATTTTGGGGATAGACACGATCAAGATTTCAAAAAAAATTAAGAATTAAGCTAAGGCTTAACTAACTGAATATATGCACAGGCGAGAAAAGAAATTAGTAGAAGAAAAAAGAACCTAGAGAAGAAGTGGGAAAGGCACTTTACTTGTGGAGTAAGCATTAAATTCTAATTAAGTGCTAAAACGCAGATACAATTATGGAAGATTTAGAAAATGCATTCTCGAAACTAAATTTAATTCGTCCAAAGTAAAGGTAGGGACGCATGCCAGATCACAGCACCCAAGCTAGGAGACTTAAGGTCATCCAGAGAACAGCGGAAACAAAATGCCAGCCGAGTTGGTTGTCTCTTAATTTGTATCAGTTATAAAAATTAATTTTTAAAGACACCTTCAAGAAATTATTAAAATAGTCGAAAATATTTTGTTAAAAAATATGTTTTCAGGTTTTTTAATAGATTTTTACTCTTTAATTTCTTTTGAGCGAGGGTTAAAGCAAACCCTCCTTAATTATTTATATATGCTTATTTTATGGTGCTCAAAAAACAAGTCCTTAGGTTAGTAGCATACAAAATAAAATTGTGCGCTAAATTTTTAAATTACGTGACTAATTTTTTTTTCTTTTATATTTTAATTCTAATCCCCATCCTGACTATAATTAAACTTAAAGCGTATTACGAGACCCTATGGCTATTAAGTGGACCCTCTCGTTAGCAGTTTGTTTCCATGTTTGGTTAGATGTCCGAAGTATTACAGTAAATAAAGGTAAGGACAGCGATGGTGTCGACATTTAATCAGGCCTTTTTTTATAGGCCTACACGAGTAATGTTTACATAAGTTCCTCGCCACCATAAGCACAGTTGACTAGCAGGTTTTGAGATTGAATAGATAGCGCTGAAGGCTGCGCCTTTCACTGATTTAAAAGGGTCAAATATGTAATGTATAGTAAGAGAGAGTAGATAGTAGCCTTCCTTGTTAAAAGTATTGATTTTATTCAATTTCACTTAATTTATGCAAACGATTATAAAAGGGTTAAACTTTAGTTCTTTATTAAGTCATTAAAGTTGTTTATTTTTAGTAAAAAAAATTCTCTGTAGTTTTATATAATTTCGTTCACTATAATTAGTAGTCATTAAATAATTATTTATTTATTGCTCATTCCCAGATTACTTACTATTATTATTAATTTTTAATAATTGTAATTATTTCAAATATTTCATAGCTCCGTATTTTCGGTTATAAGAGTTCCAGGATTACTTTATACCTTCTTAGTTTAGAGTTTTAAACTTTACCAAATGAGACTAGAATGAAATATAGAGCGGTCAACTACATAAATATATTTATTTTAATTTTTTTTATAGTCTTCTAATGATAAGGTAGCCACTAATCTCTTTAAGGTTATAATTCTAATATAATGTTTTAAAGTTTTAATAAATATTTTGAGAAAAAAGATAATCTCTATTTAACCTAATTAATGTTTACTGACAACCTCCGTCCGAAGTTTGACTAATAAGCTTGAAACAGGCTATAGTCAATTCGTTTACTGGAAAAGCATTAATTACTATGATCTTTTAGATTTTAAGGTATTATTGTAAAAAAATATCTAATAGTAGATATGGAAAAAAACTGTATCGCAGTGGAGGAAGTGAACACGTGCACATAGCTTACTACTAAATAGTTATTATTTGCCTTCTATGAACATTAAAAATCAGTAAGATGGTAGCTGCGAAAGTTCATAGGGCGAAAGTTAAGAAATTAGCGACTAAGGGAAAGAAAAAAAAGGTAAGTACTAGTTTAAACTTTTATCTTGGAAGTACACCCACAGATTCTTTTGTAAGTACTGCACAATTTTGCTTTTGCTCTTATTGTTTGGAAATATTACCTTTCTGGCTTTTAAAATAGTCCAAAGATCTTGTTGGAGGGACGCCTGTTGGGAATAATAATAATAAAGTCATATTAATAGAAAGAATTCTTCAATCAAGTAAAGAAAAAGAAATGATAAACGAAGAGCCGGAGTGTAATTACTTTGCTACCTTTTATCTTAACACATATATTTTATTATTTGTTTACTAAAGGGATTGACGCGGACTGTTGCCGCAAATCTTCTCAATTCAAAGGGAAAAAGGATAATAAGGTTATTTCTGTTATATTAATTTCTTAAGTTTATCGCCACTTTTGACTCTTCGGGAAGGCAACCATTCAGTTGAAGCCTAAGTCCCTTAACATTGAGGTAACATTTTGTTTTTTTTCTATATGCAATTGATATAGATTTTAAACTTTATAGAGTGTACAGCAGCTTGTGTTACACGTTTTGACTGATGGGCCTTTAAATTTTTTAACTGTAAATGTACTTTTATTATTATATTTCTTTACTGTCATATTATTTTACTTTTTATTTATAGAATAAATTCCTTATTAAAAAAGTTGTGGTGCTCAACGCAGATGGGATCTCATTTTCAGAGTTAAACGAAATTGAGCCAAGCTTAAATAATTTAAATTATATCTTTGAACAGAAAATTTCTTTACAGTTTGCTGGTTTCTTTTTTACTTTATACTTTAAATTCACCATTTAATTATTTTACTTAATCTTATTTTTATTTTTATTTTGCCACTAAAGAGCCTCTATTATTGTATAGATTCAAATTATATCTACTCCATAGTATTGAAATTTTTAATGATTTAATTATGTATAAGATAACTACATATGCTTATTTATAAGTTATTAGCATGATCAATATAAGATTATTATTTTATTATAATTTTTTTTCTAAAAGCACGTTAAACTTGTCAAATAAAAGAAACTTATTTGTTTTGTTAAAATTAAAAATTTTATTTACTTGTTTATTTTAATATATATTTAAATTGTGTTTAGGTTTACATAAATTATATTTTTTTAAATTTTCTATTGTGACTTGAAGAGAATTTGGATATATATTTTTTTAACTGCTTCGCCTTTTCTATAGTTTTTTTAATAAATATTAATTTTTTTATTTACAAAATTTTTAATATTTGCTTTTGCAGGCTCAAAATATTCTGTACAATCCGTTCCCGCCTCACTGTTGTATGTCGAGAATAAAGATTCTCTTAAAAACTATAATAATAATAGTATTATAATTACTACTTACTATTATTAATTATTTTATAATTTATACTGGATTTAATCACTAATTTTTAATATATTTATTATTATGTATACAAGCTGATAAGTTTTTTATATTTTATAATTTATTTTTAAAAACAGTGCGTTATAATTTACATAACTCATAATCTGTAAAGTTAAAATTATTTCTGAAGTTTTTCAATAAGTAATAAAAAATAGTATATTTCTAAGTTGTTTTGTATAAAAAACAAATTACGTAATGTATTATTTGCTAATTTATTTATTTTTGACAAAAAATAATTTATATTTTATTTAATAAATCTTGACTAAATGTATCATATTTATTTTGTCGTATGAAAATACTGCTAATACCTAGATCTTATTTAAATCAATTTCTTTAATTTACTAAACTTAAGATATATTTTTTGTTGAGTTACTAAATTTACATTTTTTTTTGATTTATTTTTAATTTTCAATTGCTAATAAAAATACTAAACTATTATTGTTAGACAACCAACTTTCTAAACTTTTATTAACGAGAGAAATTCTTTCTGAAGAAAATTTTCCTGCATTCCATCCTGTAAATTAATTTATAAAATTTTTTATATTTATATTTATAAAAAAACTTTTCAAGGTATTTTTTTGGTAACTAAAGAAAATTTAATATTATGTCAGGGTTGGTGTGGAGAATTTAATGATGTTTTGTTGAATCCCGTTACTAGTGAAACTTTTATATCGCTATCAGGGTCCCAAGATTTAGGTATTTGTTACTATTATTATCATTTTATATTATTATTATATACTAGATACGCAATGTGAGGAAAACGCACCGTTGTTTTCATTGGATTGTGAAATGGTTTTATATATTATTATTATTATATACTTTATTCACGAATATTCAATTAGTGTCTTACGACTGCTGGAAGGGAAGTATCACGTGTGACTATTATAGATCAAGAAGCTTCAATTGTATTGGACGAACTGGTCCGTCCCGCTAATCCTATCGTCGATTATTTAACAAAGTAATAAATAATGAATTTTATTATTGCAATTTATTCTATTTGTTAATAAGTTTATAAATATATTTTAACACAACTCTAAAACTGATACCATTTCTCTTTTAATGCCTATGAGTAAAGGGAGAAATTACTACACGTGGAATGCGACTCTTTTTTACATGTTTTTTTACAGATTTAGCGGTATTACGTTTGAAATGATGGAGACCTGCTCCACCAAACTCACCGATATTCATACACTTTTGAAGGAGGTGCTTTGTTATACTACTATTACTATTATTATTATTATAATGTATAGAAAATACCTCCCCATGCGATACTTGTAGGCCATTCTCTCTATCACGATTTGACCTGTTTAAAAGTTTATTATTATTATTATTATAGTATTTTATATCATAATTGGTTTTTTTTCTAATAAAAGTTAGTACACGGACGTATAATAGATACATCTATTATTTATCCGCATCCTCTGGGCAAACCCTTTACGCAGAGTCTGAAGTTTCTTGCTCACAAGTACTTGGACCGCGTGATTCAAGAGTCTGTAAGTCCTTGCGATTCTTATTTATTGTTATTATTCATTTTACTTTATAATAAGGAATTGGGCCACTGCAGTTATGAAGATTCTCGTGCTTGTCTTGACTTGGTTGCTTTGAAACTACAAAAAGGTTTTATTATAATTTATTTAAACTAAGAGACTTAAAAGCCGGTTTTTATATTAAATAAGGCCACGAGCTTGAAATATCTGGAAAAATGAAAGAAAGTATATATACAACTTTGTACAGGCATTCAAAAAGGGTTATATATAATTTATAAATTGACAGAAAATTTGTTATTGTTAATTATAAACAATTTAGGGATTAGTCATTGCAAAGGAGAACGTAATATTAAGACATGCGCTGGCGAATAAAGTTTTATGGAAATCTAACAAGCAAGTTTGTTTTTCCTTTGGAAGTATATAATAATATAAAATAATCGCTACTGTTTTTCCTTTTAGGCTATTAAAGCAACTATAAAGGCGCTTAAACATAAAGAAGAGTTCATATATACTCATCTGTACTACACAAAGAACTCTGCAAGCCCTTCAAAAAGTACTCATACGTCCCTTTCACACGAGCAAGAATACTACTGATTGGTTGTGCGTTTTCTAAAGTGAACTTGCGAGGAACTCTGCAGCAGCTCGACTCGTGTGTCGCAAATGTTTATAGAAATCTCGCAGAAGGTGGTTTGCTTATCCTGCTAGTCGGCCCCGCAGACCTCGCCCCTTTGGAAGAGTAAGACCGTTACCACGTGGTAGTGTGATTTTATTAACTAGCATTGACCCTTTAGGGATCGGAAAAAAAGAAGTATGCATAGAAAGGGGCTTTCCTCGTGGTATGTCGAGGCTTATTGTGAGCGTCTTTTATAGTGGATTACAATTTTTACAGGTCAGCAGGGGAAGAAAGCAATTTTGTGGAAAAGATCAGTTCTGCACGGAAGGGATATTTTTTTGCGGCTGTGAAATAAAGAAACTTTGCTGTTTTACAATAATAAAATTTTTTATTTCCTTTTTATATAAAAGAGCATCACGAGTGCTCCAAGTATAGCCGCACTTGATGGGATTAGTAGCCTCCAACACTTGTGTGCTTCATCCCCATCCCCTCTTGACTGTTCGCAAATTTTCTTAGATTATAGTTAATAAAGGAGATTTACTTAAAAAAAGTGGAATTATTTTATAAATTATAAAAATAAAATTATTATTTTAGAAAATTTAGTCCGCAAAGTACATTGGCACTCATGTAAAAGTACCTGAGTTTCTTGGATCCTCTCCATCTCTTTACGTAGATTCTCATTTTCTATTGGCAATCAATTAATTGTGAATTTGCTCAGTAGAATTTTTATAATAATAACAGGAATTTTAAAATACCTTTTTGTTGCTTTTTTTGTTTCTTTTCTAGTTTAAACGTTGTTTCAGTTAAGAGATCTCGTTCTTGTTTTAGATCCTAAAAAAGTAAAGTGTTTTTGCAATTAAACTCCAATTTTAAAATTTTAGAGTACTATACATTAAAAATTGCCGCAAAGTTAATGAGTATTACTGACTTTAACAACATTTTATAAATAAATTAATACTAATTATTATTTATTATTTATAAATAAATAAACTTTCAACTTAAAACAATATAGAAAGCTAGAATGCTAATTTTTTTTTAAAGTTTAAGGCTTTCCAGTTAAACTTTTTATATTTTAGTAAAATTCTCTTTTAGAACGTGAAAGATTTACTTATAAATGTGAGGCAATATAGAAGCCACCTCGTTAACTTTTTTATAAATATTCAGGAGTTCTAAGCCTTTTGAAGATTCTTTAATAATAAATTCAAGGTATTTAAAAAAAGAGCTAAATTCATCGACAATTGTTGATGTAAAATTGTTTAGTTCCTTTTTAAAATTTTTAATTTCCTAAGTTGTTGTCTCTTAAAAATACATAAAAATATCAGTTACAAAACTTTACACTTTTTTGGAAGCAAATATTCTTTACAAATTCGGGAGGAATTTCTCTAGTCCTGCTAGTAGAGTTATTAAGGCGTAGTTGGCCTCCTATTTGATCCACTTCGGCTTGCTATATATTTATCATTAAAATAAGGGAAAAAAGCATAGTAGTGCAGATAATAGTTATTTAGAGTAGACATATTTATTTATTTCTTGCCATTGCTTTTAGTTTTGAGTTACAAACACTTCTGTACTCCGCAAACTCTTTTTCCTTGCTTTCAAGTTCCTTCTTGATCTCCTTTTCTTTATTTTCTAATAGTTGAAGCACAGAATACAACTTTTCAATAGTTTCGTTCTTTTCGGCAATTTCCTCGTCTTTCTTGCGCAACTTCAATGCGCTTTTAGCTTTGAGTTTCTCTACCTTTTCTTTATAATCTTCTTTAACAAGATGTTTCTTTGGGACCCAGCTTTTTCCGTTAAACGTATGTCCCTCTTGTAACCAACTAGATTCACTATCACTATGTTGGTCCTTTTTTCTAATTGTGCTTCCGTTATCTACTTGAGTTTTCCTCATATTATTATTAACAAGTTTTAAATCTACAAGAAAGGTTAAAAGTTTTTAAAATGTAACGCGACCTGGAAGAAAAACGCTAAAGAAAATAGTAAACACTGGAACGGGTTTTACTTTGTATCAGGGGCGGGCGAGTGCCAGCTGAAAAGGCAGCGCCTTTCTTTTTCTTGGATCGGCCCAATATTTTATAAACTTAAAAACATTTGGCTTTAAGGCTAAATACGTTTAGCTTAAACAACATTATTATGTTGATAGAAAACTCATGACTTTCTAATGTGTTCATATATGGGGAAATAATTTTTTTTGTATTATTAAACCAACCTTTTTTTTAATATAAAAAAGTATGTACAATATCCCCGGGCGCATAGCATTTTTTTTTTTTAAATAATTATTTAGAAATTATAATTTATTATTAAAAGGCTATTAATACTTGAATTAGCTTATGATTCCCTGTTAGCTTTGGCTTTTAGTTATACAAAGTAATTCTCGTGGACAAAAAATAGGGAACCTTAAGTGCTTCAATAGATAGAAAAGTGTTTAGAAATTAGAAAGCTACGTAAAAACATTTATTGAAATTACACAACTTTTTTAATATATTTATAAAGTTTCTGAAACTCATAAATTCTTATATAAAAATTTTAAAAGGTTTTTTAGGCGATTTTGTTAAAGAATTTGAGTTAAAAAAATGTAGATGCTTCTTAATTTAGGTTATATCGTTTAAAACTTATTAATACTGTAACATAAAAAATGCTGGCTAGTTATGTAAGTATATAATATCTCTATCGGTTAATTCATCAAAAAGTTAAAGCGTAAATAAGCGCTCATATATGACCATCTAAATTGTAAAATTTTTATTCGACTTGGTCGTTATTAGAATAAAAATATTTTATTCGTTTTACTTAAAAATTCGAGTAAGCAAATTTCTTTAGAAGTCATAATTATTTCTTAAAAAAATTAATTTTTAAGGATACTTAATAAGTGCGCTCTATTGTTAAAAAAAAGAAAACTTCCATCTAGGTTGAAAAAAAGTTGAGTGTTATCTAAGGTCATTTTTTTTTTCTATAGAACCAACTTGGTAGGAACTGTACGATATAAACTGAAAAAGTCATAACAATCGGAAAGACTTCAAAGTTTAACCTTTGTAAAAACTAGATTCATAAATTGCAAGTCAAAGTTCTAATATAATACTTTAGTCAACATTTAGATTTTAAGGCGTTTCGGTTGCTTAATTCCATCGAGGAGATATACAATACTTTATGTATAAAATATTTCGTGTTTCAATAAAGTGCTCTTATTTCATAAAACTAAGAATTTAATAAAGTTTTATTAATTTCCAACACCAAATAGTCGAAGTTGTTGGCATATCATCCTAACCCTAAAGAGTATATATTATTATTTATAACTTTGCAAAATTTTTCGGGTAATAAATTTTTTTTTATAAATATTATTTAAGCAATGCTTTAACGTAAAGGGGACTTTACTTCCAAGACGGTCAACGATAAAGCTTTATCTTTAACATAACTTAAAAAAGGGTTAATAAATTTTACAAATGATCCTTAAAAAAATATATAATAATTATTTTATTTTCAGATGAAAAGTATATAACTTAAAAAATATCTTGTTCTTTCTTGGCAAGCAAATCTGCCAGCAAGTCTTGTATCTCTTTTCCAGTAAAAACGTGTTCAGAGCCTTTCTTGGCTTGTATTTCACGAAGTTTATCTTTTACATAGTCTGCAAACTCTCTGTAACCAAGTGCTAGTGATATTTGTTTTTCATGTGGAAGCATTTTAAATGCTGACAAGCCTGTAAAAAATAAAGAAACACTGTATAAATTTCAATTGACTACAACTATATATGAAAATATTCACTCAATCAATAACTAGTATATACCAATAAACTCGTATTAATAAATAACTAAACTAACAACCTTCATCGTGAACACAACCAAATTCTTCATCTAATAATTCTTGCTCTTTTATAAGATCAGAAATAGAAACTTCGGGATCAGAAGTTTGTACGTTGTTAAGCTCACCTATTAACAATGCTTGGCAAAAAAAAACTTTCAAGAGCTACACGGAATAACTACTTTGAAAGATCCAACTTAGATACTCCTTTTCTTCTAGATCAAACATCTTTTTGATAAAATTTACTAATATTCCTAAAGCCATTGCAAAATCTATAAAACACCTTTCCATTTTCGGTAAAACCGATTTTTTTTGTGCAGGCAGGAAATTCATCCAGCTCCTCGTAATCAAGAGAAAATGTGGCGAACCTTTCTGGTACAAGAGGCTTACACAATTCTTTAAAAACTTTAGAATTCAGTAAATGAATCTCAAAGCCTAAGAAATTTTTAATTTTTCCTTTAAACCAAACTTCACTTGTTAAGCCTGCTTCCTTATCTAATACGTCCCATTTCACAGCTATAAGAGCCCCTTCTAATAGTCCTTTATGTTTATATATCTATATATTATGTAAAGGGTAAAAAGATTAAATTCACCTTGGTTTTTTAAGGAATTCAACATGTTATCGTCCTCAATTTCAAGATCTCGTTTAGTAGGAGCTTTATCTTTTACTTGTGAAGCCAACATCATTCCAACAAAATTAGCTACGAAATTATTATCGGCGGTCAAAGTTTTTTTTGTTTCGGCCCCACCTGTTGGTTTTTCGGGATATCGACGCTTCGGTCGTTATTTCTTCTGAAAACGGTGCTAGAAATTATATTTTGTTTAAAGTTAGCCATGTTCTATAAAAATACAAGCATACATCTATTAACTAGAAATAGTTAAACCTAAACTTACTCCCAAATGCCTAAAACTATCTCGCGATTCAAAGCCTTCAAGGGTTTTGTCTTTATAAGTCATTGTAAAAGTCCTCCTTTACGCCGCGCAAAAATAATAGGACAGCCCTTAGCTTTTGCTTTTGAGAAGCCTCGGAGGGGAATATCATACACTAGCTTAGCTTTTATATGTATTAGAGTTACGAATTGAAACAGTATCAAGGAAACGCTTATATAGCAAACTAGCCTTAGAAGCACAGTATCGTACTTAAAAGCAACAAACAAGAATATTAGCTTCCTCGTCTTTTTGCGAATAGTAAGTAAATAAACCTTTGAGGGCGCGATATTGTAAAACTGTATATTACTCCAATTGTAGTGGGTTTATTTATTATATTTGTATTTGCTACATATTTATTATTAATAATAGCAGCTGAATAGCAAATGAAGGAACAAGTCTACACCAACACGCAACCCGTAAAAATGTAGTTGTAATTTTTATTTTTATGTCGGTAAACTTTCGGTTTTTAAATTATTTGTGTTACTCACTAGTTGCGGAATTGACTTTGGTGTTTTCGACCATGTAGACATGGCTAAACTTTCTCATGTACGACTAGTTAATTCCCAACTTTTCAGCCCTTCTGATAGAAGCCCTTTAAAATTTGGTGTGTTGGACAGGAAGATGGTTATTCTTAACATTCGGTGAATCTTAACCTTTTAATAAACATATATTTTTTGGTATAAGGGCGTTTGTGACAGGACCATTGACTGCGAAACGTGTGGTGCAAATCTTCGTGACTGTCCTGGTCATTTTGGTCATGTGGAACTTGAGTTGCCGGTGTATCATATCGGTTATGCTTCGTTTATTTTCAAGATCCTGCAGTGCATCTGCAAAGTAAAATATTCTGCATCTTCTTTTATTATTATTCAAACGCTCTGCTACTTAGTAAAAGGCGCTTATTTTCTATTTAAACGTGATCCACGAGGTCTGTAGCCGCGTGTTATTACCTCAAGATCAGAAGATGCAACACATTAGACGCTTCAGAGACAAAAATATCGACATGTTACTTAAGAAGGAATTTTTCAAAAAGCTGTTAGCTCTTTGCTTGAAGGTTTCCAACAAAAATCAGTAACAAATTATCTATGTAGCCATTCTAATTTAAGGTCACTACTTGCCCTTATTGCAATTCTCCTAACGGAAAAGTAAAAAGGGTGTCCCCTTGGAAATTTGTCCATGAAAAAGTTTTTTTTATTGCTCTTTTTTATATATGTTAACTATTGATGTTCTTAAAGCACACGCAGAAAGGCGAAAAGGGCGCGCTGCTTCTTTTGGAATCGGGCCAGTCAGTTTCGGACTTGAAGACTTTGCTTGGCCGAACTCCCGAACTTATCAATCCTCTGCGGTGTAGAGAACTTTTTCAAAACATTTCAAACGATGATTACGAGTTGTTGCTTTTGGGTTTCTACTGCTTCGCTTTTTATCGTTTTTACTGGTAGGGCTAAATTTTTTTTATCTTCAGATGCAAAAAGATGCTCTCCAGAAATGTTTTTATTAAATTACATTTCAGTCCCTCCTCTGTGTATCAGGTGAGATCTTTTTTACTATTTTATTTTCAATCTTTTTACTAATTTTTTTTAGGCCTTCGATTCCGAGTGCTCTCGGGGGCAGTAACGAGGATGATCTGACTATCACTATGAGAGAGATTATCGATATCAACTCGCGGCTGAAGCAGATGATAGCACGTGGTCATAACCTCGCGGCGATTATGCAGGAGTGGGACCATTTGCAGTACACTACCGCCATCTACTTCATGGGCGAGATTTCCGGCCTTTCTAGGGTACACTGAAGCAGCCACTCATATGCCGTTTCGTCTCCTATAACCGGCGTTCTGCTGCCCGCAGACTCAACCTAACCAGAAGCCAATCAGGGCTCTCAGTACCCGTCTGAAAGGTTGGTGTTTGCCACGTGCAGTCAGCGACACGCATTTTATAGTTGAGTTTCTGCAGGAAAGACTGGCCGGTTCCGAGGGAATTTGTTAGGAAAGCGAGCTGAATTCACCGCGAGAACTGTTATTTCGCCCGACCCGAATATACGGATCGACGAGGTAACGCTTAAGAGTGTCCTCCTTGACCTTTCTGCGGGTTTATTCGTGTTGCAGGTGGCAGTTCCTGTGAAGGTAGCCAAAGTGTTATCGTTTCCCATGCGCGTGACGGCCCACAACATGGAAGAGTTGAAACAGATGATTATCAATGGCCAAGACATTCACCCAGGAGCCAATCGTGTGCTTTCTAAACATAAAGTTTGTTGTTCTGTTGCTGCTTGTGCGGTTTAAGGGCAGCCTCACTGTGCTGGTATTGGCTGTAGGATCGTAGCTATTACTTGGCTACGTCGCGTCTGCAACGCATGAAAATCGCAGATGCCTTGGAATGCGGGATGGTGGTGGAGAGGCACGTGGTCGATGGCGATGTTGTCCTCTTCAATCGTCAGCCTTCCCTGCACCGTTTGTCCATCATGGCGCATTTTGTGCGTGCCCCTGATTGGATGGGTGTTCCCTGGCTTTTCACTTTCAATGTTAATGCAGGCACGTGTAATGCCTGGCAAAACATTTCGGTTCAATGAGTGCGTGTGCGGCCCGTACAATGCCGACTTTGATGGAGATGAGATGAATTTGCACGTTCCACAGACCGAAGAGGCAAGGGCTGAGGCCCTGACTCTTATGGCGGTGACGTTCTTATTGGTTTAAGTAAATTTGCCATCAGGTGACATACTAATTATTATGTTCAGACTAAACATAATCTAATTACCCCGAGGAACGGAGAGCCCGTTATTGCTGCCATTCAGGACTTTATTACTGGTTTTTTCGGGCCTCTGGGATTGTATATCGATATTATCTTTTTTTTTGCAGCCTCTTATTTTTTGAGCCGGAAGGACGTCTTTTTCGACCGCTCGCAATTTACACAACTTTGCTTCTATTTCAGCGGAGGCGACTACACTATCGATTTACCTCCACCGACTATTTTAAAAGTTTATGACTCCACACCTCCTTGCGACTCTCACCTAATTCCTTTGTTAAAGCCCATCGTGCTGTGGACAGGAAAGCAGATATTCGATTGCTGGCTGAAGCCCAATAAAAACTGTCATGTGTTAGTCAACTTGAAGGCGCAAGGCAGGACAAAGTCGGGCCAGAAACAGGGCAGCAGACGGTTCATGTGTCCAAGAGATAGCTTTGCGATAATAAGGAATAGTGAGGTCTACATCTAGTTACGCTGGCGGGCGATCCCCGTCTCTTTTATCATGTGTTACTATTCAGCTCTTGTGCGGTGTAATGGATAAAACATTGGTGGGCGGAAGCAAGTCTAGCGTTTTCCATATTCTTCTACGTGACTATGGCGTCGATGTCTGCGCAGATAGGATGAGCCGATTGGCTAGACTGTGCTCTCGCTTCTTAGGCAGTAGAGGCTTTTCCATTGGTGTGTCAGACGTCATTCCAGGCAAACGCTTGTTTGGTTCGTTTTCGATGGGCACATTAGTATTATGTTATAAGTGCATATCAGCATTTAAAGAGAACCTGGTAAGAAGAGGCTACGAAAAGTGCAATCGTTATATTAAGGACTACCAAGAAAAAAAGTTGAACCTCCAACCTGGTCTAAACGAGTTGGAATCCCTGGAAGCTAAGTTAAACGGCACGCTCTCGGCCATCCGAAAAGATGCTGGTGACGTTTGCCTTACTGAGCTCCCCCGGTAGCCACCCATGCAAAGCAGTTTCTTTATCGCTTTTTGTGATCTTGTTTTGGTGGCGAGGTACAACGCTCCCATGTTGATGGCGCTTTGCGGCTCTAAAGGTGTCTATTGATATTTAACGAAGGCTTAAAATTTGTGTTACCTTTTGTAAACTATATGCTTGAAGGTTCGGACATTAACATTTCGCAGATGATCGCCTGCGTTGGACAGCAAACCGTCAACGGCAATCTTCATTCAGCCTTATTTGCTTTCTCATCTTATCTATTCCTCACAATGCTTAGGTACGCGAATACCTAATGGGTTTGAAGACCGTTCGCTACCACATTTTCATAGACACTGTAAGATTGGGTTTTTTGGGGCTTTATAGTAGTTAGTATACATTGCTTTCCTCATACTTTTATAGCCAAAGCACCTGCAGCTAAAGGGTTCGTTGAAAACAGTTTTTTTTCTGGGTTAACGCCCACAGAGTTTTTCTTTCACACTATGGGTGGGCGAGAGGGTCTTGTAGATACAGCCGTCAAAACTGCGGAAACGGGGTATATGCAACGCCGATTAACTAAAGTGCCCCATAATCGTTGCTGCTCTGTGACTTTGACGCTATGCACCCTCTATAGGCTTTAGAAGACCTTTGCGTTATGTACGACAACTCTGTGCGTAATAGCCTCGGCGAAGTTGTTCAGTTTAAATACGGAGACGATGGACTTGATCCAGCCAATATGGAGGGAAAAGACCAACCCTGCGACTTTCAACGGGTTTACATGCATGCGAAGGTATTAGTGGCTATCAAACTTAAAGGTCAAGCCATTTATGCATGTGTATAGTATAAAACTCGCAGAAAGGATAACATCTCGCGTGGCCTCTCCTCTAGCGAGTTAACTGCTCTAATGAACCAATATATTAACTCTCCCCTATTGGAGTCTTGCAATCCTCTTTTTAAGTATTGGCACTAACTAAACAAGATTCATATTAAGAAAAGATCTTATTCTATTTTGAGGAACAATATGCGGGCCTTTCTTCATAGAAAAATCCAGAAGATTCATGCTCTCACTGAGCAGGCTATGAAAATGCGTAACATTAAACTGTCTCCTTTCGCTGGCAGGGTACAGCCATTTCATTCTGCACTAGATAATAGCAAACAGCAGAGAACGCGCCTTCGCCTAATTGAACAAACAAAAAGGATTACTGGGCCTCATCTTGCAGAATTCTTCAAAATTTGTGCTCAAAAGTATGAACGGTCCAAAATGGAACCCGGTCTGCGGAGTTTTTTCTTCTTTTTAATTTTTTTTACGGTGTCCATGGCAGGTACTGCCGTTGGAGCACTGGCCGCTCAAAGCATTGGGGAGCCCGGAACACAAATGACTTTAAAAACCTTTCATTTTGCCGGTTACCTAGAAGTGTCCCTCTTTCTAAGTAACTACCTTCTTACCTCCGCCCTTGCTCAGGTGTCGCTAGCATGAACATTACTCTGGGTGTTCCTCGTATTAAGGAAATAATCAACGCAACCAGAAATATTCACACGCCGATCATTACAGCCGAGCTCGGTAGTTTCAGGTCTTAAGCCTCGCGATATGCAACTCTTTGGTAATCATAAATAGTAAACGGCGAATCTGTGGGGTTTGCCCGCGCTGTCAAGGGGAAAATTGAAGTTACTTTCTTAAAGGATGTGAGTGGCCACTACACATGCCATGCTTGCTATTGATAAGATCTGATTGCACTGCTGTGTTCATAGGTCTCTCAGTACATTCAGGAGGTCATCCACTGCGACGTCTGCTACATTACTATCAAGCTTGACATGGCAAGAATTGAGTTGTTGAAGCTTGAAGTTACGGTCAACACTGTAATGGATTCACTGCTTTCCAGTTCCTCGAAGCTAAAGTTGAGCGCTCAGGTGGTATTTTCTACTGCTCAATTCTAATCGTCACTATTATGACATCCGCCTGTGCTCCAATAGGATGTCCAGCCCTCTCAGAACGATCTGATTAAGGTGTATGTGCCGACTTCCGAGTCGAACTTGCTTTATCGACTGCAGTCACTAAAAAGGAGGCTTCCGCATGTAGTGATAGCGGCAAGTGTTCTTCGACTTCCCACGCTACTAAGCCGCTCCCAAGCTAATTGTAAGTAATCAGGGCATTCCTAGCATATCTAGGGCGGTAATCAACGACAGAGGCTCTGCTTCCAGCGCCCTTCCTCGGTATAATCTGCTAGCAGAAGGGGTCGGCTTGAGGAGAGTCATGACCACACGAGGTTATTACTCTTATTACTTGTTTTCTTATGTAAGCTAGAAAGCCCACACGCCAAGGTGTTAACGGGCTGCAGACTGAGACGAACCACATCATGGAGATGGTGGACGTTATGGGAATCGAATGTGCAAGGTGAAAAGAATTAAGTGAAAGTTTATGGCAAACTGAGGATGACCACTTTTAGAGCGACCATCATCGACCAGATCCAGTACACCATGTCTGAGCATGGCATGCAGATTGATACCCGGCATACCATGCTACTGGCCGACCTGATGACCTGCAAGGTGAGAGTAACATGCCCCGCCCTTGATCATGCGGTTCTCATGCGGCCAAAGGGTAAAGTCCTCGGCATCACACGCTTCGGTATAGGCAAAATGAAGGACAGCGTTCTGATGCTCGCCTCCTTCGAGCGCACCAGCGATGTTCTTTTCGACTGTGCACGTCATGGGTACCTGCTCTGCCAATCAGGCTTGTGTTCCTTTCATGACTCGATTTGCCCATCTTAGGATGACCGACCCCCTCAATGGCGTGAGCGAATGCATCATACTGGGGATGCCCATGAACATCGGCACTGGTTCATATGCTTGACATGCATCGCTTTGTACGGTTTACAGCCAACGCTAAGCAGGCCTGTTCAAACTCTTGAAGGAATACGAAAAACCAGTTTTCCCGTCGAGGCCTTTATTATTTGATGTGCCTTCCCTCCATCTCCCTCACTAAAATCAGACAATCTTCGGACCAAAAAAGCACACGGGCTGCTTAACTGGCGGCATTTCTTACTTGCTCAAGATAGTCACAGGCCATTGGTGATTTAATGGTTAGATAATAAACGCAAGTAGGCTTCTCCATATACTGTGCGTATTGGCTGTATCGATCGTGGTGGTTTACACACTCCAGCCGCACCACAACTCTGCGCTTCTCCCGCGAAGCGTCGCAGAAGTCTGTGGAGGGCGCAACTGAAGAGTAACAGAGTGTTAAAAGAAAAGAAAAAAAAGAAGGCAAGGACCGCCGGAAGAGTAAAGCAGAGTCGCGTGATTGGGCCCAGCAAGTTGAGCCCGCTGTGAGTTCGGCAAGCTGTCCACCCAGGCTTGGTGGGCGTCCGGGTGCCACTCGCCTAACAGGTGAGTTTCATAGGACACTTAGAAGTGTTGAGAAGGGATCAAGAAACTACGAACCGAGTATGACGCTCGGCGAGAATCGCGTCACTTCCCTAAACATCTGAGCCACAAACATGTTGAGGCAAAATAAAAATGCCCATTCCTCGTTTTTCTGTTGCGAGCCACAGGCACACTACTACTGTTTCGGCAAAAAAAAAATAAAAATGGGATACCGCCTGAAGACACGAATAATCTTTAGAAATTTCTCTTTTTTTATTAGAATTGGCATCTTTCCGGCAGTGCAGTGATAATTAGAATTTTAAAAAAATAAAAACATACTATACGGAAAGATCTTTAACTTACAATACAAACTAGAAAACAATGAGTACTTCTCCTTATCCGAGTCCTAAAAAGTATAGTAAGAAAGCTTCCAAAAGAATTTCAAAAAAATAGAACATCAGAATCTATGCTTTCAGTAGAAGAATCAGCATCTCCGCCTTTTCCTTGGCGCTCGTGCATCTCCTCTTCCACGATGCCTTCGTCAGTGGCTTTGTCAAATAAGTGAGCCAAATTGCTTGGCCGTCCCCAATTGTCGTAGTGCATCGGCGTACGTTCCTTCAAGGATCACTCCAGAAGAAGCCACCCCATGTAAAGAAGCGCGAGTGTACCTTATCATAGGCCAGTAACTTACTAAGCGCTTCAGGAGGGTTAGCCAAGCAACTAATAGTTCGGATTTTGCTTCCGACTGACGTGTAGTGGCGATTCTTGCAAAGGAGACTAGTTTCAACCACAAACTACAAAGCAATTTTATAAACAATTCTATAAGGAGTTCGTTAAAAAAACTTTTTACCTCATAATGGCAGGTGGAAATCTCTCTGAGCTCCCGCATGAACAAGAGCGTGTCTGCACTTAGATCATTGCAAACAAACTTTAGTTCGATGCTGCGAGGCAATCCTGTAAAATTAAATTCAGAGTAACGGCAATAATGTGAACACAAAATAACCAGTCAAGTTGCAGAAGGTACCATTTTCATAAAATTGTGAATAGTAAGGCACTTCGTGGGTTTTGCCGTACTCAAACGTGGGAATCTGCAAGAGTGATCACAGCGGAAAGCACATAAAAGAAACTAAGGAAAAACCTGGTCGACATTCTCCGGCACAATTTCATTATTTTCAGCATAAATCCCTAAATTATTGCTCACTTTCTCTCTATTCTGTAGGGATTTAATTTATTCATATAACTAAAGTTTTAAATAAAAATATTACTGCTTTACTAGCTGGATAATACTGGGTTACGTGAGAGTTAAAGCATATTTCATAAAACCAAAAACGAGTTTGCTGTGTAAAGCAGAAGTTCCGTAAAGGTTTAAGCAGATCCTTGGGCGAAGGAAAGTCAGTATAATCCTAACGAGTTGGAGTATAAGTATAAATATAAGAATTATTTTAGGTCAAAAATATATTTTTTTTACGCCTATAAAGTTTTCTCTAGTATATTTTTGACTGTAGCAGGTTATTTCTGGCCCTGAATGTTTAAACGAAGAAGTAAGAGGATCTTCGGGATATTCCTTTACAATGGTAAAAGTATGAGATCTATCACAGTTTATAAAATAGCTTAGTTTATCTTTTATTTTTAAATTCTAAGGATTGAAGATAAGAGAATTGCCTGTCGAACTGCTCTAGATGGGCAAGGTCGTTTTCTAACCATTTAAATTTGTATACAGTGTTTAAATTCTCTAAAAGGCTTTCGGTGGCTTTAGTTGTTCCCTCTTCCATATATTTTTCATAGTTTTCTAAACTTTTAGTAAAGGATTTTTGACACGAACCTTTTTCAGAGGGAATAGAAAAAAAAAATAAAAGGAGAAGACGTGAAAGGGAGTCCATTTGAAAGCCAAGATAACGAACCAACAGGAACTTAAGGCAAATAGTAAAGTGCGTCTTGACAACTTCCAACAAGCGAGCGTGTCAATGATTTTGAATATCACTAAAGTAAAACTGTCGCGTATCTTTTCCGTCGCAACAAAAATTTTAGCAAATACTTAATGTTGTTAAAGATCTTTAAATATATTATTTATTATTATTAAAAATGGAATCTTTCCTAACAGAACAGCAACAATTAGAATATAATAAAGTATCGCAAGAGCACTCTAGAGTTCAAGGCATGATTAAATTGTTTTGTCTGCGTTTTTTAGGGAAAATTGGCGAAAAACATGATCTTTATTCTACCGTTAGTCATCTCTTTAAGTTTCTTATGGTAACTCATGATTTTTAATATTTTTTCTATCTAAAAACTTAAAGTGTAAATAAATTTTAGAATGGCGTGTGGACTTGGAATGGTTTCTGAGAGTCTAGCGAAATATAATTTTTCTCTTAATTCTGACATAAATTATTTAATGAAACGACATTGTCACAATTACATAGTAAAATAAAATCTATTATTAACTTTAACTTCTCTTTACCGAATACTTATTGGGTGTACTTATAGAATTTAGTTATCAAACTTGAGCTTCAAGAACTCAAAAAGTGCAAACTGAAACAGAACTTTTACAAGGGCTTGCCTACCAGTGATGCCAACACCAAAGTTTTAGAAGAGGAACTAAAAAAAGAAAAAGATTTGAGGAGTTTCATAGATCAGGTTGTGTTTTAATGTATCTTTTGTACAAACTTCCTCTTTAAAGTTTCTTTTTAAGCATTCAAAGACTCTTGGAAGATCCCAAAGTCAACTTCTACAAACTCGCTTTGACACAGTTCGTCCCACTTTTGATGACTCCAAACATTCTTTTAATCTAAATCAGCCGGCCACGTATAGCGTCCCTGATCCTGATCGTAATTTAGGATCGGATCTTATTTCGTATCTCTTTTTTTTATTTTTTTTTAAATTTTACATAAATTATTAATAATTTTTTATATTTTATTTTTTAAGCTTTATTTATTATTTATTTGTATATCTAGAGAAGATTTGAAGCGCGAGGGTGGCGGCCCTAGTTATCAAGATCTTGAAAAAGAGGAGATCCAATTTTTACATTTTGAAACGTTAAAGTTAAAAGTCGCTGATCTTGGTATTTTTTTTTTTTAAATTATTAATATAATTTCAACTTTAAAGAAGCTAAAAGGAACGGAATCAAGAATGTTTCAGTGGAATGCTGCTTTCTGCTTTCTGTTGCTCTTCAACAGAAACTTCGTAGTATGATAGAGAAGATGTTTTTAAACTGGTGCATTTTTTTTTTTAAAATTTTTTGTTTTTAATTTTTTATTTATTTATTTAGCAATCACCGATTAGAATCCATTCGGCCGGGACAAGGCACGTACACCACTCAAGATTTTAAGAAGCGACTACAACTTTTTAAAAAGTACAAAAGTTTTGCGTACCATTTTTTTAACTTTGAAGCATTCTTACGGTAGATTAGATAAAATTGTATTCGACAAAAAACAAGATGAAGAGCGTGAGATGATTAGAAAAGTTGAAAAGGTCACTTTTGTTATTTTTGTATATAATTTTTTTCACTGATTCATTGCTATGTAGTCGCGGCTTAAACTTTCTGATGTCGATGCTCAGCAGTTGCGTCAGAAAGCGAAGCAATTAAGAGACGAGGAAGAAATGAAACATACGCATCTTGCAGCTAACCAAACTGCGATGGCCCGCATTTTAGGTTTGCTTTTTTTTAACACTGCTTTTTTTTGGAACGAACTTTGATCATTTTCTTTTAGACATTAATAAAAAGAGACGGTCGATGCTCTCGTTTGGGAGCAAGAGCTCAGCCAGTTACCTCCGCGATTTGGTCCATAAGCTCCTGGAATTTTTTTAGGCATCTCCGATATACTCCTACTAGGACGCCTTGGATCAGCCAGCCACGTGGACCTCAAGCCAGGCTTCTTTGGCTACACCTCTTACTCCCCGCCGCCTTAGAAGAGTTGTTCTTAAGGATTTTGTTAAGAGCCTTGAAGAGGATAGAGACTTGGCTAAGTCGCTTCTACTGCATCGTGCTTTACTTCGACTGCATTAAATCTATTTTAAAAAAATATTATTACGATGTAAGCGCTTTAGATTATATAGAATTTTTACTTTCAGAACGTATCAAGGAACTTTTGTGGCCTGAGATTAATTTACTTCTAAGAAAGATGTTTATTTTAGCGTTTAATAACTTCGATATGTTATTATAACTGTTGTTTCAGCTATATTCCCTTATGCAGGGCTAAATAGTACTTGCAGTGTTTGCGATACTTAAAAGAAAGTTATAAAAGGTTCATTGTTACATAATTTATTCAGTCAAACTTTATAAAGCTATACAATTAAATTTAGTGCTAATTTTTAATGCAGATCTCAACACTTTTAGTTCAGAGCTGGTGTTTAACTAAATCTTTGAGAGAAAAACCTCTTTATGGCATTCTCTTATTTAGCTAAAATTCCTAAAAGGTTAAAAAACTAAGATTTAGCGTTAAGGACTTAAATACATTACAAGAGTTTATGTGTTTTTTAGTACAATAACAACTTTAAATAAGGAATCTTTTGTATCCCACTTATTCCATAGTGTGGAACCTATTCGAGTTAGTAGAATGCTATTCTTTTAATGTTTAGATATTTTTTCTAGAGGTAGTTTATTAAATATGATACTCCTTTTATTCTGGTAAGTTGGCAAGGTTTCCTTTAAATAATATTGTAAAAGGCCCCTTACAACAAGGTTTTCATATTTATAAAAACGTAAATGTTTTTAAAAAAAAGTCATTAATATCTACAATTGACTTTGCATGTTAATTTTCTTAAAAACTTTACTAGACCGTGTATAAAGACATCCAATAATTACTGCAGGTAAGGAAATTAAAAGCTTTAGTAAGTACTCGAATTAATGATGGAGATTGCCTAGCAGCAGCCTTGTAGGCAAAAGATATTTGCTACTGCTCTTATCTGAAGGATACTTGTAAGAGTGCTATAAACTGCAGAAAAACGCAGAGAAACTACTTAGTAAGAAAAACAGAGAAGCCACTAAAAGTGAGGAACAGGGTGAATGTTGTTTTAATGAAGTTCATAGTATTATTATACTAAATTTTCTATATGCCTAGTTATTCCATAAGTTATAAATGCTCAATAACTTAATAAAAAAACAGCAGCTTTTCGAGCTATTAACATTGAGTACCAACAAACTAGAGGCGACGAATGAAAACCAAAATAAAATTATTCGCAGTACATAAATAAAGCTTTTTGTGTACTTTAAAGATAATAAGTATTATAGAAATCTAAAAACTAATTCTGTAAGACAACTAAATTTGAAGCATTATTTGAAAGTCTATCCTCTGTTAAAATTTTGGAAGTGTCAAAAACTGAAACCCAAGCTTCAAGAATTTTTGTACAACCTAAAGCAAATAATGTGTTAAGTTTAATAAAAAATTAAAAGCCACGATAGAAAGTTATTACTTTTTAAGTTATCATTAATATGTTGCAACTTTGTCTCAACCGAAGCAAACTGATAAAGAAAATCTTTAGTACTTTTCTGAAGTTGTTTAAGGAGAATAAGTTCCTTTTCTTTCTCATCAATCAGATCTTTAAAGTCGCTTGTAAACTATAATACGTATATTTATAACAAATAATATTTAGATTAATTTATATATTAGACTAAATAAGAATATACTCTGTTATCCACCTCCATTTTTTTGTATTGATGGTTGCAAAAATGTTAATATTTGAAGTAAAAAACCCCATCACTAGCAAATACGTGCGGAACGAAAAAACAAAAAGCTTCACCCTCGCCTTCGAGTCTGTTGCTACGGCGGTAGAAGCAAAGTCACTTAGGATTAAAGGTTTCAAGTAATGCTTTCGATTTCGAATAATGTAATATTGTAATATATGAGAAGACTACTTAATACAAGGGAATCTAATTTTTATAAACGACCATATACATCTAAGACCCTCTTTTCCCCAACTTTTTTATATTTTTTTTTTTTAAAAAAATAATCAGATCCTACGGCTCTGCTCTCTTAACCCAAAGAAAGAAAAGACGGAACTAAGCACAAAAGTAGCTTTATGATGAAATCTGCAACATTTTTTTTTATGGTCATAGTATATGTTTTCCCCTATTTTTTATTTTGTTTAGAGAGCTTTAAATTCCACTTAAAAGTTTAGAATGAAGGATATTATTGATTATATAATTAGAGTATAAGCCAACTAGTTTCACTTTTTTTTAAAACAATCTTCATTTATAACTATACCTCTATTACTAGTTTTTCTCTTATTTCCTGAATTTAAGTTAATAAATAATAATCTTAACTCTGATGTTTTTAGCTGTTATATAAGCCCAGCATAATAATATAAGTACCCTTTATTATCCCGAAGTAAAATTTTTTTACCAACTACAGTGGCCTCTAAACTAGAAGTGGTTAACGTACAAGGACGTTAATTCTACATAGTTATATGTAATTTTGTTAAAATTTAGGTAAACACTAACCAAGACAACTGGATTATGACTTAAAAATACACGTCTTTTTTGGTTATACAAAACTCAATAAGACCCTTAATAATGTAAAGGAGGCAACGAGACTTAAAAAACTTTTTTTACTCGTCATATAATATCTGCGTTAAGTTAAAAGAAGACTTATCCATGGTACACTCTTAAACTTTTTACTCTTCTAGCTGTTCGAATTGACATTTTTGAGGTCGAAAAGTTTATGACAAATAATAAGTTTTTTAACTTTCTACATGTTACTTAAAGAAACTGAAAGAAGATTCACAAAAAGAAATACGAGGAAGAAGGGAAGTTGGAAAGCCTGCTTAATTGCACATACTGTTAGCCTGTCTTAGTGCATTTTTAGATATCGCTATTATTTTTATTTTTGTTTATAAAATTGTTGCTATAAATTTAAATTACCATAGAACTTAGAGATCAATAAACACTACTATTGGTATATTGTTAGAAAAAACTTCTTGACTAGTTTGTTTTTAGACTTGGGAATTTATATATTCTTTATATATGTTGTCTGCCAATTATTATAATTATTTTTTTATATGCAGCATTGATGTTAACTTTTCGTTGAGTTTCCAGTTACAATTTACTAATGTATCTAAAGCGAATCGTTTTTTTGCTTCCCTAATAATATAAAAAGTTAAATTTAGAAATAACATTTTGGAAAACTTTGGCAGCAGCTAAAAAATTTATTAAAGTTGATACTCTTAATGTTTCATAAGTTAGACTTTTCTAATAAAATAGCTGTTATATTTCTTAATATAATATATCGGATATCAATTGATAAATATAGTCTTTTACTAGATCACTAGAGAAAGATGATTCAAATTTAGGCGGATTGGATTTAGTAGTTTTTACTAAAAAAAAATTTTTCCAAGGAAAGCTTGCGCCACTGTGGCTTAGCAGTTTATGAATTTATTGATCTTTTGCTGCAAATCCGATAAAAGAGGTCTCAGCCGTGCCCTCTAAGCGAAGGTAAACAATCTTAAGTGCTGGCTTTCCTGCTGCTAAAAAAGTACTTAACTTCATCTTCGCGCGGAACAACTTGCAAAAATGTAGAAATCTTATTGATCGAGGCTATAACTTCTGTATTCACTAATCAATAAAAGTAAAATAATCTAAAGAAAACAAGAAACCTTCCCGGTTGCAAATGGGTGAAGCGCGACGTTTTACGGGAATAAGCAGAGCGATTGCTTTCTCGAGCACTTCAAGAAAGTGAACTTCAACCGAAGATGCGCTGGCACCAGGAAACGCCAGTGACAATACTTTTTCCTTCTGATCTTCAGGCACAAGAAGCGGAATCAGCGCCTTCACTTTCGCATATTAATTACAAAACAGCAGATTCTAGTTTAAAGCGAAACCTTCTCGCACGTGAACTTGGCAACTTTTTCGAAAGAGAGGCACGTGATGAGCCAGAGTTGCCAGTTATCAGACGAGAAGAGAAGTTTAAACAAGCCCGACACTTCGGTATAACAGTCCTGCCAGCGTCGGAAGTGCAAAAAAAAAAAAGATTACGGAAGACGCATTTCTAGTACTTTTCGTAAGACAGAGGGAAACGGGAGGACGGCAAGAGAAACAAGAAAACGAGCTGTCGGCACGCCCGTCCTTTCATCGACTTTATTGGCTGCTCGACAGCCCCTCAGAACCTTCGCTGGGGATTGGGTCACGCATTCCCGAAATATGCAGTGCGTGCTAATATACCTCAAGTAAAATCCGCCACTCGTCCAAGCTTCCTCTGAAGCGGCCCGCCTCCAGTAAGCACGATAGCAAGTCCACGGCAGCCGTCCAGAGCGGGAGCTGCGAGCCGGTAATGAGCACGAGTTAATAATAGAACGGGAACACGAACGCCCACGTCATTGCATCGGCCAATGAGATCAGCGCATTGGCTCAAGATGTCCGTCAGGGATGGGGGGCCCCACGCGGAAAGGGCCAGCAGCCCCTGGCCTTCCACGGCATGGAGACTCGCAAGGAGCTTCAGAAGAATCTTAGCAAGACGCCATCAGAGAAATAAGAACACCCCGGGACTGTCTTACTAAGCTCATTGGACGGTTCTGCAGAGTTGATTCGAGGAATGGACCTAATAATTGACGGAAGTTCTGGGATTGGGACGGCTGAGATGGAATGTAGTTCTCAAAGTAGTCCTGCAGAACAACGCTGCTTGCTTGAATATACGGCGGCCGGTAGAGCATTTCCTGCATATCCAGAAGCGCGTTCAGTTTCTACTAGCACTCGCGGGTGAATAGTACGACTTTCTTTTCCAGCGGTAGCCAGCGAAGATAATATATAATTAGACTTTCCACAAAGACGAGCAAGTCAGAAGCGCAGGGAAGTTGCTCTCTCTAGAAAAAAAGTTGAGGTGAGGGCCATGAAAGCAAAGCAGCTAAATAACAAACAAGTCGCAGTAGAAGGTGCACGTGACCACTTAGTAGAGCCGAATTTGCCTGAAGGTACTTGGCAACCAGTAACTTCCATGCATTCGTCACGAGGAAGACCACTTTCGGGGGTGAATGCAGCAAAGAAGTGAAGAGGAATTGCTCAAACACGCGCCAGTGCGCCTGGCACGTTAGTGCTACATACATTATTACAAGATAACAGACGAATCGGGGAAGCCAACGCCTACTTCTTTCCATATAGAGAAGCAAACTAGCGAGGGCGTAGTTGTAGAGCGTCGTGGCAGGGGTGGACTGCAAAGAGACTGGCGCGTAGAACAGCCACGGTGTGCCGTCCCATATATCAAGCAGAATTTTCATTAGCGGGCCGAGGCTGGTATGCAGAGCAGAGCGTAAGCAAGAAACCTGCCTGGTGGGAGGGCGGATCTTACCAGTCCACGGGGGCGCTAAGGGCGAGGTAATCACAAAACAGCGTGAAGGAAACTGTCAAGTATATTCTGTGATCCTGGCAGGTATCTGCCACGTTGACAGACAGAGAGAAGTCCGCCAGAAGAGTGAGCCAATCAACTTGTTGATGAGAACGCACGACAGCAAGCACGCCCTCGAGACCCGTGAGAGCCACGCGGTGGTACTCCTCGCGTAGTTCAGAAGTCCAGTCGGACCGCCACAACAGCCTATGAAAAAAGGGCAGTGGGTCGCTGAGAAAGGAGATTGACCAACTATTTGTACGCTTTAGCGCCGACTGACAACTCAAGGACGCGCTTGGCGCAGATCGGGACGGAGTTGGGAAAATTGCGAAAGACGGTGAAGAGCTGCGAGAGATAATATCTTGCTATTTTTGCCTCCTTCAGAGCGCCTTCCCCAGCCGGAATCTCCTTAACGGGCCCAGCAAGGTCTGTAAAGTGCTCGTGAAGAAGCTCAAGTAGTGTTGAATTGATTTTGTTAATCTGTGTAGGCATAAAAAGTTATGTGACAGCAAACTTTACTAGTTTATTATAAGAAAATGCACACAATTAGTGAGGAAGATAAAACGGAGTTGTGCTTATCGAGTAGCAATATAATAAGTTTCCAAGTGAAGTTCAATGAAGGTAAATGAGAGCGGCTGTAGAGGCAGAACTCGCATAACTTCCCCAAAACTAATTGAAAAAATTAAAAAACGCTTTCAGCAAAAAT